TATGATTTTATAGACAGGTATATAGATAGAACCGACTTTCAGCTATGTGAGATGGACACTGACAGTTTATACTTAGCCTTAAGTACCGATGACTTGTTAAAAGCCGTAAGACCGGGACTAGAACACGAGTTTTTTGACATTTACCATAAATGGTTCCCCTCAGAAGTATGTGACTCACATAGACCACAATTTATAAGCGGCAAAGGCACGGTAGATAGTCATTGTCTAGAGTGTAGGGCTAGGAAAATTTATGAAAAGAGAACACCTGGGTTGTTTAAGCTAGAATATGAAGGGGATGGGATGGTATCTTTATGTAGCAAGACGTACCACTGTTTTGGCGACTATAATAAAACATCAACCAAAGGATTATCTAAAAATCACAACACACTAGGCAAAGAATCTTTCATGCAGGTCCTCACAACAAAGGAACCAAGTGGTGGGACAAACACAGGGTTCAGAGCATACAACACGGGGATATACACTTACACCCAACACAGAAACTCACTTTCTTACTTTTACATTAAAAGACGAGTAGACGCAGACAATGTGACAACATCTCCCCTAGACATATAAGAACCTTTAGTTTACCAACCATGACTTTAACGAGACTTTAATGTAAATATGTAAATAAGACAGAACCATGACGGTATGCTGATGGGGTTGTTTTTATTCAATAAAAACTTATGATATAAACGGTCTTTTTTAAATTTTTGATGTGAGTTATTGTTTTGTTACTTGTCCCTGAAAGTTATGTGATTCGGTATCCTGTATAAGAGGCATGACTGAAATCAAAATCAACCATTTAAAATACTGGATCCGAGTTGGAAACCGCTCTTTACGGTATTGATCGATAGCCCACCCAGGCGTGGTATTCAGGGAATACTATAAACACCGCCGTATAAGAACCCTATACCATGTCCGGTGAATGTTTTTGTCTTCAGTGCTGTGGATGGGATTCCAGTGAGAGCACGGGAATGTCGGATCAAACGGAAACTGGTCTTGATATTGGACCAGATGAAGTGAGATTGTATCCTGTACAGATGATCAATACCTTTCATGAGACTAATCAAGGGGAGATGAATCTAGGTTATGAGAGAGTGTTTGTACAGCGACCTATAGGTGGAACCTTTATTGAACCCCTTGATGAGACACCACAACCACCCAACCCAGCTTCTGACAGGGACAGTGACATCAGGTTCCATGATGAGGAGGAAAGGTTGCAAACATTTTCAGGGTGTTGGTCCGACGTCTACCCGGTCGACCCTATCAGTTTGGCTAAAAATGGTTTTATCTTCATTGGACCTGGCGACCTTGTCAAGTATATTTTCTGTTTGAATACGTTGAGAGGTTGGGAAACGGGTGATGTGGTAGAAGAAGAACATCGACGCTATTATCCAGACTGTCCTTTTGTACAGGCTGCACATTCACACACACACACACACACACACACAGGAGTTGTTTTAAGTAAATAAATTTTTTTATATACATTTAAATGCTCTTTTGTGATTTATTGTAATAGCTGATTAAAAGGTGTGACAACTTTCCCATCCAACTTTGAAATCCTACGCAGTCAAAACATCGGTGTCTGTTATACACCGCAAACCAAACTTTTTTCACTCAAACCAAAAAGCTCTCACATACACACACACACACACACACGCACACACACACACACACCATCACAAAACGAACTGGTAAAGACAAAAACAATATTACATCGGGAAAACTTCACCGACCCTAGTATAAATTCTATCCGCAACAACTCCAAGACCTGGATGGACAGAGTTTGAAACAGGCCTCGGTGAAAACTTCACCGACCTTAGTATGAACACGGCCCTAATCCAACTCCAAAACATAGGCCCTACATGTAACAACTTTGAAACCTACCTAGGTGAAAACTCACCGACCCTAGTATACATTCTACCCACAACAATTCCAAGAACATGTATGTATCAACTTGCCTCGGTGTTAACAAAACTCCCTCAACTCTAGTGTAAACTCTACCCCTAACAATTCCTAAACATACATGGTCTAGCTTCGAACCCTGCCTCGGTGAAAACTTCACCGACCATAGTATAGACTCTACACCAACCCCTTCCAAAACATCCGTGAACCAACATCACTCGGTGAAAACAAAATCCTTCCCACTCTAGTATGGATTCGGCCCCTAACACTTCCAAAACATGCCTGTATCAACTTTGTAACCTGCCTCGGTGAAAACTTCACCGTAGTTTGAAACCTACCAACTCCAAAGCATACATGTATCAACTTTGAACCAAGCCATGGTGAAACCAAAACCATACCACCCTAGTATAAACTCCACACCTAGCAATTCCTAAACATGCATGGTCCGAGTTCAAAACCAACCTCGGTGAAAACTTCACCGACCCTCGTATAAACTCTGCCGCATCTAACTCCTAAACATAGATATACCAACTACATACAACACACGGGCTCGACCCGAGTCGCTCAATACTATTTCTTTACTCGATGAAAAACCTATGATACTGTCCGTATAACTGTTAGTGAAAAGCACGGGAACCAACCGGGGGGAAAAAACCGATTAACGTGGTAACAGGTGTTCCCACACTTAATGCTGGTTTCGCGTTAATTACCATACCCCCCGGTGGGATCGCTTCGCGAACCCACATAAATCATCATGACCCGTCAAATCGAGCGGGGAAAAACCCACGATGCATGACCAAATTAATTAGGCGGACCATCATTTGATGGCCCGTGGGTGGAATCAATATTAACGCGCCCGTTGTCCAGTGTTTGACAAGAACAAAGGATTGCGGATCGATAAGTAACAGATGTGGTTAAATGGATGTTCTATTTTCGGTAACCGTTCGTTGTGTTGCTGAATGGTCCCTATACAAAGTCCACGCTAGTGTTAGTCTTTTATTTAAATTCAAACTAATTATAAAATAAAATTAAAAATAAACAAAATAAAAATAATTAAAAAGTAAACAAATAATCAAATTATGTAACTCGTTAATAAAAAATAAAAAATTACACAATATAAACAAAGTAATTAAATTAAACAACAAGTAAACAAACAAATTAAACAATTATGTAATAAAAACAAATAATCAAATTACGTAACTAGGTCAAAAATTAATTAAAATTTTAAAAATTCATTAAAACTCATTAAAAAACACATTAAAATTACGTAACTAGGTCAATGATTACGTCACAAGGTCACTGATTACGTCACAAGGTCAATGATTACGTCACAAGGTCACCAAAAGGTGACTCACCCTTCACTGCTCCGCCAACCCCAGTTGGCGTAGTATTTTACTATATGTCTTTGCGCCTGCGGTGCATCCTGCTCACCCACCCTGCGGCAGCTGGCGTAGTATTTTACTATATGTCTTTGCGGCAGGCTGCGGCAGGCTGCGCATCCTGCTCCGAGTATTTTACTATATAACCTTTGCGCCTTCCCACCACCTGCTCCGCCAAAAATACTAACCAAAAGCGACCTAATATACTACTCCTGGTCACGTGACTACTACATGGGCGTGAGTTTAAAGTTCAAGAAAACAAAAAAGTTGATGCCAGATCATGATAAATGAAGTAGAAACCTACACATTTCTCATACCGGAAGCAAAAATGAGACTCGAATAAATCATTCCTAGCATCCAAAATCCTGAGAGATTATATTTGTGCATCTTTTTTTTTTAAAACGCCACGATCTGAATAAACTATTGAAATCCAAGGAACGAGCTAAAGGGGTTCCTATATGAGGTTTATGCTGATGGATGCCCCTATGATAATAAAAGAGTTATGATACCAGAATTCAAGCAAAAAATTTACAATTCTTTCCTTTAAAAAAAAAACCTCATTAATTTTTTTAATGTTTCGTCGAGTTTTGTTTTTTTGTAATTAGTTTAATTAGCTGAGTGAATGACGAGGTTGTCAGAAGTTGGGCACAATAAAATGTTTGACATGTGTGTAGGACGTGTGTAGGTGTAGGCAATCACGTGTGTCCAGAGGCGTAGTGACCCTTCCCGGCGCCCGGGGACAAACTTTCAATTTGGCGCCCCCTCGGGGTCAACCCTTTCAATTTTCGATTTGCCCCCCCCCCCCCGCCCTCAAACTTTCGATTTGCACTCCCCTCTCGAACTTTCGATTTGCACCCCCCCCCCTCATATATTTTTTATATTTATTTATATAGCAAAAATGCAGCTAAAATAAGATTTTAATTTGTTTTTCCAACCCATTTTGGCACCCCCTAAAGTCGGCGCCTGGGGACATATGTACCCCCCTGCTCCCCTTCGCTACGCCTCTGCGTGTGTCTAGATGCGGAGGCGTGTTGTATGTGTGTAAGGGACTAAGGATAAATGTGTGTAAGAGTACATGCGTGTAAGGGTGTATGATTAGTATTCTTGTTTAGGTCTATGTGTGTGTATATTTGTTAGTTGTCATGTATATATACACACATGTATACAATATGTATGGGTCTGTGCGTAGCGTGCATGGGATTCTTTCGATCAAAACCAACAAGGCGGTTGGCTACATACTCAACCTTGTTGGGTCCATAAACACATAATTTTCTCTTCCTCTCTAGAGTCTAATCAAGTAGTTAATGATTTAACTCCAGGAAAAATAAATTCCACACGTAAACTGCATAGGTTCGTCTCACTTAATAAATTCGATGGGTAACAATGGCAGTTTCTTTCTCAGACCTTTAATTCTATATCGCTACTGTTTTCTTAACTTAGAAAGTCGTAGTTATTTTTTGTGCATTTTTCTTTTGGGGGAGAGGGGGGGGGGGTTCGGAGGGTGTGTGGTATTTTTTTTTTATATTTAGATCTAGTAGGTACACAAACGTTTGAAGTATTTTTACAATAATTTTGACCAAAAGACAAGCGTTTCTATAAGTCGTCTCCCTTTATTTAGTTTAAAATCTAGTTGCTTCCCTTGCTTAGTTTATAATCTGGGCTGGTTTCTCATAGGCCTAGAGTTGAGAAATAAAACCCAGATCTTTCTGTTCATAGATATTATTCGACTAGTGAAGAGCATCAACCACGGCAGGCCGTACCGACCTCTCGTGCCTAACGAGAACGATTTGCCCGCCAAAGCTTTCACCCTCATGGCCTTATGCTGGTCCGAAGAACCGGAGGCACGCCCAGATTTTCACAACATCCGGAAAAAACTGCGGGAATTCAATGGAACCAAGTGAGATATTTTTTCTCCTTTTTTTATTTTTAGAAATGTTTTTGATCGGGAGGAGGGCAGAGGTTGAGTGTGACGTAAAAATCGATTGTGATTTGGATAACTATAATTGTTAGATTGCGTGTGGCCATTTCTGTATATGTGTGAAGCATGGACTCATATCGTGTGGGCGATTTGACTTAGAATCGAAGTGAGCGTTTAAGGTTCTTTTTAAAATGAAAGTAGGAAAACAAGATCACTTTGTTGGGGCTAAAAGTTGAAAGGCGCCATGTAGTTCGCGTTATAATCGATGAAGACGCCAATCTTGTTACTTAATGACCTTTTTTTAGCATCTATGAAGAAGCCTTGGTATTTATCAACTAAAAATGGCGACCACAGGTTATATAAAACATATGACCACGCCCTCTTGTCTACCCCCTATGACCACGCCCACTTGTCTACCCCCCTATGACTACGCCCTCTTCTTTAGCCCCTATGACCACACCCTCTTGTTAGCTCCTTTGACCACACCCTCTTGTTAGCCCCTATGACCACGCCCTCTTGTTTCGCCCCTATGACCACGCCCTCTTCTTTACCCCCCTATGACCACGCCCTCTTCTTTACCCGCTATGACCACACCCTCTTGTGTCGCTCTTATGACCACGCCTTCTTGTTTAGCTCCTATGACCACGCCCTCTTCTTTAGCCCCAATGACCACGCCCTCTTGATAACCTCTATGACCATGACCATTTCTTTAGCCCCTATGACCACGCCCTCTCGTTTCGCCCCTATTACCACGCCCTCTTGTCTAGCCCCTATGACCACGCCCCTCTTGTCTAGCCCCTATGACCACGCCCCCCTTGCCTGTCCCCAGCAGGAGGCTGAACATCATGGACAACATGCTGCACATGCTGGAGTCCTACAGCAGCAACCTGGAGCAGCTGGTCACTGACCGCACGGAGGAGCTGGAGGCTGAGAAGCGGAAGACGGACACGCTGCTCTACCAGATGCTGCCGCCGTGAGTTCTTGATGCACGTGCATTCTGGCGCACGCGTGTCAACATCACATGTTTTCTCTTAGTTGAATACAAAACGAGGAATATGTATATATTTCCTCAACCGACAGCTTGTTGTGTGTCGTGCATTTATTTCTATCAGACTTTTCGTTCGGGGTGGGGGAGTGTTGAGTAGACGTGCTTGGAGGAGGGGAGAATTGCCCCTTCTCTATCTCCCCCCCCCCCCCCCAAACGAATGACTGAAAGAAACATAGGTCATATAGAATTAGGCCTGTAGCATGTTTTTCGTACCCACGCCACTTATGTTATAAGTTGTTTATGTTTCCATTCTAAATTCAAAAGTTTTTTCCATCCTTTTATTTCCATTTTTCAAAGTAATTTTAGTACACATTTATAACCAATAATCAAAAATGTTTATTTCATTTTAAAATGTACAAACCTTGCAGGCTGGTAGCTGAACAGCTAAAAAGTGGGATGTCTGTGATTCCAGAATATTTCGATCACGTGTCCATCTTCTTCTCTGATATTGTTGGCTTCACAGCTATAGCAAGCCAGAGTAGACCGCTAGAGGTTAGCTATATTTTCTTGTATAGATCTTCATGGGGGGGGGGGGGGGGCTTTATTCAAGAAACAATAATAGAGCAATAAACCACACCTGTCGGGGACGGCGTGGTAGAGAGCTAGCCTACTAACCCGAGAGTATCGAGTTCGAATCCGGGTTCAAATCAGTGGAACGTCCCTGAGTCCACCTCGCTCTGATGGGTACCTAACTTACTTTAGGGAAACAAAAGCGGCTGGGCATAGTGCTGACCACACTATTCCTTTATATGCCGAGGTCTCTGAAGCAGGTGAACTCTAATTCATCTACCGCGTGTGTCTTGGGCACGAACGGAAAATGATGATGAAACTAAACCTAAACTTTTCAATATAAATTTAATGTTTAATTGATGTTTTGCAAGACATTAGTGAAATTATTGTTTTTTTTTTTTTATCAAGGCGTAGAGAAATAAAATTGTTGTTTTGGTTTCTTCACAGGTGGTAGATTTGCTCAATGATTTGTACACATGTTTTGATGAGGTTATAGCACGTAGAGATGTCTATAAGGTAGGATAAGTCTTCAGTGTATAGAAACCAGATAAGCGAAAATGTGGCATTCGTTTTACTGTGTGGGGCCTACCCTCTAAACATAAAAAGTCATTGCAAATAAAGTAAATAAACCAATGTAAACACACACGCCGAGACTGAAGCTACGGAAAACTTCATACCTTTGAGAAAAATGTCAAATTGGAAGACACAAATAACACCATCCGGACCGCCCCCCCCCCCCACACACACACTAACATTATCAACACCCCTCCCATCCCACTTCATTTCCCCTCAAAAGTATGTTGTGAAGTGACGTGCGGCGTAGGTTCAAATATTGCGCTATTTCGTTGGTCCATAAATGACGTCACACACCCTATGAGGGGTGGGAGGTGAGGTGTCGCAACATGAATTTGGTATTCGCTAAAAATAAATGATGCGTTCGCGTTAACATTCTAATGATGAGGAATTCTCTGATGAGGAATGATGGGTTATTGTGACATTATAAATAGTGGCTTTTTGTTACACGTAACGTTTAATTGGTAAAAATGTGATTAAATTCCATGACATTATTTGCGGTACCCCTAGTGTTACATGAGTCTTGAGTTCACATTAAAAAAAAGACAAACCACAAGACCTTGTAAAGAAACGAAACGAAATGTTAGGATTGTTTCTATGTTGCAGAGTTTCTTCCAGGCATCTCTTCGGGGAGGCTTTGCCCCCCCCCCCCCCGAAATTTTTTACCGCCCCCCCCCCCCCCCCCGAACGAAATGAAATTTATATAATTTATATAGAAAATATATACTTTTAACAGTGTCCGCCCCCCCCCCCCCCCGAAGAAAGTTTACCCCCCCCCCCCCCCCCGAAAATCTCGAGTGCCCCCCCCCCCCCCCGGAGAAAAAAGTCTAGAAGAAACACTGCTATGTTGCTATTATTACTCCGTAGGTTGAAACAATCGGCGACGCCTACATGTGTGTCAGTGGCTGCCCCAAGAAAAATGGAACACGGCACGCCGGAGAAATCGCAAACATGGCGCTGGACCTCATTTCTGCCGTCACACACTTCCGCATCCGGCACAAGCCCGAGGAGCGGTTAAATTTGAGGGTGGGGCTCCACACGGGGCCGTGTGCGGCCGGTGTGGTTGGACGGACGATGCCTAGGTACTGCCTGTTTGGTGATACGGTGAATATGGCCAGTAGAATGGAATCTACCGGGAAAGGTACGTAACTCTTCTTTTTTAAAGAGAGTCAGATAGTATGCCAATTATCTCCCTTTGTTTCGTTACCCTCAGATTATATTTCCTTTTTATTTTTAAAAGATACTCTCTTTGAATAAAATAATAAAATTTAAAAAAAAAATTATAAAATAAACATTTAACAAGTTGCATAGATTTACCATTACCGAACCATAATAAACGAGAATTCTAAATTTTAAAAATGATATTTTATGAGAATTAGGATAATTTTACAAAGTTAAGTTTCACGAAATACAAAGTCAAATCAAAATGTTAAAATAACATGTCAAACGTGTAAACAAAATATACAAGAAACTGAGAAACACATTTATTTAGATTGTATATTAGTACAGAAAACAAAGCAAACACTTGCGAAAATATTAAACACCACCAATCAAACAGCCACAACAAATAAAGCAATCACACTTAATTTAATTAACACGACTAGACAAAGAACAGAAGACGAAAACAGACTAGTAGCAACGGCTATTTATAGATTGACTATATGGCAAATTAGGAATAAAGTCAGATATTTTTTCACAAAATACACGGACATCGAGTTAAAAGAAATATTTCAAGCAAAGCTAAGACATAGACTGGGAACTCTCACTTAACTGAGAAAAAAAAAAGAAATATACAGGAAAGAAATAAATAAAGTATTAATTTTAATTTAGACAGTCTCAAGCCAAACATCACTCGATCAGCCCCCAAGTAAATTAACATTAGAACAGTCTTCTGTTTCCCGGGTTTTAAAATGCACAACCTGAATGGTAGAAAGAGATACCCACCTCAACCCCCCCCCCCCCAACACACACTCCCCCCCCCCCCAACACACACTCCCCCCCCCCCCCCCCCCCCCCACTCAACCGGACTGGCGGACATTTCAAGGTAGCGTGCCCTCATTGCCAAGGGTCAATTTTATGTCATGGAAAGTTTTGGAATGGTAGATCAGTACGTGATTACAGAGACACTTCTCCCACAGTCGTTTCTATTTCTGTCTATGGGTTGCTACAGTGTGAACTTTTGACTCCGCAGCACACTAAACTAAGCAGTGAAGAGAAACCTAGTTTGCACACCTTATTTTAATCTAGTTCTTATGCCATTTTATTTTTTCCCTTTGATTATTATATATGCAATTGATGTTCATTGTTCATGTCTTTGATGCTATGTAAAATCTATCAAATATATTATTATTACTGATTTAAATGTTTATAACAATTGAATTAATAAAAAAAAAAATAAATAAAAAATCTACCCCCTCCTCTCTCCCCATCTATCTACTTTACCCTCAGACATGATAACCCCACAATCCCTTTAACTGTTCCAACGACCCCACCACCCACCGCAACATCAATATCCAGAACTTATTTAAAGTTCTAAATCTTGTCTCTTTCCCCTCATCTTTCACACTGCAACCTTTTGAAAACTCAATGCGACCACTACAACACCCTTTCAACTAGTCAACTTAAGTTGTTTCCCTACATAGAAAATGCTTCACTGTCCCATTGACCCTCTCTGAAAATTTCCTTTCCTCTCCCCACCCCGACTTCTGACACTTTCTTTTGACCTTCACCCCTTTTACTGTCATCCTTTGCAATTTTTTTATAATCAAATACATGACATCATGTAAATATTCATTATGTACATTTGCAAAACCTTTCGTTTTCATTTGGTGTTCAAAATTATGTTAAAAAATTTGATGTTGATGTACTTGTTTTAATTGCAAATAAAAGTATTAAAAAAAAAAAAAAAAAAATTTACAAAGTTAAGTGTTCCCTAATTTTACCCCAGCCCTTCACATCCACATGAGCAATGAGATGAAGGAGGCTTTGGATGACCTTGACTGGGGTTTTCTGATGGTGGAGAGGGGCTTCATTGAGGTCAAGGTAGGTCAACAGTTATTTTTAGAAGCTTTTACTCTATCTTCTTTCTACGGTGGGGGGGGGGGGGGGGGGGGGGGCGGACACTAGTAAAAGTATATGTTCACTATATAAATTCCATCTTGTTTGGGGGGGTGGGTGGGGCGGTAGACTTAGAGCACCCCAAAGAGATGAGAGATGCCTGGAAGAAATTATGATATGGATGACGTTGAGATTTTGATTGAGCTTGAAGTAAAGGCTCATTTAAACTTTATTTCTAAGCTTCATTCAGGTTTTCATTGTTATACCCTAGTTAACATAATTAAAACTTTTTTTTTTCTAAAGGGCAAGGGCTTACATAAAACATTCTGGCTAGCAGGGAAGACAAACTACAAGAAGCCACTGCCTCAGTCTCTTGTAGAGTAAGTTTATTTTTATACTGCTGGAGAGTTTGGTTTAATAATTTTAATGACTTAGCTGACTCAGTGGCGTAACAAGGTGGTGGAGGGAGTTGCAAGCCGCACCAGGTGACGCCATCCAATGGGGACACGAAAACAAAATAGCTAACACAGTATCTTATGCAAAGCAGTTATGTAAATCCTGATTATAAATTGTATAATTTTCTCCTTTTTAATCTTATAATCCTAGTTTACAAAAGAGCCTTGAAGATGGAGGCCATCCTCCCACCCCGTCCTACTGCACCCTCACAGTGGGGGACAGCATGTTCAGCGCCCTAAGGAAGACGTCCATCACTGTCAGCAACATCACCATGGAGAACACCCCCTACACCTCCGACTCTGAGGACGCCAGCAGCACCCACGGCCCTCTGTCAGACGCCAGTAAACTCGCAGACATGCGCAGCGCCAGTGCTGTCATCAGCGCTTCTAGTAATGTCCCGAAACGTAGATACGCCACTGTTGCACCGGTTGAACTTGTGGCTAAATTAAACAACCAATCAGATGGTACGTCGTGGGGGAAGTATAAATGCGAGGAAGCTGACAATATGGGAAATACTAACAACGAAACAGACACTACGGAAACGATTAGCTATGTCAAGCAGGCTATTAAAAAAGACAGCGCCTGCTATAGCCTGTCAGACAACAGCAGCGACCCCGACCTCAATAGGGTGGATAACTCTGTTGGCCCCTGGGGGTCTCAGAACGCTGACTTTGAATATTTGCCCAGTTTGTCAGGAGACAACAACGAAAATGTTTCCAGTGTTTTTGGCGACACAAGTCAACAACTGGAAACCGTGCAGAAAAAAAGATCGGTGCGGAAGAAATATAACGACAGACGAGGGGTCATTGACCCCCATGATATCCCCAGAATAGAAATTACATAGGTGATGATTAATGTTTAGAAATGTTTACTAATGTTAATATCTGATCTCAAAACAATTTTTTTTTAACCGCAAAAAGGTTCTTGATAAATACAAATTTTCTAGAGTAAAAAAGAAATTTAGGCTTTTTTTAAATAATTTCATTTTAAAGAATAATGTGAACCTCTTTTTAAAAAATGATTTACTGGAATTACAGCTTGTTCAATGCTATTTTTAGATTTTGAGCACACTTGGCACATATCATGACCTGTACATTTTCTTATAAAATTTGGCATTTAGCAAGGGGTTAATGTGTTTAAATTATCTGAAGCTTTTAAAATCTTGTATGCCATTAAAATCTGTTGACTATATGCTGCAGAAATATAAAACAATTGAAACACATATCAATTATTTCCAACAAAAGCCGTACAACTAATCAGAGTGCATGTAGCACTTAAGAGTTCACAAGAGAGTTTTATCCAAGTCAGCATTAAATATTTGTTACAGTAAACAGCTCTAAAGTATTATATATGTTTCACCCATGTATTAAACATAATTCTTTATATATTAGTATTTATTATAATGTTATTTATTCTTTTAAAATATAGAGGAATAAATGTTATTTTTTAAATACAGTTCCTGATTCATCATGCTAAAAACTTAAACAAGTAAAAATGATGTTTTTGCCCATATATTGTTCATACATTTTAACTTTTATCACTTAAGCATTCCACTGTACATTCCATTTGTAATTAAAAACTGTTTTATTAACACTTTTTCTCTAACCTGATGCCACCAATTTCAGTTATATAGCAATTGTAATTGTTTTTTGTTTTTGAACAAAAAATTTGAGAACCAAAGTTGCACACCACAGACATTTTTTTTTGTAAAATTAAGAAATGCAAAATGCTGTGTTAGTTGTTAAATATTATAAATCTTTCTTATTTCAGCTTGAAGATGCCTTCTTAACAAATTAGACAAAAATTAATGTATAATAAACTGAAGGTTTTTTTTATTAACAGTGTTACCTAGAGTTATTGTTGAATGAAACTGAAGCCCCACCAGAACCATGTCAACATGTTTAATAATTAGTTAATAATGCTTTGTTAAGTAATCATGACACATTTTGATCTTAACTTTACTTTTCCATCAATCTCCTCATCTAAGTGTGTTAATTTTTAAGCAATGTTGATCAAATCCTAATATTCTAAGCAATAATATATTGTTCCATTCATTTCTTACGGCAAGTAACAATTTTTTGATCAACTAGCCCTGTATTATTCTCACACAATAAATTATTTACATTTGTTGATTGCATTTCATGTACTTTTTATGAATTTGTGAATGCATTATTTAAAAAAATGAATAAACTAGTAAAACAAAAAACTGTTATACAAAGAATGTGTTATTACATGATTTAAATAAAGCACATTTATTTCTAGAACATTCTGGCTACTTTGCATTCAAAACTACCATTTTTGACATACTTGATCAGTTAATCTCTTTCACAATCTAATTTATTTTTGAATTTACACTGTAAATTTGATTAGATCAGTTGTTTTTAAAACAATTACCAATAAACAATATCTTTAAATACAGTTTTTAATTCAGAAAAAAACAACACTACCTAAAATAAGTATCATAATTTTTCCTCATATATCACTTGTACTGTCAATGAGCAGGTTTCACAGCAGACAATGTCAAAACGGACTTGGGACTCCAGCTCGGACAGCACATAACAACTTCCGCAGCGGCATGGGTACGTGTACACATTTTCACAGGAGTCAAAGTCAAAATCTTTAATATGTACAGTCTCTTGGATGGGTAAATCCTGGACGAGACTGCGCTCGTACCATTTGGCATCAAACTGAGCCCGCAGCTCTGGGTCACTGAGAATCTTCCAAGCCCTGTCAACTTGGATAAACTTTTCGGTGTTAGTCTGAGAGGCTGGTAAATTGTGCTTCTGTGGAGTTTTATCTGGGTGGTACTTCAGTATTAACTGCGTGTAAGCTTTCTTTAACTCTTCCACTGTAGCACCTGGGTTGGACTGCAAAATATCGTACAGGTTCTCCATCCTATAGAAATAAGTAGAGAATAAACATTTTACACAGATTTCTTTATTTGCAATTTTAATGATTCATTACAGAGGTAATTTACCAGAAATATACTAATTTAGAATGGCCTAGTATAAATCTATAGTGCATCTGTCCTTATCCTATTGTTATATAATATTGATATTGATAGACATGATCCTTCCTTATTCTTAGCTAACAAGAACCCACTATTATATTCACTAGTGACACTGACATTAAATTAAAAACTTTACTTATACACTAAGAAAAAAATGGCTCTATCTGTCATTTTTAGCTTAAAAATACTGTGTTTAAATGTCACATGAATTCATCGTGATGTCAACCGTCAACCAATGACACTATGAAAAACACTAGAAATAGTTTTTTTTCTAAACTTTTTACTGAATCGGCTATTATCAATGTTACATTACAATATCTAATCAAGATCTCTAGGATTCTAGATCTATAGGCCTATATACTATATATATATATATATATATATATATATATATATATATATATGGTAATCTATCGTTTTAGGTGCGTAAATCGGCCAAGGATAGTATTGTCAAATATTATAGATAACTGAACAATAAACCAAAAACAATGGCTAAATTAAATATATCAACAGGTACAGTGTTTGCGAGCAGGATTTGCTATATAAAAAGCGGCCATCTGTCAGTATTAGAGTGGTTTCCCCTGAATCTCTTATAGATATATAATATATATATATTATATATAGGGCCTATATACATAATAGGCCTATAGATATATAATTTATTGTATATAATATATAATAATACAAAAAAAACTTTAACAAGATGGCTGCTAAAGTAAATAATTTGGATGATATTTTGAGTCGTCCCTTTGAATCCCGGTCAGAACGTCCCCCCGTCGTGGCCTCAACCAACCGGCGGGCTTGTTGCATTGAATTAAATTAAATTCACAATTAATAATAAACACAATGTAAATTGTCATTCATTAGATTAATACTTAATTAATACAATACATTAATTGACATTAATTTAATAATTTTAATTTAAATATTAAATAAATAATTTTAATTAATTTAGGCCTAATGATTCACTTAAATTCACTAATGAAACATTTTTTTTTAAATCCTCCTAAAAATGTGAAATAATTAACCGATTACCCCATATAGTGGCATATAGGCCTAGATCTATATCTAGATCTAGATAGTATATAATAGAATATATCTAGATATCTAGGTCTAGTACTAGTATCTAGAATCTACAATCTAGATAGAAATGGCATTAGTACCAGCATTAGTGTTCGGCTAATTCATTGTTTATAATTTCGGCACGTACGTTTACTGTTTTTATGACAGAAGAAGCCATATTTTCTTGATCCAAAAGTACTCGATAAAAATAAATAGCAGCCTGAGACCTACTAATTTACAAATTAATTAGAGTTTTTATGACTTTTTTTAGATTCCAAAATGTGGTTTTTAGAAAAGGAATTGATATTGATAGCAATAGAGCTACTCTGGTCCCCCTTCTAAATCTCTCTAATGTGGTTCCAATCGCCATAAACCGACGAACGACTTCAGCCGGCGTACCAAACCGTGTCAGGGTACTGGGTTCGACGGAACCGCCGGAACACCGGCTCATTGACAGTCGCTCGTGAAATCTCTTAGGATATATATTTTATAGCGATCGGTGCTTTTACTTATGAGAGAAAGAGAACATGTGTTTATTTTTATTGTCAATGCAAAAAGCGTATAAGAATAGTTATTTAAATTCAGTTTGGCGTGTGAGCGTTAGTGCGTGTTAAATGAAAAAAAAATGGTATTCTAAAATTGCTTTGATACAATGAATTCACATACTGTTAATAAGCTTTTATTTTATTTAATCTTATTAATTAAGCTTCACGTCTTGATGAAAGGGTTACTTAAGTGATGTGTGATTCTCCAAGACAACGGGACAGATTGGGAGAAAGGTCGATGCGTGAATAAAGGGTCGTCCATAAATGATGTCACAATCGTAGGGGAGGGGGTCAGTAATTTTGTGACGGTGTGTGATGAGGGGGAGAGGGAGGGGGAATTTGATGGTGTGACTTCCATTTTTTGCATTATAAAAAAAAAGCAATGTTAGAAAACGAGTTTTAGCCATTATTTCGCGTTTTAGAAAACGGTTTTAATAAATTGTAATAGGAACTGATCAAAATACTCTATGTTGACAGAATTCTGTCAAGATTTTGGAAAATTATCGATGTTTTAAGAAAAATTCAACAGCAATTTCGAAGGGGGTTGTAGGCTAAGGTGTGACGTCATTTCAGAGGGGGGTCTGGCTTTTTGTGACGACGTGTGACGGAGGGGAGGAGGGAGGTAAAAATAGTCCATAAAAAGCGTGACGTCATTTATGGATGGCCCCTAAAACTGCCAGTGGTCTCTTTCTAGCATGGGCCAATAAATCTAAAATATCTTTCTTTGACAAGGAAATGCGAACCGGATCGAACCAATTGCAGCTAGTAATTCTTTTTCTTTAAAATAAAAGTCCTGCAAAGACTGACGTGGAAACCTTCTTAAGGGGCCAAGTAGAAATGAGATGTAATTAGGCTCCTTCTTTAACCAACACAATTAGTACAAATTCAGACCCACGATAAGCGCATCTAGTGATTTCACTGGGTTGGGTGTCACTCGGTGCGGTAACCAATGACGTCACTCTCCCCTCCACCAATTTTACATTTTTGGTTTGGTATTACCCCTCTCCCACTACTATTTTATTATTTTAACTGGATAAAACATTCTTTTGACAGTTACGAGGTTTTTTAGTCACCATTGTAACCTTCTTAATTGTGTCACCCGGTGCGGACCGCGCCTCTCAAACGCGCCTTGTGATGCAACAGAGCGCATCTATTTCACTTGTATTCATTTAGCTATCATCTGTTCTTGCTTTTTCAAATGCTTTAAATTTTCCGAAAAAAAAATAGCGCCACTGTTCTAAAAATGCTGGCAGGGGAGCGGCCACTTTCCCCGGTCCCCCATTCAGAGTTTCTTCCAGGCATCTCTTCGGGGGGCGAAGCCCCCCCGAAAATTTTTTACCGCCCCCCCGAACGAAATGAAATTTATATAATTTATATAGAAAATATATACTTTTTACACTGTCCGCCCCCCCCGAAGAAAGTTTACCGCCCCCCCCCCCGAAGATTTCAAGTGCCCCCCCCCCCGGAGAAAAAAGTCTGGAAGAAACACTGCATTGTTAATGTGTATTTTATTAATTAAATTACCCTCTGTTAGTATACTAGGCCTACCCCAAAGGATGTTAAGTATAGGTGAATCCCCATATTAACCATACCTCACAGCATATGTGCATAAGTGCGTGGGCAGTAAAAAGTTATAAAAATTTTTTATTTTTGTAAAATCCTGAAATATATGGTGTTTATAGATCAAGTGATTTAACACCCCCCCCCCCTCCTCCCAAATAACGTATCCATTACTTTTCACTTATTATTTATATAAAATTGGCTTCAATCGTTACTTCCGGGATAGCTACACGTTATGAGTAAAGACCTTCAACTTTGTCTTCAATAAACAAAGTTGGTAACAAACATGATGGCTGTACTAGGTGAATTGCGTGTGTTATTAGCACCTCACTACATTACGGATATAATACTTGCAACATTGTATTTTATTTTGAAAAGTACACCCAAAGTATGCAATGTCTTGTTTCATTCATGCACACTTGAAATGGTAAGTTTTGAAGTTGTAGAGTAAAGTTCCACGCGCGGTCACACATAGCGGAAAATTCCAAATTCCCGATTTTCATCGGGCGCTATTTTATAACCGTTTCACACAGAAACAAACCGAAAGCACTGTATTACTCTGCTGCCATTCTACTGTAATATGTATGAGTCATTTTGTATTCCTACGCATAGTATTTAAGATATTCATGTTTTAGTGACGTCCCTCCTTGCGATATTTTTTTTCCCTTTTTTTTTTGCCTGCGTACGCAAGAACCTGCTTGCCAACGAGCGTATTGTATACGTTTTGATCCAATTTTAATAATTGAAATAAATATTTTACACACTTAAACGTGTTGTTGATTGTATTATTAATAGCGTGTATTACGGCTTCGTAATTTCTAAGGGCAACCATTTTGAAAATGGCGCTGACTTCCCCTTTCGCTTTTTGTCCCAGGCTTCCGTCACCGCCGCGCGTGAGTCTAAGAATAGACTAACGGCTTGTTCCAACCGGCATTTCGTTGACGCTCTCTTCCCGTCGGGTTTACTTGACATATTGGAAAATTTTTTGGCGGACGATATTTATTAATTTAGTTTTTCTTTCTTCGGAATATTGCTGTCAAAAATAGAGGTAATTTCATCATTTTTTTTCTATTTGAATTAGATTCCAGTTCTTTTTAAAATTTTGGTAGTTCGACAGAGTTTTGCAAATTTTTTTTAAATTAAGTCTGAAAACGGCTAATTTCCCACCAACAAGTCGTTTAAATGTACCTGCAAAGTCTGAATCGATAGCTTTGTAGCCGCCATTATTTTAAAAAGATTTTTAAAATATTGTATATTTATTAAGTTTTTTAAAAATAGCATTATTAAAAAAAACTATTTTACGAAAAAAAGTAATAAGGTTTAATAGTGTCATTAGGTAGATTTAGATCTAGATCTAGACTAGACCTAGAATTTCTAGAAATTCTAGATCTAATCTAATCTAGATCTAGATTATAATGTAAATAGTAGATCTAGATCTATTACTATTATATTATATCATCTTAGAAATCTAAATCCAGATCTAGAGATTCTATCATTCTAGTCTAGATCTAGCTACTCTAGATTCTTAGAATTAGATCTAGATCTAGATTCTAGATTAGATCCAGATGATCGTCAAGCTAGGCTAGACTAGATCACTAAGAGGAGAGGCTAGATCACTAGTAGATCAAGAATCTAGATCAATTTATGAAACCTAGAATCTCTAGATTTATAGATCTAGATCTAGATGATGTAGATTCTTTATTCTATACAATATATAATACATATTCTATAGTATAGTATAATTAAGTATAAGCCTAATCTAAATTATTTTAGAAGATCTAGATCTCTATAATATAGTCTATATAATACTATATATTAACTATCTAATTTTCTAGATATAGACTCTAGAATCTCTAATCTACTTTTTTTTTCAGTCTGTGGTCTTGCAGCTCTTTGATAGAAATCTGTGTGAGAAATCATTCAGCCATCGGAATCACAGTTAGATCTTTCTGATAAGTGACAGTACTTTAAGTGATCATATTTACCTAATTATTAATTATAGACTACTTTTAATTATAGATCTACCTATTTAGTGTTAAGTAATTAAATCTAGATCTAGTTCTAACTTACCTCTACTCTAAACTCTAAACAATAGTAACTTTTTACTAGACTCACAATTTTAAAAACAAATGGTTTTTTTTTTTGTGTGAAATAAACCTAGTAGGCCTAGTCTATTTATTTTAAAATAAACCTAATGCCTAGATATCTATTTCTAAATTTTCCAAATGCATTTTCAGAATTTCGAATGAGGAGATGGAGATGGCTGGGCCATGTCCTACGCATGAGCAAAAGATGACTCCCCAACATGGCACTGGAAAACGAAAGAGGGGAAGACCACTGGGAACATGGAGGAGATAGATGGAAGAAGAAGTGCAAGCTGCTGGCAAGACTTGGCATGAACTAAAGTGGCTCGCCCGGACAGAGTGGAATGGCAGGGATTTGTTGCTGCCCTATACTCCACAGGGAGTGATGTGGATTAAGTAAGTAATTTGTAATAGACTACTAATGTAACAGACTTTTTTCTAACACTAATTGTTTATTTTAGTATACTAAGTCATGACTTGATTCATCAACTTACAGCTATAAAATACAGTTGCACAGAACTTCCTTTATAATTCATATTTTTCTACAATAAGTAAACTAAGAAAAGATACTAAATCATTGCAGAGAAAGCAGACACAGATCCAGTGTTGGAAGAGGAAGTATTTTACATAAAAGAAAAAAAACAACAGATGTCAAAGCAGGTATTGGCTGGTGCAGAAACAGCATGAAAGGGTAAGTTATTGATGATTTCAAACATAAAATATGCTAAATTGCAGGTTAGGTTTCAAAGAACAACTGGACATCTTCAGCAAGAGAATTGAGAACCAAGATTGATAGTGTTAAATGGGAGATGGATTCGCTGACAATGACAGAGTATTGAAGGAGATAGATGATGTTTTAAGAGGAGAAAGGTTCAAGATCTCAGTTAAGAATGACATTGTTCAGGCAGAGAATCTCAAACTGATTGAGGAGTTTGACAGGGTCATCGACACAAACCAGTTACAGAACAAAATAGACACAGACATTCAATCTCGAATGAAGCAGATGAAGAAAAAGTTGGAAGCTATGGAACGCAGAGATACTGAAAATTCCATCTATGAAGTGTTGTCTGGATCGAATGTCTCAGTAAACCATCCCCTATTTCGTGGTGTTGACAGAAGTGGAAACCCTCTTTGTCAAGAATTGTGGGTGGTAAAGACCTGGTTGGTGTCCAGCTGACTGACAATTGGGAGCTAGATGATCAGAAAGTGCATCGCTATTATGTGAGGATTATTAACAGAGTACTAGCTAAAAAGAACAAGTCTGTTGTCTACACTGTAGGCTACTGGGCAACGGATGAGGATGAAGCTGAGGACTTTTGCCTACCTACTGAGTCACTGATAGCTGACTTGATTAGTAGTGATCTCTGCTTTACATCCTAATCTGCTGTTAATCCTTGGACAGCAGGATTATTAACAATTTGAGCTTTAAAAAATAATTAATGTTTCATTTTAAATTTGCTTTGTTCCTTTGTTATATATTTTTATGTTTACAGTTACATGCAATGATTGCAATATTTATGTCTTTACAATATGTATATAATTTCTATTTTTTCAAAAGTGCGCACAATTTTTTGTTATTTGAATTTCTTTGGCTTGATGGTGCAGTTACTTAAGGTTTCATCACAATATCTTTTTTTTAGTTTGGTAATTGCATGAAGTGTTTATAATATTACTCCTTCCATTTCTTATTTGGAAAGTTCATTTTTTTTTTATTTCTTCTTACAGCACTCTGATGGGCATTACATAGTGATGTACAGTTTTTTAAAAATTAGATGAGTATTATTTATAATTTAAATAATTTTTAGTTTGTCAGTTAAGATTCATTATTGATTTTTTATAGAATACATAAAAATTATATTGGCTATTACATTTACGCAAAGCAGTAGGTTAAAAAATAAAGGTTGGTAAGTAATGACATGGTATTATTTTTTTTAATCTCTTTTTTTATATTTTACTTATGGTATTCTAATTTGATACACAGTATAGTGTAAACAAATCAAGTAACTTTTTTTTTTCTTTGCAGATTTTTGTATCTTTCCTGGACTGATGACTTTCATTCAACCTGATCATTTTTTCAATTTGCATCAACTTGTTATATAAATCACTTTGTTGTACTCACACCTTAAACTTAAACCCATTATTACTTTTGTACTTTTCATTCATAATTGAAATTTATATAATTGCATCTAAATCTAATAAATAAATATTTTTTGTAAAGCAAACCATTTTGGTTCTTTTTATCTTTTGTTTTAATTTGAAACCAGGTCTTGTATAAGAAATTATACTGGTGGGTCTGTCAGAGTAACACCATGTTTGCACTTACCACATGAATACTATACATGTCTAGAAAAAAAAAACTTGCAATGAGTAAGCCTTCATAGACATGTTCTGATAAAATAAGCTTATGCTGAAGTTTTTTCTCTAGACTTGTGCAATTTACAGTGCAACAACAATTATTGAGAGTAAGCAGTCAATAAATATATATATATATATATATATATATTAGACACTAAATTACATATTAAATATTTAGAATGAATAAATAATCATAGTGAGAGATAATGGTTCCATTAATTAGTATCACTAGCATAACAGATAAATTTTTATAACTTACTATAATGTGTTCAAGCAAGGTTAATAATATTGATAATCTATAGGCCTAACTATAAGAAGCAGCTGAACACCTTTGTAGAGGGCCTATATAAACTATATTATAACATTTTCACTATTTTAGACAATGGTATTGGTATGAAATTGTTGGTCATGTAGGGTAGGGCTCTACATAAATGTTAAAATCTAATAATTAAAAAAAAATTTTTTGCTACTACTACATGGTGGTTGTAATTCAAGTTTTCAGTAGGCCTATGCCTAATAATTTATTCAATTATTAATACGCCTAGATGTGTATAGTAAATATAATTTTGATAAGTCAAACTCATAATAAAATACTACATTAACAATTTATATTAAAATGACGAAAAGTCCGAAAATATAATTTGACGCGTATGACGTCATCAAGTTGTGTACTACCAATATCGGAGACACTTTTTTTTTAATGTAAGAGGAAAAATAATGGTGGCAGGTTAATCCAAATTTTTTATAAACACAAAAATTTTAAAATCGAAATAGGCTAAATAAACTTTTGCTAGACACACACAGAGTATAAAAAGTAGTTTCAGTAAAAAATTACGCGTCGATCGGTATCTTTTCCTCCCGAAAATAACGAATTTTCAATTTTCGAAATACACGCTATTATTAATTAATAGATTGCAAAAATAATAATTAAAAACATGTTAATTAAATTAATTAAAGACATTAAAAGTTGACCCAGTGATGACTCAAGGGACGCAACTATAATAATCATAACAAAGGGACGTAACAACCACTAAAAGACATAACGTAACATTTGCTTAGATATGCTTGTATGTAGAGACACAAACTAGATTTAGAAGAAGTAGATGATCGAAATAATTTAAAACAGCAGAAAAAAATAGAAAGTATACAGATTCTAGGCTTAGTTTGAAATATAGAGCATCTAGAACTAGGCTAGTCTAGCTCAAGTCGTTGGTTACGCAGCGATGTGAAACCACCGTAATCGACACCCAAGCTGCGGCAACCCCTATTTACCTTTCAGGTTGCTTTATTAGCCTTATCTATCGTATGTACAGTGTCCCGCATATATTGTAGAAGCTATTTATAGTTAACCTAGTTATAAAAAGCTTTGATTGGTTGGTTTTATTCATCTCATCCGGGACCTAGTGTTTTTCATAGGGGGAACTAGAACCGCCTACGACGTCATACCTCGAAACTTTAAAATTTAAAAACTCGACTTCCAGAAGGAGAAAAACAAAAGAATTTGACCTGGATATATTTAGAAATGGACAGGTTTACAGCAGATATCGGTAGTTTCGTATAAAACATCAAAACAAATATTGTACGAAGCGATAAACAGGCGATGATCGCACCGGTGTTTTAACCGCGCGTGGAACTTTACTCTAGTTGTTAGTTTTAATAGTTTTAAAAAGTTCAAGTTCAACTGCTACAACTAGCTAGATCAGGGGTCGGCTCTTTTGATGTCGAGATGCGGCTCTTCAGCTCCATGCACAAATATAAATTTTTATTTTCAAAACTCATAAAAATATTTGTCTGCAACACTCTGTAATGAACAATATAATATAATAATAAACATGCATGTTTTGCTGCACTAGTGCACAAGTGGACAGCTCTAAAAGAGAAGCAGCGAGTTGTGTCACTATTATGTGACGCATAGAATAGTCTTCCAGCATAGAATAGTCTTCCAGGATGGTACAGTGAGGTGAAGAAGTTGGAATTTGGAGTGCTGACGATCTTCGGGTCAACATATTTATGCGAGCAAGCGTTTTCTTGCATGAATCCAATTCAAAGTAAAGAAGCCAACTAACAAATAAAAATCTAAAGACGTGCTTGAAACTGAAAACAAGTTATGAGCCAGGTTTAACCAAACTTTCAAAAGGCACGCACGGCCAAACTGTTGTAAATAGTATTCAATAATTAAAGTTATATACTTTCATTACTGATTTTATTATTCAAGCAGAACTAGATAAAATAATTTAATACTTTTTCTGCGGAACATTGGGAACAAATAAAAAGTTATGTGTTTTACTTTCTTTTCTGAGCTGTTTGTGCATTCAACAGCAGCACAGAACCCACCTATTTTCTACAAGTCTTAAAAGGCAACAAAGTGAAGCACACAGTAAACACACTGATTATGTGACCGGCAAGAAAGCAAAAATAAGTCCATTGTCATGATCGTGTAAAGTTCTACACTCATTACGCACTATATAGATCTACATACTAAACTATCACCTACATATATTTTTTTTTCGCTAAGGTTATAAATATTTCAATACATTTAATTCACAATTTTTTACAGAGAGAATGGGAATGGCTAACATTTCTGGCTTGCATTGTTGTTCTTAAGAACAGGAGACAAGGTGAGTTGTGCACTAATTTGTATTGGTACTTTCTGTTAAGCCAGTGGTTCTTTTCTATAAAAAAAAAATGTAAAGTTTCCTCTTTAGACCTAGCACTTTTTCTGCTAACCTGAAAGTCTCAAATTCAAATCTGGTTTCAAGTCAGTAGAATGTCCTTGAGTCAACATAGCTCTGTTTAATAATTAACTCATGTTAAGGAAAGTAAAGGCAGTGGATAGTGCTGACCACACTACCCCTTCATATGCTGAAGTAACAGAAATAGGTGATCTCTACTTCACTTGTCACATGGACAGTTGTGATAAAAAATGGAACTGTTGCTCTACTTTTTACATTGTTTTCTTTTACTTTAAGTTCTAATATTATTATCTAATAGATTAATCTCAGGCATATATTTTTTATAACCTAAAAGATTTGAGTTGTACCATAAAACATTTTTTTCTTTTTCAGCTAGTATTGTGGAATATGCATCAACCACATGTTTGTTTACAAAAACTTTAAGTGTCATTTGCTTCTTCAACTACAGTCCCACTTATGGCATTCTGTATGTTCTTTTGTGTCTGGGTAAATATGTACTCTTGTATTTTCACATATATAAAGTATAATAAAGTAGACCCTTATTGCAAACATCCCTTTCTCATAATTTTTCCAACATATTTTTATCTAAATTATCCAATTTAAGTGTCATTAAAATTTTAAAGTATATTCTATTTTTGACAAAAGAGATTTAGATTTACCACTCATAAGAAATTGATATAGAAGGTTAATGCACCTTTGTTGACAATAACTGATTCACTTAGAGAAAAGAGAAATCATTGAGATTTTAGTGCCTTAAGTTTGTAATGATACTAGTGGACTCATACAGCCAGCTTAGCTGGGTGTTTTGGTTAAGTCCAGTAACAAAACACAAACCCTGTAGATACTGTGTCACCTGTAAACTAAAGTTTACAAACATTTCAGCCCATGTGATGTTCCTTCCCAAGCCTGTGTATCAAGGACCAGAAAATATTGTCTACTTCAGAGGACCAAACCTGACTGTAAGTTCTTCTTGATTAACCTTGTCCTAGAATGGGGAATGTGTACTATTATCATTCTTTTATTCAAGTTTTATTTTCTTTACTTATTCATAGGTTTCTTCTTTAACGTAGAGCTACTAGTCGTTTTTCATGTACGCTGTGTAACATATAAATTTATTTCTTGCTTTTTAAGGATGAGATTGCCACAAACATATAAATTTATTTCTTGCTTTTTAAGGATGAGATTGCCAGGGACAAAAGAGTGACTTGGGTGATAGCCTTTTATGTTGCCTGGTCCCCCAAATGTGTCAACCTTGCTCCCGTTTTCTCTGAGTTGTCTAATGAGTTAGTTGCTGTTTTTTTTTTTTTGGTTTATCTTGTAACTAAAATACTAGTTGGTGAAAGATTTTACTCACTTACTTAACCACACTAACTGGACCTTGTGATCCTTTACCAAACATTTAGGAGAAAAGCTACTGACTAGTCACTTTCTAAATGGTAATGTTTATTTGTCTGATTACAAGAACACATAATTTTATGTGCAGGTATCATTTGGAAAATCTCAAGTTTGGAAAAATTGATATTTCAAGATATCCAAATGTAGCGGAAAAGTAAGTATCTATTTTTGATAGTTTTATTCACAGAACAGACAATGTTTGATTCCTAACTCACTAGTTAAATATTTTTAGCTACCATAAATTATAACTTAAAAAGAGATAACACATTTTTAAATGGACAGCACAACTCACAGCAGATTATGTAGTTAAACATTATTTACTGTCTAAATAATAGCTGTAATTAAATTAAATATTGTCATTGATTTTGAGAGTGACATCATGTTAAGTACATTTCCCTTAGGCTACAATAGTTAAACCCTTATACAAACTTATAGCCTAAATGGTGAGGTTTTGATGATGGTTTTGATAAATGTTGGATTCTTTTTTTTTTTAAGATATGAAATCAACACTGGTGCCTTATCACGCCAGCTACCCACCATTATCTTATTTCAAGATGGACAGGAAGTTGAGAGGCGACCAATTCCAACTAAACATGTGACCTTGAAATTTGATTTCACCAAGGTAAAAGTTGTGTTCATTTATAGTGAATTTTTTTCTCTCTTCAAAGTTGTTACAAAGTAAGTAAAACAGGTTATCATGTGAGATTGTGAGGTTTTTTTAAAAATAGCAATTTTTTAAAATGATATACAAGACTAAACCTAACCATTGTGATCACATAAACTGCTATAATAACTTAAGTATGTTTTTTTAAGTAGTATGATGATTTTAATTCCAGGTGAACATAATAAAAGAGTTCAAATTAAATGAAGTGTACAACCAGTGTAAGAAAGCTTTGTCCGCCAGAAAGAAAACAGCAGCGCCCAGTGAAACGACAGAGCTTAAGAAAGACAAGTAACATTCCTGCTTGTGTGTGTGAGTTGGGAGGATGAATGCTCATTGAAGATTGTTTTTGTTTTTAGATTTTGTGATGAAAACTTTCCAGTTAATAGTTCTTATTTATTAGATTCATGTCAGATAGAGAAGTGCTAGAACAGAAATTCTAGCAAAAATAAATAGATGACTATGTCAGTGTCTGCGATATAGTTATCTTTAAAAACCACTTATAAAATACTTGTGGGGTTTTTTTTTTATGTATTGGAGAGACATTATGCTGACAGTATATATTATACATATCTTTTAATGGTTGTGTAGACACACTCAAAATCTGTAAATAGATTAGTAGCCTAAAATCAAATTCTCAGTTGTTGTTTTTTTTAGTATTTGGATTATTAAAATGTTTCTTTCATTCATTTTTTATAACTCCTTGAAGTAATTTCAGATCTAATGTGTTTTGGTTTTAATGTCATGATTTGATGTGCATTCACATTGCGCATTTCCTTCTTTCTTGATTAATTAAACACCAGCAAACAGTTGGTCACTTAATGTTTAAATTTTCTCACAACTGAATATGTTTACATCAGCCACAACTGTTATTACACTAGTTTGTTTCTTTATGGTCAAATGTAAAACAAGAAAAAAAATCATTTTTTTATTGGAAGAAAAGTCTGTAATAGTCTGTATAGTTTTCAGTTGGATGGTGGTTGATCTAAATCAAGCACAATTCTCATAATATTATTTATTTTGTATAATTTTCCAACTACTTAATCATTGCAAGTACCTTTAAAGGTTAATTCTGTATTACTGGCTGTGTAATTACATCCACCATAACACTACACACATCACCAATTACCTCAGTTAGCAGAATTTTTCACAACCAAAGAGTCAGTTATCAGCATAGTTGGTTGCTTGTGGGTTGTTTATTTAGCAGAAAATTAAAGCTTTTATTCCCCTTATTTTTGAATCAATTACTTAATATTTATTTTTTATTGTTAAGTTTAGCTGCTTTAAATTTGTTTTTTTTTTTTTTTCCTTTGACATAAGCAACCAAGCACTTACATCTGTGTATGTTCATTTATAACTGCTTTTAATAACCAGATTTGCATTTATTAGTTTTCCAAAATTTGGAATTTCTCTTTCAATGTTTTTTTCCTTTTGATGTTGCACTAACTTGATCCATTCCCTAAATTCTATATTGGATGACTGAAAATGAGATGTGCTAATGTCAGGTTTTAGCAGATTTTTATTTTTATTTGATCTCCACATTTTGTAGTTAGTTTTTTCATTGCAGACATTTGTACTTGATTTACTCTTGTTTTTTGAGATGATGTAAACAAGGGTAAAGTGGAAGCCACATTTTTAATTGTTCTTAATTATTCAAGAAACTTTGCCATCCTCTGATAAAATAAATTGCTGATTATTTATGCAAAAATTTGTTGGATCATTTTATTCTTGCCATTTCCATGTGTATTGTAACATACAAAAACATTTTATTGTGTGCTTTTCTTTGTTAGCCAGTAAGTACCAAAGACTAGTCTAAAACATAGCAGATTAACCCAGTTACTTAATCTTATTGATAAGATACAACCACAAAACAAGATGCTAGATCATTCAAAAGGTACATGTTTTTTACAAAAGAAAAACATTTTTATTAGCCATTTAAAATTACAACTGTTGATTAGTTTATGCAGTAACAAAATTACATTATCAAGTAAGTGAAAGTATTAATATGAACATTTAGGTTATGCATTATAAACAGAATAAATATTAAATACATCAATTAAGCAGACATACATTTGTCACCGGCAGATGAGTGAAAGACCATCAAATCTATTGAACTTGGTGTATTGAGCTTTAGCAAGAGAATTAGTTAACTCAAAACTTGTTTCCCTCTCGGCTTATACAGTTACAAAACAGTTTAAAAGCCGTGCTCTTTAAAAACATTAGTGGCAATAACAATCCTCTGGATCTCGCTGGTCCCTTCGTAAATTTCGGTGATCCGAGCGTCTCTATAATGTCTTTCAGCTGGCATGTCAGTCACATAACCCATACCTCCCAGTATTTGAATTGCCTGTACACGAGAAATATTCCAAATCATACACTTATAATCAAGAACAGGACAAATCAGACATGACAGAAAAGGTATAGGGCCTACACATCACCCACAGGTGAAAATCCTTTTCATCTATGATGGTTAGACTATCTCTTAGCAATTCAAACATGCCTAGCTCCTATGCATCACTGTCAAATGAAAGAGGAACAGCATGGTCTAGCACAGAACCCATAATGAAATGGTATGCAGTCTCCGGGTCTAACTGGGATTATTATCTAAACTAAGCAGAGTAAGTGCTAACCTGACAAGTTTTGAGCTCAAATCTCTGTCTAAGTCAGTAGAACGTCCCTGAGTCCACCCAGCCTTGTTCGGTACCAAACTCATGTTAGGGAAAGTAAAGGCGGCTGGGCAAAGTGCTGACCACACCTTCACTTCATATGCCGAAGTCAACAATCATATGAATTCTACTTCTTCTGACCAATGGATCGCTAGGTCTAAAGAGGATTCTTTACCTTCAGGGGAGTAAGTAAAATCAAGGATCTAGTCGCTGGCAACATGGGTGAAGGAAGTTCTTCATCCTATTATGGTACGACTTACTTTTATGCATAGCTTGAGCAGGTCATGTGTGTATTAGTAAAGGAGGATGTCAAACTGAACTATAAATATGAACAACTTACATTATGAGCATTAAAGGTTGCTGTCTCTGAAGCTGCCAGTTTGGCCATAGCTGCTTCCTAATAAAAACAACATGCTAAATTAGGGAATTTTTTTCTTCTCACTATAATAACTAAAAATCTCGATTTTTTTTTTGCACGATTACAATACTTTCTCTATACTTCGTATGTACAAGAAAGTAAAAATGTAGCTTTTGTATTTATTTTCTGTTATGTCTAAATTAATATATATGGCTACTTTTGCCTCTAGAGACAATAAAGATGAGCCCAGATGTTTTCTTTTGTTGGCACATGCTCTGGTTAGGCTGATCATGCCAGCTACATAGATGGTTAGTAATGAAACTTACTTTAGTAAAGTTTTTCCCTGCATCTTTCAACATGGCTGCCTTCCAAGTTAGTAGACGTGCACTCTCTAAACGTACTTCCATGTCTGCTATTTTATTCTGTTAAAAAGTATTGAATAAACAATCCTGAACAAATATTAAAGTTAAACCACAGGTCAGTTGATTAAACTGTAGAAATTTGTATTTCATTCTGAAACTAAAACATATCTTAATAAATAAGGTAAAAATCTCAATTTGAAATAATAAATTTTACCTGGATTGTTTGCATTTTAGCTATTGGCATTCCAAAAGACTGTCTTTTCATAGCATAATCCACAGCACAATCAAGAGATGCCTACATTTTCAAAGGGAGATAAATCATAAAATTTAAAGTAATAGTATTTCAAAATATAAATTAGATATCATCTTCAAATTATTATGACCATTTTAATAATTGTCTCCCATTGATGTTAAAAATTGTATGCTATAATACTAAAAAAAATTATTTTAAAAGTTAAAGGGATTTAAACCAATTTAAAAGAAAGCCCAGAAAGATGAGATGAAAAATTTCAAAGTCCCAGACTCACTTGAGCAATTCCTAGAGCTTGAGAAGCAATGCCAATTCTACCTGCATCTAAAGTTTGCTGCAAAAATAAATTTAAAAAAAAATTATATTCTGCTTATGATTATCTTCAGTTAACAAATAAAAAAAACTCACTAAACTCACCAGATTGCCCTTAATATTTAATAATATAAATAATATTTTAAAAAATTAAATAAAAATCAATGTAATAATTTCTCAAAATTCATTTGAGTTTCATACCAATAAAAATGACACAACTTACCATAGCTATTTTAAATCCCATACCAGGTTTACCCAGCATATTCTCCTCTGGGATGCTGCAATCTTCAAATATTAAATAACAAGTAGAGCTGGCTCTTATGCCTAGTTTATCTTCTTTCTTACCCAAAGACAACCCATCAGTTGGCTTTGGGACAAGGAAGGCACTAATACCCTGGTAAAAAAATATAACATTGTAACGGTGTATCTCCATTACCTCAGTCTGATATCTTAATATGGAGGATTGTTAAACAAGAGTTCAATAATTGATATCAAATTTATTAAAACAGTAACCTCAAACTATGTCTTACTGTATGCTTACTTTGTGTTTGAGTTTTTTGTCTGTTGTTGCAAAAACCTGAAGGTTAATAACATTAAGGCACATTATGAAACAATTATAAATTAAAACAACCACTTTAAAAAAGAAAGAAAACATAAAATCACATAATATATAATGCATTTGGTTTAAAACAAATTCTAACAGACATCTAAATAATATAACCCAACAATACAACTGAAGATTTAGGTGGTCTTTTTAAACTCTATTTCAACAACAGACTTAAGAAATATTTAATAATTTAAGGAACATTTTTTTTTTTAAATCAACAATATTTATGGTGAAAAATAATACTGAGCTAAAGCAAATTTTTAAAAAATATAGCATTTTATATATTTAAAAAGTAAAGCTTTATAAAATTAATTTAGAAAAAAAAAACAACGAACCACAGCAGCAGAAGCTTCATAACCATTTGTTATCCAAGCTTTTGTCCCATTAAGTGTCCATTTGCCAGAACTAAGCTGGGCCACAGTTGAAGCTGCCCCTGCATCACTACCATTTCCTGGTTCACTTAGTGCAAAACATCCAATTTTATCTCCATTTAAAAAAGGCTTTAGGAAGCTCTCTTTTTGTTTGGGTGTAGCATATTTTAGAATAGGACCAAGGTATAAGCTCTGTGAATTAAAAAATTGAATTAAAAATTAACTGGGAATGGGAAAAATAAAAGGAGGACTGTTATTATTTTAACATTTAAAATTAAGTTTCTTGAAATGTAATCCATTTTCAATGTACTAATTAGTTGACAAGTATGTGTTGTCGTTAGACAAAGTTACAAAAATAGTTTTCAATGTGTGTTAATTATCTCCCTTTATGTTTATTTAGTATTGTATATAGATAAACATTTAAAAAAATACCTTTTCACTTAACTCTTAATTAAGGAATACAATACTCACATTATTAACGCTGAGAACAACTCCAGTAGATGCACACCCTCGACTGATTTCTTCTATAGCGATGGCATAAGCCAAGTAGTCCAGACCAGTCCCACCTTCAGACTCAGGTACATCAACACATAGTAGACCTAATTGGCCAAGTTTTTTTATCTATTTCAAAAGACATTTTAGACAATCTACTTTACATGAAGAACTAAAAGTAATACATATATATACATATATATATATAACATTAACAGATTGCCATGGTAATCTATATATATAATTCTCTACGTGGACACCACGATGCAAGCCAACTATCTAACCTTCCTCCCACCCCCTCCCTCGCTCTCCAGGCATGCGCAACAGACCATATTGATATTGCTATCACCCCCGCCAGTCTGGTGAGCTGTGGTTCACGTCGAATGTTTAGAGCCGGGTCAAATCAGAGACGTCTACTAGGGGCAGATAGTTTAGTTTTTAAATGATTTGAAACTAAGGGGAGGTAACAATTTCTGCTTGATCTTTTCATTGTTGTCTGTAAACTGTCGTCACGGAGGGTTGTTTTCACTGGGGTGGGGAGGGAGGGTAGTGTCCAATTCACAAATTAAAATTATGAATTACTGAAAAGTAGAACATAAAACAACTAAATAGCGGGTCAGCTCATTTATTTTAAAACTTCTCATTTTTAAGACCTAATCCCTTATGATATAAAAAGCAAAAAAAAAAGTCTAACCTGTTCAGTAGGAAACTTGTGCTCTTTATCAAGTTGACCAGCAATAGGCATAAGCTCATTCTCTGCAAAGTCTCTACATGTTTTCTTTAAAAGGGCATGAGTCTCTGGCAGTTCAAAGAGATTAGTTGAGGCACATCTTACACTTTGTAATGTAGGCCCAATGTTATTCTTACCTAAAATACAAAATAAAAAAGTATGTAAATAATCAATCAAGAGATCAAGTTGGTTCAAAGGTCAAGTTTTAGCAGTTGTATAAATAATAAATATTGTATTTTTAAATAAATAACCAAAAAAATATTTAGATATTATTTTCAAAATTAAACTTTAGTCTTGGAGACAGAGAGCTGAACAAATTTGAAAAATGCCACTTTGGCAAATGAGTAAAAAATTACGAAGTGTCTACTCGGAATAAGATTTTTCGGCAAAAGATAGTTCTGCGCATGCGCAGTGACCTATGGCTAGGGTTAGAATGAGGGTTAGGGGTAGGATTAGGGATAGGGATAGGATTAGGGCTAGGGTTAGGGATAGGATTAGGGCTAGGGTTAGGGTTAGGATTAGGGCTAGGGTTAGGGATAGGATTAGGGATAGGGTTAAGGATAGGATTAGGGTTGGTATTAGGGTTCTGCGGTTGTAAACACACGCATGCGCAGTACCATCGAAAACATCGCCGCTAAGGCAAGTCGTAGTTTCTCTCCATTGAGCATGCGTATCGCATGCGTATCTTATTCCGACTAGAATCGGCCAAAAAATTAATAATATTAAAATAAATTATTTGTTTAGCCTACTACTCCTCTAGAGTTACTAGTACTAGATCTAGATCTATTTAGTATTTATTTAGTCATTTACTATTTTAGAATAGATCTAGATCTAGATTGATCTAGATCTACTATTTTTTTATTTAAACTATTTTTATTAGGCCTAATGAAAAGAAAAAAATGTATTTACACTTAGTCTTAGAAATGCAATTTCTAATTACAAATAATGCACGTAACGATGACATGACCATTAAGCTATAACATTCATATAATAAAATATGTAACAAGTGCTACAGAAGACTTAGTCCAGTTTACTGAGTATAGTGTATAGGTCTCTAAAGTTGCACAAAATAAATATCACAACATAAAACATGGATTGAACATGGGGCAAAGGTCAATATTGTATGCCAGGTGAACATTCTACAAAATCGCCAAATTTGTGGATAAGTGATCATACGCTTTTATGATCTCACATTTATAAACTAGCTTTTTAAAAGTTTAATTTGCCACTATAATAAAAACATTAAGTAGAGCCTATTCTAGGCTGAGTGTGTAAATATTAATAAAGGAGTACCCCCCTTAAATTAAATCTACTGAGTCTATAACTTTTATATCAAGACCTAGATTATATTAATTATTAGTAAATTATAAGGGCCTAATTATTATTAATAATCAATAATATTAAAAGATATTTTACTAATAATTTTGTAGACACTATATTTAAAAAATTAGGGGTCATCCATAAATGACGCCACGCTTTTTTGACGATTTTTACCTTCCCCCCCCCCCCTCCCCTCCGTCACACATCGGCACAAAAATCCAGACCCCCCCTCCTAAAATGACGTCACACCGCTGCTTACAATTCCCCTCAAATTGCAGTTGAATTTTTCTTAAAATACGATATTTTTCCAAAATCTTGTTTGAACTCTGACAACATAGAGTATTTTAATCCATCCCCATTACAATTTATTAAAACAGTTTTCTAAAACGCGAAAAACGGCTAAAATTCATTTTCTAACAGGTTAGAGTTAGGTTAGGTTTGCCTGTCTTCCCTATTGTGACATAGGCCGCTGACAAGAGCTTTCCAGACTTCTCTGTCATTTTCTAACAGTGCTTTTTTTATAATGCAAAAGTGTGACGTCACACCATCTGAACACCCCCCACTCCCCCTCATCACACACTGTCACAAAATTATGGGATACCCCCCCCCCCTTCCCCCTGCGAATGTGATGTCATTAAATATTTATGGACGACCCCTTAATGCTAGACCTAGTTCTCAAAATATATAGCTCTAACTGAAATACAAAATTGGGTATAATAATAGATAAAATAATAATATCCAGATTCTAGATCTAATATTTAACTTTTAATTTATAGATCTAGATTTAATCTAATCTAGCCTATGTTGTGCTAAATATTGTTTGAATCGTTAACACAACAGTACTTTAAAAACATAAACAGGACATTGTAAAAACGCATTTGGAACGAAATTCAGACGGTAGATTTGGCCTACGATTTTGATATCTGAACTGGGACTGCCAGTCTAGACTCTATTCTAGAATACCCCAGATTCTAGATCTTATATAGATCTAGATTTAGATCTAATCATTAGGTAACTAACTCAACTAGACTGTGCTACTACTACGACAGCAGGAAATCTAGACATTATAGACTCAGTCTCAGAAGCTTGCGTCTGCTACACTCACACTTGACACACTGACTGCTACACGTTATTCTCAGACACCGCAGTGATTTGACTGAGAGATTAACCGAGAGGAGGGGGGGGGGGTCTGAACACATACTGTCACTACTAGATCTAGAATCTAGATCTAGAGTATTTCATATCAATCGGTTATGCACCATTCATTTAGGCTGTTGACTTCTTTTCTTTTTGGATTTACTTCCGACCATAGCCTTCTTTCATCCAATAACAAACTACTAGGTGGCAGTTCTTTGATTTAGGAGTTTCTTCTCCTAGATGGGTTGCTGTTCCCAGCTTAGAATCTATCGAGTTTCATCTGCCTGGGGGTTCGAACTTGGGATAATTATGGTTTAGCAACCTTAAGCTTTACTGACTCAACCTGCCGACCCCATGCGTCAGGTTTTAATCAGGCTTAATTCTTATGTTAACTTGAGCTTGACATTTCTTGCATTATAATGACTCAGAATAATTATAATAATTGATAAAAAAAACAGTCTACATATCTATTGCTTATTAATATTGCATGGTACACATACCCAACACATGATATTTAATAATAATTAGTGTATTGGATGACTGTTTAATACTGGTGGATATCCACTTGGGGGGGGGGTGTCTAAAATTCCTATTTTTAGTGGATGTTATAAATGGATGACCCCTTAAATATTAAAATTAGCATCATAGAAAATATTGTAGCTTGAGAGTTTAAGTTTAAGCTGAATCATATTTTTAAACTCTATGTATTAATTTTTAATTGACAAAATTCTTTTCATCCAGGTATGAGCCTTCTGTTTGGTTTTCATTGATCCCAGAATTCTTCATTAATAGCAGCAGCATAACATATTGCTATTCTTAGCACAAAGCCCAGAATATTAAAATCAACCACATTGCAATAAATTGGTTGCTACCCAGGATTTAAAATGTCGTTAAATAAATTTATGCATCCAAGGAATCGTTACAAAAACAGCAAGCCAAGTTTTTTAAAGCTTGCACTCAAGTATCCTGAGTTCAGAGCACACACCACCCAAGATGAAAGTGGAAAAGTTTTTCTTGATTTTAAGAATGCCGAAGCTCTTAAAGCCCTGACCACTTGTCTCTTGAAAGAAGATTTTAATCTAACTGTAGACCTTCCATCTGATAGACTTGTTCCTACTCTGCCTCTTCGCCTCAATTATATTCACTGGATAGAAGATATTATTGGAACAGATGCTGGCAAATGGGGAATAGATATTGGTATGTATGCAAATGTAATGGATTTTAAACACACAAAAAACACTTCATCCTTATGCTAATGGAAAATGCTAATTATGATCAACCATTTTTTTTCCATTTTAAAAAATGAAATATTGCTCTTTTTATCTTGTTAATAACATATTCAGACAGTTAATTATTAAAAATAGTTGTGGGCTGTAAAATTTTTAAAGTTAATTTTTAGGTCATTTTTTATAGAAATGTTTAAAATTGTATGTTTTGTTTGATTGCAATAATTTGTTATTTTGCCCATAGGAACAGGAGCAAGCTGTATTTATCCTCTACTGGCCTCAACTATGAATAAATGGCAGTTTTTTGCAACTGAAGCTGACCCAGAAAATGCTTTCTTTGCAAACAAAAATGTATCAGACAATGGATTAAAAGATTTAATTCATGGTAGTTTTTTCTCTCTTTTTCTAACATATAGGGGAGGGGAGATTGCTTTTCCTTTTCCACGTAACAGTGTAATTTATTAAGGAAGGGATGTGGAAAATGATTTAGTTTTAACATCCTTTGTATTTTGAACGGTACTTAATTTTTCTATTCCTTTCTTTACAGTCAATCATGTTACTTCCGAGGATATTTTGATTGCACCTCTAAAAACATTTACACAAACAGATAAATTTGATTTCTGTATGTGCAACCCCCCATTCTTTGCTGATCACATGGAGGCTCAAGCAATTACAAAAACACGATCATTGGACCGCCCTGAAGCTAAGTCCGTCTCCACAGCTAGCCCACAAGAGTGTATAGCAACTGGGGGAGAAGTTGGATTTATCAGGCAGATGATTGAGGAGTCTGTTTTACTGCAAGACAAAATAAGGTAAATTTAAATATTTTTTTAAAAATATTTTTTTTAGTGTTAATGATAATTTACTTTTACTTATAAATAAATATTTTTTACGATCAAAACGTCTATTAAATGGGTGTAGAGCAGGGGTCTCCAAACTTTTCAGTCCGAGGGCCGCATTACCTATCAAATTTCAGTTCGGGGGCCAGTTTCTTCAAGGCATGTCTGATTTTTCTGGGCAAAGCTCCTAAGCCATCATCAACAAACGTTTTTTTCCGTGGACAAAAAGAGCTCCCCGGGCCGGATGAGAGGACCTCGCGGGCCGCATCCGGCCTTCGGGCCGTAGTTTGGAGACCCCTGGTGTAGAGGCTACTATCAAAATGGAAGTATTAATATGTAATACTTATGAGAAATGAAATTTTAATAAAGACTATTTTTGTATGTGTTATAGAGTGTATACCAGCATGGTTGGCAAGAAATCTAGTTTAACCCAGTTAAAAGAAGAATTTAGACACCAAAAGGTAAACAAACTTTTATAAATAATGGATATTTTTTGTGGGCTTTTTTTTTTCCAAAAATATGTTTAATTTTTATCTCTAATTGACATCATATTTGGAACTAAAAAATTTTTTTTTCAGATAACTAGGTTTTCATCTACTGAATTTTGTCAAGGAAAAACAATGAGATGGGGTATAGCTTGGACATTTGATGAGAGTGTCACTTTTCCAGTAAGTTGTCCTATTTCTTTAGCTGTCTCTGAACTGCTACAAGTCTTGATAATCCATTATCCAGCACAATTTTAACACTCTAATTGCTGGTTGTTTTTTTGAGACGCAGCCTAGCGGTGTAGCACTAGACTGCATACCCAAATGTCTTGAGCTTGTTCGCAGGCTCGAGTCAGTAGACCATAACTAACTCATGTAAGGGAAAGTAAAGGCAATAGTGTGGTCTGCATAATGCCCACTATCAGAACTGGTGGACTTTCAGGCTAGCAGTCATTTGCTCTACTTCTAGACTACGCCGTCCCCTGCATATGAAGCAACTCAAACCTGTTTTGCATGTCATGGACATCAACCCACTAAATGAATTCTAGACTGGATAGCAGCATTGTATGTGACCATGACATCCTAATCACAACTTCAGTTTAAGTTGATGCAAATTTTTAATGCAAATTTAATTTATGTTTTGGCAATCAATTTTACTAAACTTTGCAGAAATCAGAATTTGAATCAAGAAAAGAAAAACCACCACTACAGTACATAGTGCCGAAGGGGGCTGGAAATGTTGAGTACAAAGTCCATGAAGTAGCATCACATCTAAGAAATCTGATGGAATCAATTAAGGTATTCTTCTTCATCTTCGGCTTTTTTGAACTCCCTGTGGAGCATAAGCCATTTACAATGTTGTTCTGTTTTACTTTTATTTTCCATTTTTTCCCAATTATTTGCAAGTCTTTTTTAATTTCTCTCAATGCCAGGGGTAATTGGTATTCTACTGTGTGTATTTCATTCATCTTCTGCAGCTACATAATTTTCCTCAAATTTGTTACATTTTTAAATATCTTATTCTAGGTTCACTGTTATCAAGGTAAGAAAGCCAAGTCCTATTCCAGCATGACGCTAACAGCAGTGGAAAACACATGGTGTCATCAGCGCAGATTGAGACGACAACGCCAGAAACAGAATGATGACCAGCCAGAACAAGATACAGAATCAAAAGCTAATACAGAATCAGAGGTCAAAGATGCTACTGATAAAGCTATTGATGTTCTAAATGGAAACATAAGTGAAGATAATAGTAACAAAAGGTCTTTAGATGATCCTGAAGAGGTATCTAATGCCAAGAAACTTAAACTCAACAACAACACTCAAGAGCAGATTGTAACTTCTGAAAAAGTTTCTAATATTAACCTACAGTCTTCCAATTCTATAGTTAAAGGCTCATACAGTGAGAAAACAGATAATCCTAGTTGCAGTAAGGAAACTGATCCAAGCCCAGTGACTCATGAGGATGTCTCCCCTAAAGAATTTATTCTAAAATGTGTCATGCGCCTGAAGCGGAATGCAGATGACCAGGTAACGATGGAACTGGAGTGGCTGGATGGGAAATCTCGTGAACTGATGCACCAACTTTTTACATTCATCAAAAATAAGTTGACATCCAGACAACCTTAAGTTTCAGTGCTGTTACTATATTCATGGTGTAGAATTAAACCAATATGATCCAGTCTTTTCCAAAAAATGTAAAATCTGTATACAATTTTGGAATTTTTTTCCAGGTATTATGAGTTCATGTGTTCTCGGTATATGAAATACTGATGTGAATGTTAAAATGTTATTGAATAAAAATTTAAAAATCCATTTTGGTGTTATTAAATAGTCAATTACAAAATAAAGTAAGTTTTAAAAATAGGGAGACACCTCTCAGGTGTACTAGTTGAGTGTGATAAGGCAGCAGTTTTGGCCAACAGAATAGTTTCTCCTGTAATGTCAATAGCATAGTGGGGCAGACTGCACCAGGTAATACAATTGAAATGTTAATGAAGTTTGCATTTTAGCTATACAGCTTTGTTATACCTTAAATATAGGAAGGAAACTAAGTTTCAGTTTAGTGTATACATTCATTAGCAGTTATACTTCAGGTGTCATCTGATGCCATTAATAAATCCATAGCAACAGGAAAGAAGAAAAAAAAAGCTTTTTAAAATTCACTCATTTTAACTTCATGAACAACAATTACAAAGAGGTGTAAAATGTACAATCTTTAATCACAATAATGCCGCTGCGGCTGGCCGCCAGTTCGACGAGCATGCACTACCACACAACATACAACTCTAAAGGCTAATTGATCACAGCATTAATTTCACTGTGTCACTACATTCAATGTGTTGTAGGAAAAAAATTCAATTGAGAATCCATGAGAAATGTACTTCATTTCTAAGTATATGCTTTCAGTGCTGTGCTTGTAGCAAAAATTTTACAGACACCTCAAATTTGTTAACATTTCGATTGTTTAATGCTACTATGGTAAACACTAGTGTCTAATTTATTAACATTTAACATGTTTTAATGTTTACCTATTGATCAATTTCAGTGCTTAAATCTTAATTTCAGTACTTGAAAATGAAATTGATAAATTACCACTTGTAGGATGAAAGAAACCAAAACGTAAATGAATGCAACCAAAAAGATAATGAAAAACTGCAGAATTTTCAGTAACAAAACTGAATTTTAATGAATATTTATATTACTCATTAAGCACTGAAAAAGTCACAATACATTAGAAAAACGAGTTAAACATTGACTATTTTGCATTATAAAAAATTAAGGTATTAAACAGGGTAACAGTAAAAAATGCGTATATTAACCTTAGTATTAAAGCAAATAAGCTATTTAACTAGGCCTAAAATGGAGATATCAAAATTTATCATTTGATATGCCACCAATTGCAGACTTAGAAAAAGTAACATCTTGTCCTTAACAATTGTAAGACAATACATTTTCTGTTTAATAATCAAATACAGCTGAGTGCACTATTTACAACCACCACCTATTCACATAGTCTATTCATCATTAATTCAAACCAATAGACCAAAACAGCACACAAAGATGAATGATATATTTATAAATGTATGTTATATGCAGATCACAATACATAGCAAATCATTTTTGAGTCGTGTACCTTATCTAAATTTGATCTGATCTTAAATTTATATAAGCACATGCTATGGAAGACATTAAAACCACACTTGTAATGGTTCAATTTGATTGAAGTAGCAGATTGGACTCAAAACTTCCATACAATATAAAAATAAAGTCCACACAAACTAAGCCTACAGTATCTAAACTACTTCATGCAGTCATAAAAAAAAAGGATGAAATTTTAAGTTTCATAATTAAGCAGTAGTTTAGTTTATAACTTTACTAACTTTATTATTTAATTTTAGGCCAGAAACTACACTATTCTCAATGGAATGTCTACATGAGGAAATTAGATTTCAAAGAAAATCGTGAAATCTTAATAGTAATGTTATTCAAATACAACCGGTAATTGTTAATACCTTGTGTAATAATAAAATGAATTTTTTGTTAAATTCTGTCATTTAACAGAGCAAAAGTTCAAGGCCTTGCTTCAATTATTTAATGCTTATTGTAATGTGAGATTACTAACATGTAGTAATACAACATTATGCTCAAAACAATTAACACATTTACTTTAAATGTGCAAAAACAGTTATACAAAATCTTAGGGCGGAAATATGTCCAACATCTAATAGTCGAGACTCCCATAGTTTGTATGACTTGTGGATTTCAGATAACAGGCAAGTTCATGCCTGTTATGTTGCCAAATGTTAGGGTCTATAAGAAACTGGTTTCTGAGATTTTGACAATGTACAAATTCACACAATCAAAAGCTCCATAATGTTCAAGTATATTATGAAAATCATGCTTTAGTTATAAATGTATACAAAATATGCACCGATCATATGCAATTAATTATTGCAATATAAATTACAAATCAATGATTGTTCTTTAAACTTAATTATCACACATTTGGAGTTAATTTTTGTTAGCTAATGGCATTTAAATTGTTATAATTGCAACAAGTGTCAAGAAACCATTGATCCAAGTTAATTGTTTAATACCAAGCATAATTATAAATTATTTCAATCTGTTTTATAGCATTTGTGATAGATATTAACACTTAATACAAGTGTTACATTTTTGTTAATTATTTACATAAATTTCAATGAATGTTCAAAAATGAAGACACTTTTCTCAGGCTGTTTAGTGAAATCATAAAGGGCTAACAAATACTTTTTACCTTATCAAATGAAACATTGTAATAAAATAATTCTCAACAAAATAACAAAAAATAAAAAACAACTACTGACACAAGGAATGATCTACAGCTAGGGAATTATCTAACTATCGAATAGCTCAAGCACAAATATTATTTACTATAAGTTAGCTTTGCTATTTGATTATATAAAACAAATACTTTTGTTTCACCAGCCAGTGAAGAATTATAAATCACAAAATTCAGAATTTTGCTTTAATAACCAAGGTACAGGGTAGAAAGAAAATGGATATAAAAAGTACATTCAAGAAAGACTTTAAAACAAAACCTATGATCAAAATATTCCATGAGATTTGTGCTTATTTAATGATGAAGAATAATGAATACCCATCTTGAATGTAAAAATGATTATAACCAAGACAAATATTTTTTTGGGAAAAAAAATGACAATGGTATCTACAAACGATATTCATTGTACAAAAAAATTTCTACTGTTTGATCCCCATCATAACCAAAGCCGTTTCATAAAGTAACAAGAATTCACTCAAAGTACTCGACCAATGTTAGAAAACATAAGAAATAGCTGAATTATTCCCCATTATATTATACATAACTTATGCCAGGGCAATGCCTTCAATAACTACTGGCACAGTGTTACTGTTGTTCTTGTTACTTTCATCATGACCGTTGACCAAAACTTTATCCTCAGATGTGCTGTCTGCTGTGGTATCCTTCAGTTTTGGTTTGTCCCCATCACCTCCATTTTCAATTGCATCTTCCTTATTCTCTTCAGCTGACTGATGCTTTGACATTTCTTGTTTAAACTTCTCAAGCTCATCTGGGCTGTTATGGTGTAGATTAAAAACAAGACTTAATTATATTGGGTACTATCTACTTGTATTTGAACAAGACTGATACAAACAAAAAATATTCTAAATAAGAATTACATATATAAATAAAATATTAAATGAGTTACCTGATTTGAACAAAAACAATGCCATTTATGACATTCAATGTCTCTAGTACACCAGCAAGAGAAGGAGGCTGGATCTGAAAAAGTGATTTCTAAGTTGATACTATTTGTTTAGGTTAACGATAGTATAGAAAAAGGCATGAAATGAACCTTCTGTGAATTAATGTCAGATTTTATTTAAACACCATCTAACCTGTATTGGAGGTAACGAGGAGTTTACTTCCCCTTTATATATTTCATTCATCTTTTTCTGTACCACAACGGCCTGCTTTGTCAGATGTGCTAAGCATTCAGAACTTTCTTTAGTACGTTCATGGTTCTCACCCAGCTGAAATTAGTTCAACAGTTAAATGTTACTGCAAAACAAATTGGTAGCAAGACATTTTAATCCCCAACAGACTGACCCTGTCAAAATCACCCCTCTGATAAATTAATTGCTAGGTCTATTGAACAAAAAGGTTTTCAAGATCCCACCAGAATATACAACAGTAATTAGTTTTCTAAATTGTGTAAGTGTTGATTATTTTCATGTATTAATTATTTTAATTTTATAAGTTCTTGTTCCCTACAACAAACAAATAGTACCTAACAGCATGTTTAACATAATGAGGCAAGTCAGTGTTTTAACAAGCATATAAAAAAATGTGTGGCAAATAACTCTAACTAAAAACTAGGCTGAAAGTGTTTGAACTTTGTATTACCTTTGCCTTGTATATGGCATAAGCTTCCTTCTCACTTTGCAGAGCTGATCTGAAATCTCCACGACATGAATGAGTTCTTGCTACAAGGTGGTATGTCATGGCTGTCTTCAGACTTTCTGCTCCAAAGTATCTGAAATTCATAAACTTATACATTTTAACAGTTAAAGATATTAGTTTCCATTAATTCTACAGCTTGATTACTGTTTAACTCAGGCTCTATGACACAATTTCTAATAGTAATAGCCTGCAACTTAAAGAATTTAAAAGCTTTTCAGCTAACCATAATCCTATTTTTAAAATTGAAATAAAAAGTGATCTCTCTTTTAATGTGTTAACAGTTCATACAACTGTAAAGCATTATTTACTTATAAAACTTAGCATCTTTCTTACTTGATGTTAAGTTGAAGGGCATGTTCCAAATAACGTAAAGCTAAATCATACTCTTCAACAGCTTGCAGGATGAGACCAATGTTGCTCTATAAAATGAATCAAAATTCAGTTTTATACCTAGAGTTAAGTAATTTTTTAAAAATTCTCACATGAATATAAATGGAAACGGCATTCATAAAAAAAAATCTTACATCAATGAGAGCAACTTCTGGGTGATTTTCTCCATGACAGATGATAGCTAAATAGCGAGCTCTGTACATCAGTCGTAAGGCACTCGTCACTTGGCTATTCGCAAAGCAGTACAAGGCAAAGTGTGCCTAAGATTTTACAAAAATATAAATAAATTTAAAAAAAACTATATAAAAAACAAAATACTTATGTATACAAATCCAGCACAATAAATAAAAATTAAGCTTACATATTCTGTGATGGTATTAGGATGATCAACTCCCATAACACGCTCACTCATGAAAACTGCTCTTTGCTGATAAGACATGGCCTGCAAAATAAATGTTATGAAAATCTTGTTAACAGCCCTTCACTTCATGGCTAGATTCTTAAAATTTTCAAGCATGCTAATTAACCTTCCCAAAACTCCCTAAAATGTAATTTAATGGCAAGATAATTAAAATGTTCAAGCACAGCAGCTTACCTCCCCAAACTCCCCTAAAATGTAATTTAATCTAGCCAGCAGCCTGAGACAAGCAGCTATCTCTGGGTGCATAGCACCATAAACATTGTTGAGCAAGTTAAGGGCTTCACTAATCAGTTCATAGCCCTCCCTGAGAAGTCCCTGCTGGATTTTGTTTTGTCCACTTGAAAAAAAGTGAAATGCATCTGTTGCCTGTAAAAATAAAATGTACAATTATTGTCTATACTTTAAGAGCTTAAAACTAAACAAGTAAAAAAATATATTAATTAAAACCATTTTAATCAACTGAAATTATTTACTCCTTACTTTGGGTGAGATGTGCTTTACAATAGGGAAAACATTGACAATGTCATCTTCAGTAAATATAGGTCGACTTCTGTTTTCTAGATTGTATTCTCTCAACTGTATCTGAACTCCCACTTTCAAACAAATAGAACGGAGCAAGGCGACTCTTTGGCAGTTGTATTGTTCTAAGGCACTGTCAATACCATCACTGCAAGAAATTTAACAATAGTTTAGAAAATTCATTTTACAAAGAAGTATGAAACAAACTGAAATTTTGGGAGCTCTGAAAAATATCTTACCATTCAAGTGTATAGCTGTAATATTCATCAGTTTCACCAGCAATTTTCTTCCATAAACTCTTTGGGGTTTCAGAAGACCATTCTGTGTTTTCTGTATAATGCAAACATTATTTTAGAACATTTTTTAGACCCTCTATGTAGGAAAACTTACTTTTAAAACATATATAAAGTTAACTATTGCCTACCTATGCTAAAAACAACACTGTGCTTATTTTTCCTTTTGCTTTTACGCTTGGCAGCTTTGCTCTGAAATTGAAAGACATTGATTATTTATTATACTAACAATTTTAACATTATGAACTGGTTTATTTAAAAATACACCAAAACGTGATAAAATACTATACCTCATCAGCCATAACTTGTGTGTGGGGGTTAGGGTATGAGCCGAGAAAGCAGTTTAAGAAATGGCTTATGGCCGCTGCTGTATTCATCATATCCACACCTTGCATAAAATGGTTGTAAAGGTGTTTGGCAGATCGACAAATCAATTCACTAACAGCAATTGTCTGAAACAAAGATCACACAAAACAATTAAAACTGAAAAATGTTTTTTAAAAGATAAAGCTAATGTCTATTTTATATGATAAGCTAATATTATGGTATACTTACATAAACATATGACAAAGTAGGATATTTGGTAAGGCATTCAGCAACTTTTCCTAAATAACGAACATTGATTCCCCTGAAATTATTATTCAAGTTTATAGCAAAATGCAATCAAGGACGCTTACAAATAACTGGAATGCAGTATATAGTTAATTGATATGTACCTGTTATGCATGGATTCAGTTAAGGTAATTCCATCAACAGGTGAAGAAGTATGGTCAAGGAAATCTGTAATCTGCAAAAATAAACCAAAATGTGTTTAAAATTTAGTAGTATCAAATTATAACAGGAAATTTTAAAATTATGTAAAAACATTTAATCATTTAAAAAATGTCAACATTACCATTAGAGGAATTTGGTGAGAAACGATATGCTGTGATGCCATCTTAACAAGTTCTTTTTCTTTTTTGTAAGTTTCACTCTGGAAATAAAAACACATTATGCTACTAGATGCAGTTTACACAAAATTAATTAGGAATTTGATAATTGGTTTTTTTTTTTTTTTACTTACGTCAGGATCTAAATGCTTCACATGAGGCTGAAAGACATCTGGGTTGAATGCAATGCAAAATTCTGGGGAAAAATTAGTTTACTTTTTAACTGTCAATTTTTATAGAAAAATCTTGGTTAAAAAACTTTTTAAAAATTGGAACAACAAAATACCTGTCTCAGAAATGGAACCAGCTGCTTGAGTTGCCTTTCTCACAACTTCTCTTGTATCATCTTCCACTGTTAAATAATACACAAGGAAATGTAACAAAGATAAATTTTAGAAGGCCATAAAAATTAAGCAAATGAGTGACCAAAGTAGGCAAATGATATCTTTCACTGCTTTCTTTGCTTTATAGGTAACACCAATCAAGTATTATTTTTAAAAGGTTTCATCACATGCTCTTGTACTTTCCAAAAAAAACAGACCTGTTTTTTGTGCATCTGAATCCTGTGCTGTAAATGTCTCAACTAGTTTTTTAGCTTCCTCAGTTATTTCTTCATCAATCTCATTTTTGTTCTCATCACAGCTGTGTCCATTGGTTAGTGGTGGTTTCTCCTGAATTGTTTGTAAAAATTAAATCTTTTCCAAAAGCTATGCAGTTTTTGAATTACATTGTAATAATTTTACCCTCAATCAGGTATTGTAATAGTTTCAAAATTTTTTCCATTTGCCAAAATTTCAAACTAATCTTGAACTTTTATATTAACTTACCTCTGTTTTCTTTTGTTGTTTATGTAGTGCTTGAAAATGTAGTGCTGCATGCTTGACAAAAGCCAAGTAACGACTCCTAGGATTTAAAAAAATACAACTTAGTCATTGCCATAGTAGGTCATGTAATGCTTTCAGATCCTTACTATTGTCTAAAAACATACTCATGGAAAGCCTCAATAAGTTCTTGTCTCAGACAAGGTAGCTTGTGTCTATGTTTTTTAGGATAGCCTTGGTTCCTCATAAACTCGGACAGCTCTTCACCTTCAACTGAAGACAACAGATGGTGCATTAGTTCATGCAAGTTTTCATTATCTTGAAATATTTAAAATATTTTTTACTGTAGTGAAAAAACTTACCTGGTAAATAATTAGCATCAGGAGGGAAAGTACGCAACAAGTCAAGTATATAATGTCTCTGATCATTCCCAATAATACCCTTTAAAAGAAAAAAGTTTACAAGTAAAGATGTGTTCTGAATTTTAAAAATTAAATTGTATTAAGTAAGGTACTTAAAATTTCTAGCATAATGCTGTATTTAATCTCACCTTGCATTCAATAGAAGAATACAGTTCTACTTCTTCATCTTTATTATTTAGTACTCTGATAAAGATAGATTATAATAATTAGATTCTTATAGTACAATAACATTGTAAACAAATAATGTAAACATATAAAAGTATAGATGCAGTGTTAAAATTTAAATGTAAGTAAGAAACAATTCTTTTCAAACTCATTAATTCCTTACTTGTGAGACTTGATTTTCAGAGCAGCTGCAGTTTTTTGTAACTGAAAAGTGAAAAAAGTAATGCATCTAATTGCTGATATAAACAGAATATTAAAAGTATTTGAAAAAAGAGATTCAATTATCTATTTAAAAGTAACTACAAAAAGTAGCCAACTTACCAATTCTCTATATTTCTCATTAGAGACTACAGTCTTGCCAAAATCAACAGAACCATAGACAACTGATTGCTCTTGTTCTCGCTCCAGTATACCTTAAACATTGTTGTTTAGTTTAATTAACAATGAAGTATTTTAATAAATACAATGTATGGTGCTTAGTTTTAAAAAAAAAGATTGAATAGTTTTGAATTTTAAAACTAAGATTAAGTTTATATAATTATACTTTTCCAATTAAACACAAACCATATCTCAGTCCTATCATTAAAAATCAAAGATTTTTTCATTTAAAATAAGGCTCTTAGGAGATCATCACTGATATGGTTGAAATATAATTACCATGAGAAAAAATAGGTCACTGACTCACCAGGTATAATAGACTGAGCTGTAATCCGATACCCTCTATAATCAACAACAACAGTGCCTAGAGTATACAGGTTATCAGGATCTAGGTTAAAGTAAGCTTTGACACCCTGAAGATCGTTGCTCTGTTGAAGTAAAATTCAAGTTTAGCTTGATGCCAGAGTTAAAACAGAAATTTTTTTTTTTAAAGTTAGTAGCATGAGCATTTGCTTACAGGAGCAGCATAAGCTGCAGCATCCCCGCCAAAATCTTTATAATGATCCTTTACATCAAAGCCAAGACTGAAGAAAATATTGTTCCAGATGAACATCTGCATCCTGCATGGATAAAAATATTGTGTAGAAATCAATAGGGAAAAATAAAGAAACGATTTTTAAAATTGTTAATAGTATACTCTCTACCAAGAGATTTGAAAGAAAAATTATTAAGAAAAAAATGACTCACTTAGCATCTTCTCCTGGGTTAATGGCCATGACATTGCCATCTATCACTGCTATTGCCCCTCGTGTCGCAGCAGCAACAAAATCACTGTGTACCTATACAGAGAAAAAGGCATCAACATAAGAAAAAAATTCTTTCAAAACGGTAAAACTTATAAACTTGTACAATAAAAATAATGGCTTTATAAAACTTATTGTAAACAGGTAACTATTCAGATTACCTTGAAAATAGCCCTCTCTCTAATGAGCCTTTCAGGCAGATTTCCTTTTGGAAGCTCTCTGGTAGTTTGAATTTCTTCATTCCAATCTCTTGTCTGGCCAGGGATATGTTCCTCGTAACCCAAGCGAGTAGAGAAAGCTGAACATAGAGTAAAGTGCATATGATATTTAAGATGAAACTATTAAAATACAGACATGTTCAAGTAATAGTGGAAATACATGTTTTAGTGACATACCATCTTCAGCCCTGATATAATCAACCTGATGATCTGGCTGTGGTCCCATCCATGAGTAAACCTGGTAGGGTGTAGGGACTCTTTCAAATGGATGTTTCTGGCCACGTTTCTTTAGCAGACTTGAGAAAGTACGTTTAAAGGCAGGGCTGATCTGGAATTTAAAAATCAAGAGATATAATACAGTTTGCTAATTTACTGTCAATGATTATGTAGTGTAAAGTAAGTTATAACTTCTCAAAGACATAAATATGCTTACCTGATTGAGAAGATCGATTAAAGAATGAGATAAATATTTGGGCTGGGCAGGTTTTGGATTAAACTCATCTTCAGTTGACCTGTGAATGTTGAGGTTTAATGTTATTCTTCCCATCTTGATTTCTAGGGGTGTGTATTAAATAATACTAAAATTTTATACTACTTTTTAACAATTGATAAGTAGTTTTATGCTTAAAAAAAAAAATCACTTAAAAAAACATACTGATTGAGATAGAATCCTTTGGTACAGCCAGTGATGTGATAACGTTTGTCTTCAAGGGTCACAACATGGAGGTACAACAAATCACCTAGATAAAAAAGATAATTTACTTCCAGGAAGACCAGAAATAAGGATGTAGACTGAAGGAGAAAAGTTTTCATTAAATCACTTACCATGCATTCTTCTATTACCAGGAGGTGGATTCCAGCCGCTATAGGTTAAAACTTTTAAACAACGAGACCCCTGCACCAAGGTATAAAAAAAAAATTATTTAAGGAACTGCATTTCCATTAAGGAGTTGTGTAAGCTTTTTATATGTTATAAATGTACCTTCAGATCTTTGATTCCAGGATGTAGAGGCAAAAGTGGCCTGTCTTTGGAGCTTGGTATGATAGCATCAGGTGGTGTGCAGTCCACAGAATCAGGCTTATTACGTTTTTTATCTATTCAAATGAATAAAAATTATAATCAGTCTAAAGAAAAATTGTGTAAATATAGTTTGGAATTTCAATAGCATCCAGGCAGTATAGTAACAAAATAAGCTATTGCACTAACAAAATTGTCTTAATCTTAACATCATACAATAGTTTAATTTTTATATGGTTACTTTTAAATTATATTCTAATAGTTGAAAAATCAGGCATTCTAAAGTAATCTCACCCATAATGTCGCCAAGGGTAACAGTGTTGAGAAACGATAATGAAGCACAATCAACACCATTATAAGCATCAGCCGAATCCACAGACTTCATCAAGTCTCTTACATGACGAACATGAATACGAGCTTCTCTCACAGTGTAAGGCTCTGAATTTAAAAAAAAAATAATAATTTAGTCCTAACAAAGTTCATTAGTTTATATAACACAAGTTATCAATAACAATAATTCTTCAAACCTTCAATAACTTTGATAACAGATCCCTCTTTAAGTCCTTCAATGGCCTTCAGTTCAGAAAAGTTGTCCATGGTGACACCTTCAAGTTGGAGAGAAAAGCAGGTTCTGTGACAGGTGTCCTCCCTATCCATCAATACCTGGTGAATCTCTTGAACAAGCTCCATTGAACTCACCTTTAAAGATACAAAATGTATGAAAATTCTTAAAATTATTTACAAAAAAAATTGTTAAAAAGCTATGTTCAAATCTTAACGAATAACAAAATTCTATACAGAAATTAAGGACATTTTTTTACTCACTGGCAGATCAAAGGGGTCTAAGTTGGGAGCAGCTATTTGAATATTGAATCCAGTATCTTGGATAAGTAGCACTTCTTTATCTTTTTCTCCATCATCCATCTCATCTTCCTTTTCACCATTTTCACCTTTTTCAACTTCACAAGTTTCCTGCACTTCCTTTGATTCCTTTTCAAGAATCTTATCCTTCATGTTGTCAACTAAATTAGAATTTAAACAATATCAAATTTCTACAATTAATATAAAAATGCTGAGCATTTGAATTACAAAGAAGGTATTAGTAATAATGACTTTTGGCAATGGAAACTTATGGGAAACTGGAGTCTTCCTGCTGAGTGTAGGAAATGGGTTAAAATAGGGCAGCAGGTGTTTATACAATGAACCATGCTGTTCATAATCTCCAAGGCTACCTAATCTCTAAAACCATATCCTGTTATTGTTTTGCTAATGAAGAAGTGCCTAATTTTAACAGCTATAAAATAGAATATAACCTAAGCAAAACATGCATTATTTTATCTTGATTATTTTAATGTTCAAGTAGAAATAGATAAACTTAATTGTTTTAATAATTTTCTAAAACTTGTAATATTTCCTACTCCTGTAGGCTATAGATAATTAATTAATTATACATGTAGGCCTAGATGTTTATTATAGATACCTATTTGTATACTCATGTACAATAATAAGGTCAATATTAAACATTTAACATAGGCCTAGGGTAAAGGAGGGCGTTAAGAGCCACACTTTTTAGCACCTGTACATTTTTAAAGATTTCTACTAATCTAAGAATTTTTTAGTATTGAAAATATGGAAAAATTATTCTAACATATCTTACACAATATAAAAATAATAACAAAGTTTATTAAATATTTTTTAAATGGGTTTAATTGAACATTTATTGTCATACCCCCGAAATCAGCATTTGGGGTGAAAGGAGCCGGGCAATGGGGCAATAAGTATTATCTCCTAGTTTAGACTAACTCTGCAATAAAAATAATTAATTTCTAACCCCAAAATAGTTAATGCTGTGTACACACACTTTAACTGATACTAGCTATCACTAGGCCCCAATGGGCCCAGTCTACAATTGATACAATTAAAGGTGTACATAGGGCCTAAAGTCTAGTAGTTTACAGTAGGCACATTAGTATGCCTAGTGTGTAGCTAGTATACTAGTGTGTAGCTGTCCAGAGTTAACATTCTTGTATGTAAAAAGGGTTGGTACTAACTAATCTGCCTTAATGCTTTCCCCTGATAAGCCATGTGTGCTATACATTACATAACATGACATGGAGGTGAGAAATGTTGAGGGGAGAGCAGTGGTACTGGTTTCCCCTTTGTTCTCCTTGCTGGACCCTGAGGGCCATAAATTACATAAGGAGATGCTATCTCTGGTTGGCTGAGATCTAAGAACTTAGTCCATGTTACCTACAAAGAGATGAAGTTTTATGGTGGGTTGGATACAGGATTGTAGGAAAAAAAGTCACAGGAAAAAAAAACACAGGAAAAAAAAACACAGAAAAAAAGTCACAGGAAAAAAAGTCACAGGAAAAAAAGTCACAAATATATATTTGCATGATATTTGTTAATACTTTTATGTATTAAATATTTAGAGAGTGCAAATTAACTTAGGATTAATTAAATGTAATGTAATGTGTGTAGGCTGTATACGCATAGGAATTTTTATAATTCATCTAAAAATATTTATTATAAAGTATGTAGATTGTAATTATTTTAAACTTAAGATTAGTAGCATTTAATAGAATGCTCCACAGCATTCATCGTGTTTTTTTTTAAATACCAATATTAAATTACTTTGAAATGGTAAGTTCATCTGACTTGCTGCCCTCAACTCATGGCAACAATAGTTATGTTTAGTTAAACCACCTTTACTGCCCACATTTATCACGCTCATTACATAACAAAACTTAGGATCAAAACAGAAAGCCGACAAGGTTCAAAGGCTGTCATTGACGCGTAACGTCAACAACACAAAATATGTTCGGACAATGCCTACGGAGGAGAGGCCGACCAGAGAATAGCCTACGGCAAAATTTGCCTAAATTTCTTTTATAATTAACTTTTCTACCGCGTATTTAACTAAATACGTAACAAGTTGAGATTGTTGTGTAAATTATCTTAGAGTATTTTTACTTACAATTGTTATAAATCATAATGCTTTTAACGTCTATAAATAATTTATGCTATCAAAAAATACAACCCACAACAATAAACATACAAAATTTTACAATTCTTAACAAATTAATAAAAATATTTCTAAAAAGATTTGTGACTTTTTTTCTGTGACTTTATTTCTGTGACTTTTTTTCCGATAAAATTTTTCCACTGTGACTTTTTTTCTGTGACTTTTTTTCCTAGCAAAAACTGTGACTTTTTTTCTGTGTTTTTTTTTCCTGTGACTTTTTTTCCGTTTACCGGATACAGGTGGGGTCTGGCTATCATGGAGGTGAGAAATTGTGAGGGGAGAGCAGTGGTACTTATTCCTCTTTGGTCTCCACCCTGCTAGACCATGAAGGTCATATATTACATATTATACCACCCCAGATTGTCTGAGATCTGTAACTGTAATCCATGTTACCTACAAAGAGATGAAGTTTTATGGTGGGCCAGAAACTGGTGGGGGCTGGGTATCATGGGGGTAAGAAATTGTAAGGGGGGGGGAGCAGTGGTAGTAATGTGTCTGTTTACCTCCCTGCTGGACCATGAGGGTCATAAATTACATAACATACCACCCCAGATTGGCTGAGACCTAAGAACATTTATTCCTGTTACCTACAAAGAGATTAGAAGTTTTATGGTTGGTTAGAAACAGGTGGGGGCTGAGTCGGCTGTATTGCCCCTTAGGGGTAATAAGTACTACCATTTTAAAAATTACCTTACTAACATCAGATGACTGAATTTTTACTTTTTAGCAGGTTAGAATAGTATTTCTATCATTTAGACACAAGTCTGTTTAACAATTAATACATTTTGTGTTAACTATTCCTATACCAGTGTCATATTCAGTGGTCTAATAAATGAGAAACTTGCACATAGGGTTTCAAGAGCCACATAACAGTATCTGTTATAACTTTTCTAAACAGGCAAGCTAGTGAACAAAATTAATGTATTCATGTAGATTTAGTTATTATCTAACAAATAAAACCATTATGGTAATGATCAGTCAAGTTTTACTCTGATAATGATAAAAACTTTATAGCATGGTAAAATGGGACTAATGTCGGCCATTTTGTTTTGGCACCAATAATCACTGTGCAAAAAAAATTCACCAAAATAAAACTTTTCTAGCCAAAGCTATAAAAATAGTGTTAAAATGTACAACAACCAATGCTCTAATACAGGAACAAAGAATGGGCTTGAAAAACTCATTTGGTTTATTACAAAGTGAAGTTTCCCAAGTTATGTCTATTTGGAAAAAAAGTTCACAAAATGGTTTTATGGAGATGAGAAATTTTAGGGAAAGAGCAGTGGGATTAAATCCTGTCTCATCCTCTCCCTATTGGACCAAGTGGGTCATAAATTACATAAAATGAATCCTCTGCTTCTCTGTTATCAAAGAACTGCAGTGGTTGTTACCTCAGAAGTAGATTAGCAGTGTTATTGGGGGTTTTGTGGGGGTGGGGTGTTGATTGGGGCTTAATACCACACGGCTCTTAACGCCCTCCTTTACCCTATATAAAAAAATTAACCAATTATGAACAGAGTTCTAGGCCTTTATTTTTTTTTTATATTAAGCCTAATCAATTATGCCTAGGACACACATTGGATTTCCAAGGCCCTTAAGAAGACTAAGTTCAAGTCCATTAATATTATTTAGTTAGGCTATAGTTTTAAGTTTAAGCCTAGGCTTTTTAAATTAGGGCTTATTTATATCATATATCAATCAAATCCTGATATAGGCCTATACTAGTATTTCAATCTAATCAGATAAATAAATCATTAAATGGATAGGCCCATGCCTATTTGTCATTTGTATTTAATAAATATTAAATACATCTACATTTTCAGAATTTAATAAAGTTGGGCCTATACTTAATAGTTAAAATTAATAGCCTATTAGTAAAGTATTTTATAATTTGTAATTCAATTTCAACTAATTAATTGTGCATTAAATTTGTTATATAACATGTCATATAACTACAACTTAAGTTTAAGCTTGAACAATTATCAATACATGTCAAATTATGTAACTTCTGTCTTAATGGTGTAGTTTTTAATATACTGAATTCTACCTTTATATATCAAATCCTTGAAAAATGTGAATACTAACAAGCCTCAGAATCAAGACTACTTCATACTAGATCTAGATCTAATAGTTCAATGACTTTCATAAACACAAAATAGCTTCTAAATTCAGTTGTCTGATGCAAGTACCATGTGCTTTAAAAGTCCAGAGGTCAAATGGTGACCTCATAACCTTGAAATGAGGTCAAAGTGAGATTTCAACAGCCAGTGCTGAAATACTTTTCCCAATGTTTCTAATATATTTAAAGAAGTTGCACAATTTTTTTTAATTTGAAAAATCTAAAATCAATGACCTGATGTCTAGTAAGTGATTGGATGCCAAAAACAGACTTCCTTGAGTAAAAAAAACCCTTTCCCCTTTAACACACTGGTTCAGTCAGTACTTTGCAAACAGCTGATCACACAAGTAGTACAAAGCCACATCTTGTTATCCATTTTTGAGCACCATAAACAATTGAACTAAATCAGTTCTAAACTATGTACATTAATTACTTGATTCTGTTCGGATTCCACAAAATCATCAGAAGACAGTAAAAAGATTATCCGAGACCGAAAGGCTGAGGAAAAGTTAAGTTCACAACACGCAGTAACTGTAACACACCGGTTGTACTCTAAAATTATATAACTTACCATGGCCGTTGGTGATATCTTTTACACCTTTATTGGAACAACTATCACTTTTATTTCCATTTTCTTGCTCTTCTGTCGCCTTTATTCCGGCCATTGCGGCTCGGTTTAGTAAATTTATTGTTCTTGTAGCGAAAAATAACGGCAACACACGTGCAAATCACAACCAACACCAAGTGATATGATGTGATGTCTGCAAGATTCAATAACCTATGAAGGTCGACTATTATGCAACAAAACGAATACACAGCAATGCGTTTAAATTAAATAAGTACACTTTTATGAATCCGGTATTAGATCTAATAAATCCTGCGAATATCACTTAGCCATTGTTTAGTGGAGTTGTTTTTAGTTTAATGCGTGCTTTTTGTTGTGACCTGAAGTTGTCTTTGAGAGTAGAGCTAAGGTCATTCGCATACAAAACAGCATGAACTTGATAAATTAAAAATTGGTATAGCCGTTATTTTAAACGCACAAAACAAAAACGCTATTATACACCGCGTCAGCTGTTATTAATTAATATTAGTTATTAGGGTACACTATTTACAATATATTCTGTACCGAATACGTTGGACTAATGTTATAATTTATTGTCCATTATTGTTATTGTAGCGCTTGTACAAAACACTGACAAATAATATTTCTTATTTTTCGTGTATGCGTTTTCATGATTTTGCACGTATCGTTTTAATAAAGTATAAGGTTTTAAAATGAGATATTAATAATGTCAGCACGAAACGCAACTAGACAGCAAAAAATAATCTAGATCTAGAATCTAATTGCTTTGAAATTAAAAAAAAAAAAAGATTTTGCATTTTTGTAAGAAGTGGACTTGCGTGAGCTTTTTCTCCAGTTGCCCATCCACTAGACTTAGACTAACTTAAAAATGTTTCATTAATCATTAAGTTTAAGTAGAGAATGTAAAACAAAATAGAGTCTAGATCTAGATCTAGTAGTTCGAATACATTTTAAAGAGAGAAAGTAGGCTTACCTATTTTAATAATTTATAATTGAATAGGCCTAATAGTAATAATAAGAAGAAGAAGCCGGGCAAATTTTTAAGTTTTTATTTTTGTCTTCATTCTAAATCACATGACATGAGATCCACAAAATGGCTTCTACTATCCGATCTTCCTTTCGGTATGTAAACAAGTAAACATATATTTAAATTATAGGCCCCCTATTATAATATTTATAAATTGTATGTCTGTGTAGTGACTGCTGTGTGCAAACTAAATACTAAATACCGCTATTATACTAAAAACAAAAAAAATAGATGGATAATTCTAGGCTCTTAAGGCGGCTACGGCACCGATGCGGCCTCAACTAAGAAAAATTAATTTTTTTTAGGGCCTAATAATAAAAATAATTTAAAATTTATAATAGTTTAAAAATAGGCCCTAATTGTGTAGTAATTAGTAATATTTTCATAACATAAATCCTTCTCAAAATGTGAAGTAATTATTAAAATTTAAGGAGTCCCCTGTTTTTCACATTATTATTAGTCGCTGGCGATTTTATGTACCTCTAAAATCTAAATCTAGAATTAGAATCTAGATCTAAATAATAATATTTAATAACGATAGATGGCTGGCTAATGTCAATGCTAACCCTGTCCTTAACCCCAACCCTGGTCCTACCATATGACTAACCCTAATTTCAAACCATAAAATTAGTCAATATTACAAATTACAATACTACTAACAACCCAACACCCATTTTTTTAAAAAAAATTCCATTATTGGACACTGGTATCTATAATCATCCCATATGAGTTAGTTAGAGGAAGGATTAAGAATTCCATTGGTACCAAATTTATATTTCTAGCTTCAATAGGAGAGGAGAAATACATTTTTTCTATTTAAAATGTAAGGTCTTATATTATAAGCTCTGTAAAAAATGAAACAAGTCGCAAACAAAAATGAAAATTTTATAAAATATGTTTGCAAATTTTTTAAAAATTCTAATGATAAATTATGAATCAGGGGTGGTTCCTTTATGTAAATTAACATTAATAATTGTGCAGGCTTGTTTCTGTTTGATGTTATGCTTTATTTTAAAAAATACAAATGGTAGCTGCAGTGAGGTTAATACAATAAGTAACAGATAGTGTTAGTTACCTCAAAAGTTAAAGACAGTTACAAATACTATGGATGTTTCGACCCAAGGTCTTCGTCAACACACAGATTAGACAGAAAAGACTAACAGTAACACAATTTTGGACTTAGCTCGACACAACAGTGAAAACACGTCTTTTCTAAATTCCATGATGTCCAAAAGAAAAGAGACATGAAGAAGGACGCTTGGATACCGAATAGGGGTGGGGTTGGGGGCGTGGTGTATTCACTCAAACCAACTGGCGACTTGTACTTAAGTTTGGCACACGGTCACCAGATGGTTTGAATGAACAGGTATCTTTCATCTAACCAACCCCCAAATGCCTTTTCATTGCATTATTAACTATAGTCACAGTCACTACAGAACTTATGAATGTCTTAGCTATTAAAATGCAGAGTTTCTGAGTTCAGCAATTATTTTCTTTATCACCCAACTATGTTGTATTACATATAAATGTCTAATTTTTTAAAGCTATTTGTTCTTTAGTATAAGTATTTAGTTAATATTATATGAGAATTTTTTTTTTTTGCAGACATGAAGGTCACATGTTTTTCATTTACAATCATAAAAAGAAAACAGAGGAAGATGATCCTAAAGATGCCATTCTTTACTTTTATCCCCGTACAGTAAGTTTTTGGCATTATTTCTTTCTTCTCAATTTGCCAGCAGCACATAGCAAAATTACCCTAGCCCAAACTCAACACCTGCCCTGTTGTCACCACTTTTTATTTAACCAAACAAATCATTTAATCATGTTTGCAGTAAAAAAAAAATTCTCTAAATTGTAAATTACTATTTGAATAAAAAAATGGAATGTATACTTTGTTTTGGGGGGGAGGGGGGGGTCCCTTGCAATATGTGGCCTTCAAATTTTTTCCCATGTAGATGTCTATTCCTGTTGGTTACAAAAATTATGGAAATAAAATTCCTATGAAATTTTTTCTGCCTGTATGTGATGTAATAACAAAATTTTTTGACCAAAATTAAATCCTGCAGACATTTTTTTTCTATTTGGAGAGTACAGTTTTGTATATGACACATGCATAGGGTAATCAAACAATCTATGGTAATTATATAATAATAATTGATGCATACCTTTTTACCACATTAAACATCCTTACAGCAAATGTTATTTTATGTGTAATCAAGTGTTTTATTTAAATGAAAACAATTCAATATTTCTATTGGTTTGATTTACAGATAGAAGTGAATGACAGAATAGCATTAGTAGGAGGAATAATTGGTTTGGCTGATTTTTGTTTGGAATTTATGCCTCAATGTATACCAAGTATAGTCAAGTTGTCTGGCCATACTTTTGCTTTGTTACAACATGAAGAGTTTATCATAGTAAGTAGATCTTTTTGTTTTAATGTTTAACATAGACCTAAGTAAAACAAATAAATATTAATTTTTTAACGTTTAATTACCAACTACAAAAAGTAGTTTCATCCTGCTAGCAAAAGTGATTCAATTAGATAACGAAGTAACCATATATCAAGCCTAAATCTAAAACATCTACTATTATTGATGTTAGTTTTTGTTTATGTTTTATCTATTAGAATGGTAGCACATAAAGATATAAAAAATTAATCTTTCTGTTGATTCCTGTTTTATTTTTACAGGGTTTAACAGGGAGCCCTGATCTCCCAGACAAGTTTTTAATATCCCACATGCAGTTTGTTTGGTCAACGTTTGTTTTTTACCAAGGCAGCCTTGAAGCTATTCGGGAGGTAAGAATGTACTGCTATTCAGTGTTTCTTCCAGACTTTTTTCTCCGGGGGGGGGGGGGGGGGGGGGCGGTAGAATTTCTTCGGGGGGGGGGGGGACGACGGACACTGTTAAAAGTATATATTTTCTATATAAATTATATAAATTTCATTTCGTTCGGGGGGGGGGGGGTAAAAAAAATTCGGGGGGAGTAAAGCCCCCCCGAAGAGATGCCTGGAAGAAACTCTGCTACTATTTCCCATCACACTTTGTTAAAGTGCTAGATTAGTTGTGTTTTATGTGTTTTAAGAACACATTTCTGAAGAAGTAATTTAAAATTCTCATTGTATTTCACACTCATCTCAAATCATTGATTCATACTGTGGGGTGAAAAACAATTTTTAATGTATTCTTTTTGTTATGTGAGAACTGAGAACTTGTATCACAAATGTTTTTTTTAAATTATATTTTTAAAAAATTGTTTATGCATTTCAAGTTTTTGTGTAGCCTAGAAAACTTTTTTTTAAATTATATTTTAAAAAAAAAAATTTATGCATTTCTAGTTTTTGTGTAGCTTAGAAAAAAGTGCAAGATGCACATTTCAACTACCCCCACCCCTCTAAAAATATAGGCCTTGTTAAATAACTGATGAATGTAAACACATATTTCCCATCACTTACTATTTTTATTATGCTTACAGAGGGTATCAGATGCTAATTTCTTGAAGGAGTTAGATAGAGTTTGGGACATGTATCTTCCACTTTGCCAAATCCAAGGAGATTCATTGTCTCAAGCCTTCCAAGTTTTGCCATATGTACAGTTGCACAAGGTAATTTTGTTTCTTCTCTCATTATATGTTTTTAAAAAGTGCTTTTACAAAACTTTAATATACAAACAACAATTGAGATTAAGTATTCATCAAAATAAATTGTTGAAATTTAACAACTACATTTATTTTAGTTTTTCCTTCATAGCATGGCTTTTGTTTTTAAATACCACAACACATTTCTTTTTATCCAAACTTAAAAAGAAAATTACTGTTTTATCATATGTAGGCCTATGTAACTTTACTAAATGAAAAGCCATTGTTTTTAGAAATTATAGCCACTCACTCCTTTTTTTACAGAGTCAAGGAAGTCTCTTTTTACATGCATCCCATATTCTACAGAGAGCTTTACGTCACAAAGGAGTAATTGCAGGAGCTCTTTTTAACAGAAACAAGTAAGGTTGTGTTGGTCTTCTCAGTATATTGAACTTATGGAACAAACATTATTTTTAAAAATTTCCAAAAAAATAATTGAAATATTTTAAAAAATAATTGTATCTATATCCTCTTCAAAAAATATTTTTCAGAGTACTTTGTTCGCAGTTAAATAATAACTTAACACGGCAACTGCTGCTTCTAATGTCCCACAGTCAGGTTGGTTCACTCTTTTTCATCTTTTTTTATACAATGAAATTTGTGAAACTTTTTAAAAAATGTATTTACTAGTTACTTTTATTTACTAGTTCTACTGAAGTCTCTGTCCTGACCTTTTGCAAATTAAAAAACTTGTTTATTGAAAATTTATAAATCCTCGGTTCTTCTCCATATGTCACTTACCAGTTATCAAATTTGCTTATCTGATCCGGTTTTCATAATTCATTAATTGAAATAAAATAAATGCTCTTAGAAGTAGCCAGAAAATGTTATAATAAATTTATAAATATATGTATATCTTACTCTTTTTATTTACATTTTTAAATATATATTTTTTTACACTTCAAGTTTTTTTTCAATCTCCTCATCAATTTAACTAATTATTTAAACTTATTTCAGTTCCCTTGTGTTGAAGCCAATTCAAGTAAGCTGTTATTTTTTATAATTGACTTCTTTATTAACTTTACCTATTATAATTATCCTGTCTATATTACATAAATAAATAAATATATATTTTTTTTAAAATATACACTTGTCAAATTTCGTTATCTTTTTAGTTCTTGAGTTGCCAGGCGGAGTCCGTCTGCTGTATGTTTACTTGCCACAAGAAGAGTTTGCTTCCCTTGGGCACCGGAGAAAAAAGGCATATATATTTTCTTCATCACAGAAAGGAAACAACGATGAGACAACTCAGAGTGAGTTTCAGCCAGGGAAAAACAACGAATCTTTTAGTTTTCTCCAGGGTCATCGTTACCCGAGGGTCAAAACTTCTGACGGTGGTACCAGCAGCGGTGCAGAGTTAGGAGAAACTCACAGCAGCGATGCATCGCCTTTGTTAAAACACAGGTCCACGTCTCTCCCGGTGTCCCCAACAGCCACGGTGACGTCGGGTACTGATTCTGAGGTGTTTCTGGACACACTGTCCGAGCTGAACTTTGAGACCAACCAGAAGCTGGGTGACATCAAAGAGTTGGTCTGTACACCCAACAAGTGCTCAAGTCCTATGGTAGCTGATAACTCTACGTCCATGAGCTCTCCAGTGGAAGAAAGTCAATCTAGTGCCCATCTAGAATCACATTCACACATCTTTACTGGATCTCCTGGAGAAAGTAGCAAATCAACAGAAGAAAGTATCAAAACTACAGGAGAAAGTACCAAAACTACAGAAGAAAGTAGCAAAACTACAGAAGAAAGTAGCAAAACTACAGAAGAAAGTACCAAATCAGCAGAAGAAAATAGTGATACCGTAGAAAAAAGTAGCAAAGCAGTTGAATCACAACTCACTGATCCAAACTGTACTATAAATAGCACAATGTCTTCTGTAGAAAAAAATGGATTGGATACAGAACTTGTATCTATAAATTCTCTGTCCAAAACTGATTCATTGTTACCCATTGAAGGTGATGTAACAGCACAAAAAGAACCTGTACAGCAAACCTCAGCTAATATTTTACCTGATCTTCACCAACTAGTTGGTCAGGATCAGTCAGTCTTAAAACATGAAAACATTGCAGACAAAACAGATAATGTTCCTATTGACTCAAACACCAATGGGTGTTCTCCTAACTCTATAGACACTGTTGATGCTGTTTTAACTTGTGAAATAGAGTTATCTGCCTTAAACTCTTTAGGACCCAGTAGTGTTTCATCCATTTCAGTGCGTGAACCTTCCAATGCATATAATTCAATTTTTAATTTGGAGAGAAACAAGAACATTGCAACTTGCCCCACTAGCATGGAGGCATTTGTAGCCACTGATCTGAATAATGAAACTGTCTTTGAGCGAATAGAAGAGTTGACTGATGTAAAAAAAATTGTTTCTAGCACATCAAGTTTAAAGACATCATCATTTGATTCTGAGAGTGAAAGGACTTCATCTGGAAGTCAGGGTAAAGACAACTGTAAAAACACATCCGACAGAAACAAAGAAAACGTCAACACATCACTGTACGCAGGTTTCAGCGGAGACGAGTCATCAGCGCAGTCATCGTCTGACGTCAAGCAGGATCCAGAGGGCTCTCAGCTTTCATTAATATGCGACCTAAGTCTGAATAAAGATCGTTTAACTTTCGTCGCAGTTGACAGTGAGAACTCAGACTACGGCATCACGTCCAGATTGTCTGAGATGAGCCCAATATCCCCGACAGCCGAGCATTCTGGGCGCTCACTTGAAATCAACCAGCAGTCTGGTTCAGAGGAAGTAGAGTTTTCCAGTCATTCCACACCCAGTGCTACAGCTGGCCTGGGTTTGAATCTCAGTAGTGAGGTAAAATCTACCTCAGAAGCATCAGATTTCAAACATTCTAATAGTAGTGAAACAAAATGGAGTCTGAGGAACAATGGGCTACAGGAAGTGACCCTGTATGCACAAGGTCACTCTGACACACTTCTGGTGCTTTTATTGTCTAGGAATTTAAAGTGTGGGAAATCTTACATCAGCTCTCTGGTATGTTGTTTGATTTTATTTGTTAAAAATTACTGATATTAAAATTTGAACTATTCAGTAAAGCTGGATACTTGCTTATAATGTTTGCTTACAAAATATGGCACAGTGTATTAAGTGCACAAGTTAACTACCTTATAGATTGATCACATAAAAGTTTTCCCTAAGGCAATACTAACTAAATGAAACTTAAATAAATGCTCCATACTTAATAAATGTTTTCATTTTAAAACAGTTTTGTTGCTAAATTTAAAATTAATTTTTTAGTTTTTTGCATTCTATAAATTATACAGCTTACAACAGCTGTACACAAATGTTTTTATACCTGATTTGATTTAAGTGCTTTGTACCAGCCATAATGTTTCAATAATTTTGTGTTGATTACATGTTAATTTCCCCTCAGTGGAAATCTTGCCTTTCTCACCTGGCTGAGCTAGACTTTGAAGTGAAGGATGCTGAACGTCATGTTAAGGATGATAATGAGGTGAGCTGTGTTAGCAGACACTAAAAAATATATAGATTATTAAAGTAGAGTTGCTAGAAAAGTAATATTTACACAAATTAGAGAAGAGACACATTTCACTCATTTCATAATTTCACAAATTTGAGTAGAGACAGAATATAAAAAAATATTTATAAATAATTACATGTCTAGATAGGCATATATTTATTTTCTTTAATTACAGAATGTCGGCTCAACATTCCAGTACATCAGATATGATTCTTTCACCCAGAGCTTGAAGGGTACAAAGAATTTTTTGCATTTATTAGCCTAATAGGGGAAGTCATGGTTGGGGGGCAGACAGCTTGAGTGCTAACTCAAAAGTCCAGAGTTCGGTAAATAGAAAACAGTTTACTGAAAAAATGTCATTGAACATTGATATGCTTTGTTGTTTTTATGAAACTAGCTAAAATTTTGGGGTGAAAACCGACACTAAGCTGGCTTTAAGAAAAAAAAATGTACATCTTGAACATTAAAGTTTTATGTCTGTTGAATTTCAGGCTCAGCACTTTTACCTGTAACAAGTCTGGCCAATGAAATAGTTGACACAAGTGTAAAAATGCATGAATGTTTCATGAACTCGCCAGATTTGCAGGAAGTAACCTACAGGTAAAAGTGGATTACTCTCAATATTTTTATTACTGTCGGTGTATAAATATAACCTTCCTTAACACAGCCTTTTTGATCGGCTTCTGCTTTAATCACATTGTCTGTCTGTCAAATGCAGCCATTTCATTCACCGTTTCTAAAAAAAATTAGATTTCATGACAATACAAGAATATCTCATTTTAAATTGGTCACTAAAATTTAAGTATTACACAATTCCCTAGCAAAAGATGAAGGAGAGATTATTAGATTAAGAAATAGCAATACTTGTTCAGTCAATTCACTGGTGTTATCACACCTTGTGTTGTTTTTTTTTTTCATCATTTCAGATCTCACTCCTCCTCCTGTTTTGGCCGTAGAACTGTCAACACTGAGACTTACTTTCAGCTTCCTTTGCCTCGCTCTGCTGGAGGCATCTGCTCACCAGAAGACAGTACTTTCATGCTGGACCAAAATGCTGAAAGGTTCTTTTTAAAAGAGGCCAAGATATAAAAATAATATTCAAGATAACAGCTAGACTAGTTGAGCTCATTCTTAACTTGTGAATGATGGCCTTAGTTGTAGGACATCAAATTATAGTACACATGAATCCACAGGATGTTGACAGTGATTATTCAGAAGAGGGCTAAACGCCTGTAGGACTGAGTCACAGCTTCGGACTGATATATATGCAGACTTTAATATCAAGCAGCGTACATTATCAATGACAGCATTAAAAAACTTAATGTGAATACTCAGATATAATTTTGTTTTATTCAGTGAATTAACCGCAATTGTTTTTGTGTTCTGAGCTCAAATCCATGTTTTGAGCTTAGAATTTGGATTCAGAATTATTTACCGTTGAGCTACTTCTGAGTTTCATTGTAAATATAGTTCCTTAAATCGATTGCTTACAACAGCTTTTGTTAAAAGCAACTATTATTTTGACAGGTAGTTAGAAACTTGAGATAAGATTCTCGTTTTTAAGATATTTGTAAAATTATAATCAATTGCTTAGTGATCTTTCTGCATTAGATTTCAAGAAAAATATTCTTCGCACTGAATTTTTGTTGCAAAATAAGCTCAATAAGTCATGTTGCTGTTTGAATGAATTGGTTAATGTACATTTATTACTGTATACAAAACTGTTTACATTACTGCATTTCAGATTGTCTATTTCTTTTTCTGAATTGGAATAGGAAACCCTTAAGAAAACGTAATGGGGTGTACTGCTCATGTTCATAAGTGGAATGCATTCTTGTTGTCAATTGAGCCCAGTGCCCACATGAATCAAAAGTGCAAACACCTGTTCAGATATTGACCAATGCTATTTTATTGTTGGACTGTCAGTAACATAGGCTCAACTACAAAATAATTCTTAGTTCCATGGGGGTTTTGATACCTCTTATTCCTTAATTCAGTTGTATTAAATTAATACAAGTGGATTAATTTAATACAAGACACATTCATTGATTCTTGTAAGTCAATAGATTACCCAATATAAGGTATTGAAAAAAGTAGAATATTCTTAACTCATTTGATTTTAATTTGCCTTTATTTGTTCTTCAAGTAATGAAAATTCTTTGCATCACCTAAAAAAAGAGCAGTTACTGTTGCTTTTAAAAGTAACCAACCTTTGACTTCTGATAAAATCAGAGGTTGTTTTATTGCTAATTTGATATTTTTTTTTGTTTCTAGTCTCAAACTGCTCTATGAAATAAAAGTTGGTCTCTACCAAGTTATTTGTCTAGTCACTTGTTTATCAAAAAAATCGCCTGAAGTTATTGACATGGAGTTTGTGCATGTTGAATACAGTGATAACCTACTTATAATTTATCTTCTGCCCTTGCAGCTTTTTAAATACAAAGTTCAAAGGTTGTGGAAAAATGTGATTGTTTTTAATTTTAAATTGATTGCAACTCTCAGCATAAACATGGTTTTGCTTTAATATGAGAAAAAATGATATGATTAAATTATGTCTTCAAAATAAGTTTATCAAAATATTGTCTTGCTTTCTAGTTGTCTTTCTAAAAATATTTGTGTAAATTATGTTAGTATTAGTATGACTTAATGTTTTGTACTCATAGTGTTAAACAATGCATTTTATTTTTTACTTTTTTAAATTGTTAAGTGTAGAATAATGAAGGAGAAATTATCCTTGTGATGATACAGCTTGTAATTGATCATATCTTGTATCACTTTTGTTTCTGACATTAGTCTGTGATAAATTGTTTTTGATTTAATTTTACTATGGCCTGAGAAACAAATTGTTTTAAAGTGTTTTTAAGTCCATAATTTACACATTTTTCTATCTAAGAATGATAGGAATGTTTTATTTTATGCCATAAGCTAACTTGATTGTTGTATTCCAAAAAAATATTATCAAACAGCATTGTTTTATTAAAGTTTTTCCATAAATTTATTTGTGCTGTTTTATGTGCAACAACCAAAGAAAGAAAATAATTAAATGAAGCTTGTGGGCTTCATGATTTTATTTGTCAACTCTGTACAATTGAAAAACCAGGAATTGTTTATTATAACAAAACAACACAAAAGTGGTATAATTTTCTTAGATTCGTCATAAGGAAAGCAAAAGAACTATTAATTTGTAACTATCCATATATCCACTACAAAATGCAAGTCTAATCCCAGTTGAAAATATTTTTCTCTCTATAACAGCTTTTTCTTAATCCTTTTAATAAAACTTTTTAGTTATTATTTTAAACTCCAAGAATGGATCATTTCTGTTTGAAAAAGTATAGTGCTTATCAAGTCAAACAACTTAAGTCTGAAGAGAGACAAAGAATCTTGCTTTATTAAAAAATCATTTTGACTAAATTTAGAAGAAAAATTGACAAAGTTTAAAAAACCTGAAGCAGACAAATTCATGTTTTAATAAATACTTAGAAATATATATCCATCAATTACAATGGGCTGACACATCAGAGACACTTAACATTAACATTCCTAAAACTTTGCTCAGTTTTAACTTAGCAATCTTCAACTTAACTAACACTTTTATTACACTGCAAAATTGGTGTAAATAATCACGTTACTGAAAAGATGTTGATTTAGCCACATTATACAGAAGAAAAAAAAACCCAGCTAACCCTTAACATTATAAATCTGAGATGTGGTATGTTTAAGTATGGCATTATTTTGCTGGTTTTTAAAATAGACAAATTTCCCATTGATTTATAATGGACTACCTACTAAAGTCTTAAAAAAAATTTGTTTAAAATAAACTACAAAAAAACTGCTTACCCTTCAAATATTGCAAAACAAAAAAAAATATAATTTAATCCTTAAACCGTTCTTAACAAAATAGAAATCGATAAATATTTGAGTTGTAGCTGATAATTCACTTTAAACAAATAACCAGGTCATGAGAAAAAAACAATTAATTCAAGCATATTCAAACTAAACCACATTTAACAAAAAGAATTACAAAGAAAGTGGTTGACAAAAAAAAATGAATGTTAAAAATGTTCTAGATATGCAATGTTTTACTGAGCTAAATTTTTTTTTATTCCAAAAGCACCTAATAAGGTACTGTAACATTACAGATACACTCTACGACATAAACCTAGATACCGAGACCACTGCTGCTTATCAAAAAAATAAGACATCTAAAAATATATACACCTTTTTTGGTCTTATACTGAACAAAGAGGCAGGTAACAGTTTTATTGTTAATATAGTGGATTTCTTTTTAAAATAGAAACTCATGTATACATATTTTTAAAACATGATACATATTTAATGATACTCCATTATAGACAACAGAAATAAATAGGTGTAAATGGTAAACAGACACGGGAGCCATTGATAACTAGTCGTGTGATTTAATCAACAATTATTCCATCCTATTATAATGTATAAAAAGTAGCATGTGTAAAATGGTGGTCCTGTTAGTTTCCATATTAAATCTAAACAACAAATGTACTTTATTAATACTAGCAAGTTTTATTGTATGAAACAATTTCCAAACTTAATTAAATCAGTAAAAGAAAAATATTTGATTGAAAAATTAATATTCTTTGAAAATTCATGAATATATTCTATTTAAATTAAATAAGTTTTAAACTGAAATTATAGATTTATCTGTTCAATGGAATGAAAACCCAAGCTATTAATTAAAAAGGGAAGTAATTAGTTCTAAAGACTAAGATATATGTGGTTGTGTTTTTACCAGAAAATAATTACATTTTTTAATATGAGTAAGCTGAACCATGATGAACCAGGAACCAATCAATAAGTGTGATTGGTGTGTGTAATAGTCAAGTTTAATGATTAAACAATATGTAAAGATACAGATAACATGATGTATAAAACAAAAAATAATTTTTAACACATGCCACCTAATGAATAAAATATCATAGATAAATATAATTTTTTTTTTTACTCATAATTGGTTTAATTCAATCTGTACTTGAAAACATATCTAGCTTGGTATTTTCTATAGTCTAACAGCAACTATGCAAGATAATATACATGCAAACACCTGTATACTAGTTAAATTTGAGACTTTCAGGTTAGCAGTCTAGTTCTCTACTGCTAGACCATGTGTCCCATATTTGCCACTACAGATACTTTTAAAAAGTTTTATATAGCTGAATAAATCATGCTATTCCTTTTTTCAGTTTCTATTACTTAAATATAAAAAAAAATAATTAAACTATTCACTGTAAGAAAACAAATAGCTAAACATAACCAAAAAAATCTGTAAGATTTTATAGTTTGCCTTATCTTTAATTCTTATAATGGCAAAATGAATCCTAGCAAAAAATATGTAAACAATGATAGCAATTGAATTTATTTAACTCTAGTCAGGTGATGTTGCCCCATGTGTCCTGGGCACAAAAAGGAAAAAAATGATGCGTCAGGTATGTGTAGATAATGTTATAAAGGAGCCAGGCCATTCTGTAAGCAGTAATCAATCTGTTAAATAAAGATAGAATCTTTAACAAAGTGATGACATAAAGTTTCAGTTTGATCAATAAGTGTTGTTAAGATACTGCTAAAAATGTTATATTAGTTATGTTATTTTAAAAATAATTAATTTATTACGTTAAATTTGCTATAAATAAAAACACACTACAACATAAACAAAAACCCTGACCATAATACACTGCGACAAAAAAATTAAGCTCTTACCATCAAGTTGGTGAAGCTTTTAGCCATCGTGTCAGCAAAGAATGTTATCTCTTTCTTCAATGTGGCGCTCTGCAAGCCTTGCTTCTGCAGCTTCTCCTCCATCATGGACAGAACCAGGTCCTGCTGTGTCCTCCCCCCTGGGTGTGTTCTGGCTAGGGTGCTGTTCTCTGCTGCTTCACCCACAGCCTCCATCAGGTCTTTATGGATCTAAACATTTAAAACAATTTACAGTAAACAATGAATGCTAGGGAAAGTAAAGGCAGCTGGGACTACACTTCATTCATACACAGAGATCACAGAAACAGGTCAGAGAGGGTATATTTTAAATTAAACACAGGTATAGCAAGTCCATGTGTTAGAGCAAGCTGTAGCTGGCCCAGAAGCCTCGATTTTGGTTCTCTGCTGTCATGGGTACCTGACTTGAGAAGGCAGTGGCTGGGGTACCCCAGTAAAAATGTTATGTAAATCCCTTTACATAAGGCAAAGAAGCAACAGAAAATCTCTTCAGGTGCCCTACAGTCAGCCAAGTACTTAACTTTTAGCAGCAAATATCAATAAGGCAGATTTAGTTGTTCTATTGACAATTAATACATTCTATTTAATAGAAGGCAATTTCTTTTTAAATTTTAAATGAGAAAACATAATTTGCAGATCTAATGTAGACAAAATGTTTCATTTTAGAAAACTTAATCTGAAGAAAAATAAGTTTCAAACAGAATTACTTTCATACCTCTAATTCAGGTAATTCTGAAAAACTGAAATGAGCATCCCAAATGTTGACTTGAATATTAGCCCCAGACTGAAAAAAACACCAAAAAAAATGGATTTAAAGATAATAACATATTTGGCTCGTGGTGCTATGATAGACAAACTATGATTCAAACTGTCATCAATATTGGGAAATGTTGACTAGGCAATGAAATGGAATTTCATCTTAACCAAATGATTGCCTTTAGACTGGTGTTTGATTAGACCAGTAATCAATGTGTTTTCATTGAATAAAAAAATAAATTATAAGATAACATTTGATGCAACATTGGAACAGTGTTTACATTTTTTAAATCATCGAGTTTTTATATGCAACAAACCATTTTTGTAGCATTGTTCCATCTGTTTTTCTTCAACACTTGTAGTGGAGTTTTTGTTGACAGAGTTTCTTGGATGTCTTCATTGAAAGGTAATGTCAGAATTGGTGCTATATGAGTGCCAGACATCACTGCATTTCTGTAAGAAAATATTTTCTATTAATATTTCAACTTCATGTGACATTTGTGTACAAAATATTACAGTTAGTAGGTAGTCCAAACTGGCGAAAAAGTGCGTTTTAGGGTCAGTTTTTGCGGTTTTCAAAAATAAAATTTCACTACTTCTAGTTGTCCTATAAGAATAAAAATTATATGTCAATAAAGTTTAAGCCTTTATCTGTCGTAATCTGGTATTTTTATATCTGTAACACATGTTTGAATGTGTTTTATATTTGTTTGAAAAGTATCAGTTACGTCAACAAATTTCACCGTTTTGCGTGTACCGATCGACCCCACACTGTTTCATTTGGTTGCGGCTTCGCGACGAAGCATCGTAGAAGCATAATCTTAATGTCATTTTAAAGAGCGAATTCTAGTCTCTCGTTTGATGTATAAATTGAAAAAATAACTTGCTTATTTCATTTAAAAAAATTAGTTTTTAAACTTTAAATGACGATATATACACGAAAACAAACTAATTCTGTTTCAATCTTTACACCGATGTAAAGTTCACTTTTATAACTACTTTGTGTTGTAAATTCAAGTCTTTCTGATTTACGGTCGCGAAGCCGTACCCTCAATAAGCATATAACCCTCGAGTCAACTTTCAGCCCCGAGTCAGTTGCTCGCCGAACGGTTTTAAAGGTTGACGACCGATGATGCTAAACGGATTTTACCCTTGCTAGAGCCTTCAAACAAGTTGTAAGTATCATTTTTAAAGTTTAATTTCCATTTTAATAAATGAATTTTAAGCTTGAATGTCAGTTTGGTTTAATTAGCACACGTTATTAATGTAAATTTGAACCCTACTAGTCCACGGTTTTAGCGCGTGAACTACGCTTGTACACATGGTGTGTTTAAACGTGAAGCTATTTAATTCAGGACATTCTAGGGACTTAAAATATGGATGCACTTAACTATTAGATGCTAGTGTTTACTAATTCTTTAAAATCTATCGAATGGGATTAATGATAGGGTCGTATTACTACAGTTTATCTGGACTATCGCGTCAAAATCATGAATCGACAAATTCAAAATGGCCACCATACATTCTTGGTTACTATGTGGACGAACTCAATTATTTACAGGGAACGAAGGTTAAATACTTATAAAATATTATTGAAACACAAAAGAAACTTATAATTGTAATAACTATACATTTTTATCAATTTATTTAAAACAAAAGACACTAAATTTTAAGGACTAATGTGATTAATTTTTAATTTTCTGTTGTGCACTTTGATTCTGATTCCCCTGCTGAATAATGTGAAATGGTCTGCGCCAGTCTCCTTAATAAAATGTACCAGATCAATTTTTAGATGGTGGTGCAATTTAATAAGATTGTACATGTTGTGACTTAGTTTTAAATGTTATATTAGTTGTAAGTGTAAGTAGTACTAGTAGTATTTCTCATTATTTATTTATTTTATATGCATATAGTAACACTGAAGGACAGTTAAGTTGTCCTATATGATGTTGAGAACCACAGTATGGCATCTTCATCATTGGATATCTCAACCATTGTGGCACAAACAACGAATATTTCATTCAATAGAATTAATGTTCAAAATATACTATCAAGTATAAATTTCTTTAAACAAAAAGGTGTTTTCAGGCTAGTTCATGTTTCCAGCTACAGTCACAGGATAAATAGTAGGCCTACACAATAGGCTAGTAGTAAATCTAATTATATTTTATTAATCACTAAATCTATTATTTATTCCATAGCTGGAGACATTTATGGTGGCCTATCCAGAACTTTCCTTACAAGGGAAGGGAAGAAGGCCAAGCCCCCCCCCCCCCCCCCAACTACAGTTCCCAAAAAATATCACTTACTCTTGATGCTCCACAAGATCAAGGTTGGGGGAAACAAGACATACAAAGATGTGGAGTTGTCGTTTTAAAAACTGTTCCCCCAAAGCAGTTATCAAGCCAATAGGTTTGAATGTAGCAGCAACTGCTGCATTACTTGTAGGCATCACGTCTTTATTAGATTACATTACATTACTCCACTAAATTTTGATTCTGTTTCTCCTGCTCTAGATAACTGTGGCATTTTTTAAAAATAATATTTTAACTCATGTGATTTTTGAAAATAATGAACACATTATTCCTGTTAATGTTACCAACACAATAGTTTTAGAGTTATTCTATGTCCAAAGCAAAAAAAAAAAAAAAAAAAAAAAAAAAAAAAAAAAAAAAAAAAATTATGAAAATAAAAGTGACCAAAACGCATTTTTGTCATTTTCAATTATTTTTTTACCTTAGAAAGACTCATTTTAGATGACTGGAAAAAATTGGGCATATATATTACAAACTTTGCAGTAACTTTACCAATTTCTACACTTCTATGTTATTTAGTTTAGAAAATATGGGTTCTCAAAAATGGCACTTTTTAAAAATCAGTTTTTTACCAAATTTTGCTTTTTTAAAAATCGCATAACTTTTTTATTTATTAAGATATTTTTATAAAATTTGTGGCATAGAGCTTACAATTAAAAGTTCTTTCATAACATACTCACTCCAGAAGTCTGCAATCAATAGTTAATTTCAGTTTGGACTACCTACAGTTAGTGCTCTTTGTTGTTATTTTTAGAATATCAGCTACCCATAAAAAAAGTAAAGTTTCCCTTTCAAATCTGACGGTCTATGGGTCACAGAAACAAGTGAACTCTACTTCACTTGCCTCATCAGCTACCCATAAACCATGTAATTAGAAATAATGGTAACCCACCCTTCAAATATGGGAACAACAGCCCAACCAATAAGCTCACTGTCAGTCAACTCTAATTTTGTGCCATCTGGTTTGTGTACAGTTCCAGCAGTCTTGTGGTCTGCTGTGGGCTTGTATAAAACTTTAAATCCCATGAGTCGAATGATAAGACAGGTGTAGTTATCAAATATAGGATGCAGTTCCTGTTAAGTTTAATCAAAAATGTAATAATTTTTATTAAAAAAAAAAGCAAGTTAAAGATAAAAATTGTATCTAATATTTACATATTTTGGTACATTATTAAAAACTAGTAAGATAAATTAAATTGTCTTTATTGTTTTCACTAGACATCCGTGACCTAACAGCATTACTGACAAAAGAAAATACTTTATTGTCCTTCATGTTTTGTTTTATGAGCCCATTTTCTTCTACATTAACCACTTATTATTTTAACAATGAGAACAGATTCAAGTGAAATTACCTTGGGTCCATCTTCCCATACTGGGGCAGTCAAATAACTTGTAGGCGCCAGTTTGGTTGTGATAAACTTTTCTTCCTTGCCATAAACTTCATCTGGAGTTGTCATGGCCTGCTTACCAGGGACAACTTGAGCAAAGCATTGAATGTACAAGCCATCTGCCAAAGAGATGTTTTGTTTCAATAAATCAAAATAAATGTCGGGTCACTGATTGTCTTGGAAAGAATGGACACAAGTTTTTGCTTAATTTCTAGTAAAACGTAAACCACCACTAGCAAAAAAATCAGGGAGTTAATTATAAGCAGCTTAGAATCACATTTTTTCAACAACAAAAATTAGCACCTAATTTAAATATAAACAGTTCATTAACAAGACAGCAGGAAAGAAACCTTAAAGATCGTTAAAATTTCAAATGCCAAAATTATAACAACCTTACCTGGCAACCCAAATGCTGACTTAATTTCAACTTTCAATCCAACTTTTATCCGATAGCGGATACATCTGTAGAGCACCATATTTCCTGCAGGCTGATTGATTCCTTGTTTTGTTATATCAAGTTTACTCACAAGCCAGTTACTCAGATTTACATCAGAACCACCTGCAAAAAAAATATCAAAATTACCAGAAACATTACATCAGAACCACCTGCAAAAAAAATATCAAAATTACCAGAAACATTACATCAGAACCACCTGAAAAAAAATATCAAAACTACCTGAAACATTACATCAGAACCACCTGAAAAAATATCAAAACTAAAACATTACATCAGAACCACCTTTAAATTCATAATAATCTTTTCCTTTATGTGCCCAAGACATTGGGGCAGATGTAGTAGAGTTCATCTGTTTCAGAGACCTCAACTTATGAAGAGATGGTCTGGTCAGTACTATGAACAGCCACCTCTGCTTTCCCTAACATGAGTTACCCATCAGGGTGCTCAGGGACATTAAACTGACTTAAGCCCAGATTCAACCACAAGAGACTTTCGGGTTAGCGGTCTAGCTCTCTACTCTACACCACGTAGTGCCATAAAAAAATTATAGTAACCATGTAAAACATTACATCAGAACCACCTGTAGGATTATCAAAAATGCCTTGCTGGCACTCAAAAATATTTAGTAGAATAACATCAAAACCAGCTAAAAATTTGGACATGGAATATTTACAGTTTAATTAATGTACAGCATTAAAATTTAAAACCAGTTTAACTTTCTGGCTTTAAGTAAGAGATTTTCATGGTCAGTGGACATGGGACTCCTGCATCACAACTCTCTCTACACCAACTGGTATTACAACAGTGGAGCAGCTTTTCTGAAGGGTGCAATCAATTAACTTACCAATGTCTGCAGCCCTCTCAAACTGCTGTAGTCTTAGGATCATGTCCTTCTCTGTCTTGGGGTGGGTTTGACTTACCAATGTCTGCAGCTCTCTCAAACTGCTGTAGTCTTAGGATCATGTCCTTCTCTGTCTTGGGGTGGGTTTGACTTACCAATGTCTGCAGCTCTCTCAAACTGCTGTAGTCTTAGGATCATGTCCTTCTCTGTCTTGGAGTGGGTTTGACTTACCAATGTCTGCAGCTCTCTCAAACTGCTGTAGTCTTAGGATCATGTCCTCTGTCTTGGGGTGGGTTTGACTTACCAATGTCTGCAGCTCTCTCAAACTGCTGTAGTCTTAGGATCATGTCCTTCTCTGTCTTGGGGTGGGTTTGACTTACCAATGTCTGCAGCTCTCTCAAACTGCTGTAGTCTTAGGATCATGTCCTTCTCTGTCTTGGGGTGGGTTTGACTTACCAATGTCTGCAGCTCTCTCAAACTGCTGTAGTCTTAGGATCATGTCCTTCTCTGTCTTGGGGTGGGTTTGACTTACCAATGTCTGCAGCTCTCTCAAACTGCTGTAGTCTTAGGATCATGTCCTCTGTCTTGGGGTGGGTTTGACTTACCAATGTCTGCAGCTCTCTCAAACTGCTGTAGTCTTAGGATCATGTCCTTCTCTGTCTTGGGGTGGGTTTGACTTACCAATGTCTGCAGCTCTCTCAAACTGCTGTAGTCTTAGGATCATGTCCTTCTCTGTCTTGGGGTGGGTTTGACTTACCAATGTCTGCAGCTCTCTCAAACTGCTGTAGTCTTAGGATCATGTCCTCTGTCTTGGGGTGGGTTTGACTTACCAATGTCTGCAGCTCTCTCAAACTGCTGTAGTCTTAGGATCATGTCCTTCTCTGTCTTGGGGTGGGTTTGACTTACCAATGTCTGCAGCTCTCTCAAACTGCTGTAGTCTTAGGATCATGTCCTCTGTCTTGGGGTGGGTTTAACTTACCAATGTCTGCAGCTCTCTCAAACTGCTGTAGTCTTAGGATCATGTCCTCTGTCTTGGGGTGGGTTTGACTTACCAATGTCTGCAGCTCTCTCAAACTGCTGTAGTCTTAGGATCATGTCCTCTGTCTTGGGGTGGGTTTGACTTACCAATGTCTGCAGCTCTCTCAAACTGCTGTAGTCTTAGGATCATGTCCTTCTCTGTCTTGGGGTGGGTCTGCTTGTCCAGGGAGTAGCTGGTGTAAAGTCTGGACTCTGACGCTGTTGGTTTACTCGTCTCAGATTTGTAATAGCCTGACGAATACTTGGGTGCTGGTACTGGGTCCTAGAATCATTATTTAAAAATATGAGATAAATAATAAACATTTGTAATAACAATTGCTTGGGAGCCGGTATTCAGCTCGTATACCAAAAAATCGTATTATGATAACAAATCCCAATTCAGTAATTACTCGACAAATATTTGGAGCCAGTAGAGAATCATAAAATTACCATAATTATTAATTGAGATACAAGTTATGATAAAACAACTCAAGAGGTGAAATATCTCAGAGAGTAGAGTATACAATTATAAGCCTGCAGTTCTTGAGTTTAAATCTGATCTTTGGCCAATCCACATGTTGTCCTTATTACCAACCTGCCATGATGGATGCATCTGGTGAAATAATTGCACTTGACAAACGGCAACATTAATTTATTAATAGTTTTGACCCACCTGAGTGTAAGGCAAAAGTCTGACCAGCAGTGAACAGCCGGGTACAACAGGGTTTCCATCCAAATCATTAGCACTGATCTGGTTGAGGCCATCTTTCATGTTGGGCATGCCACTGTGGAGGCGGAGCTGGTGGCCACCTACACAAAGCAAACCCTCCTGCAAGATCAAAAAGGAGAAGTTGTGTAGTTTATAATATAACTTTTAATCAGAATCTATTGGGACAAGCGACTGTGGTTAAGCATTTTATTGCTAATCACAAAGTGTCAGCTGAATTCTCATGTTTTGTGAGTATTCATCCTCTGGAGGGTAAGTGAGTAAGGATAAGGCATATGGGTATAGCTAACCCAACAATCTTTATTTATGCTGGGGTCAAATTTACATGAACTCTACTACATTTATATGAGAAGGTACTTTACTTAATTCAACCTCTTTACAGAGAAAAAATTGATGTGGTGTGGTCGGATGGTAGAGCTAAAAACTGTTAATCCTCTCAAGTTCGGATCCTGGATTCGAGGATGCAAGACATTCATCCAGCTCTGATGGGCACCTGACTTATTTTGGGAAAACTAAAGCAGCTGTAATAGAGTTGACCACAATATCCCCTGTATGCTGAAATCATTCTAACAAATGAACTGTACTTCATGTACCCCGGACACGAACAAGAAAAGATGATGGCTACTGAAAAAAAACCTGATTAATATAAAGATAGCAATATTTAAAATGAGGTTTATAAAATACAAATCTTTGCTTACATCCTTTTTCCTGCCAGGGTTGAACACACGGACAAGAGAGCTGCCAATGACTACAACCCTCTTGGTTTCAACATCAAAGGTGTACACTCTAAGGAAGAGCAGCAACTCTGGATCAGCTAATTGCCTCCCTTCATTGACCACCATCCTGAAGTTGAAAGCTGGTGATCTGGCAGAGCTACTAAGTTCTGGGATGGCTAGAATATCCTGCAGATTTGTTATAGTTCCAGCACGGAGAATCCTGCCAGTAACCTAAGGAATAAAAGCAACAGTATTTCATCCAACTGTTACTATTTTAAGTTTATCTACCTCAAGTAATATTTACCATGACTAATTTACCATTTTCTGAATAAAAAAATACCCATCTTGACTATTGTAGCACCATCTGACTAAAGCAAAACCCATCTTGACTATTGTAGCACCATCTACCTAAAGCAGTACCCACCTTTATTGTAGCACTATGTGAATAAAGCAATACCCACCTCGACTATTGTAGCACTAACTGATTACAGAAATACCCACCTTGACTATTGTAGCATCATCTGAATAAAGCAATACCCACATTTATTGTAGCACATTCTTAATAGAGCAATATCCACCTTTATTGTAGCACCGACTACAGCAATACCCACCTTGACTATTGTAGTACTATCTGGCTTAAGTAATACCCACCTTTATTGTAGCACCAACTGACTACAGAAATACCCACCTTGACTATCGTAGCACTATCAGGCAGGTACTTGACTGAATCAATATAGAGAACGAATGGGTCCCGGTTGGTTGTTGGTTTTGGATCAGCCTTGGCAGCGACGGGTTTAAAAGAGACCCAGGGATCTTCAAGTGGTGGGCTTGGCTTGGCGGCTGCCTGGGGTGTTGGGAGTGGGGGTGGGGATGGTTCACGTCTAACTGGGGGAGCTTTAGGTGTGGGTCTACACAAGAAAAATATTTGTTTATACTTCATTTAATAAATATAAATGTGTGATATACAAGAAAAAATATATATTCTTTATTGAATAAATAAAAGTGTGTGATTTTCTACTAAGTAACAAAAATGTGTTAAATCTTTAAATAATTAGCAACAGATTAGATGAATAAGAAGATAAAAAAAGCTCTGTTATTGATTTCATTTAGAAATTTTTTCTATCCTTCTTACACACAAAGCAAATAACAACCAAAAGATTTATTTAAAGTACTTTGCAGCTCTGGTATCCATGGGTGGAACCGCAGGTGGAATGGCAGGTTCTGCTTTCAGTGGTTTAACTCTACGGTTGGTAGGCTCATTGTTTGGGTCAAACACATGAGCGGAAAAGGTGCAGTTGTAGCCAAGTAAGTTACCTGCAGAGATGAAAACATTTGTTGACGTTTTCCATTTCAATTCTCATTTATAATTGAATAGCATTGTTATTCACACAACCACTGATTTATACTTTTAGATTTTTAACTATTTTAATGTTATTAAAAAAACGTTTATAAAATCTTTATTGAACAAATTTCAATCTGAAACTTAAAATCTGACCTTCGACCCTATCTTCCTCAGTGGGTGTTTGGGGTTGTGTTGATATTAGGCTCTCAGGTATTTCACCAGGATGTAGGGCCACGGTCACATCACCCTCTATCAGGGTGAAGGTCTGGCTGTTACGATGATTCACTTGACCATACAATGGAATTCTACACCAGCCCAGACATACAGGACCTGGAAGGTTTAAAATATTTTCTTAACCACTAACCAGTTAGCTTTTTTCTTATAATTCTTGTATAAAAGACAGCATTTAAAAATGTTAGCAGAATAATTCTTGTATGAATCAAAAGGACCATCTTCAGGTATAATAACTGGGAGACCGGGCACAATGCCAGTAAGTGAATGAAATAATTTTACATCTTCCTAATTATGACAGGATACCAATTTCACCAGAGTGGCATCAATAGAAACAATGACTTTAAAAGGATAACAGACCAGCTGAACCCCCCCCCCCCTCAAGTGACAACACAAACCCCATACCATCAACATCCCATTGCTGAAATATATTTCAAAACGATTTTATAAGGTGCCAATTTAGTTTTCTGAAATATTCCTTTCACATCAACTGATTGTGTCTTTACAATACAAACTACACATTTTCCAAGTTCGTAAAAAAAAATTAAGGAATTTTTAGTTACTAAATTAGTTCAGGTAATGTAAATTATATCATTATGTTCATACAGTTTAAACGAATTTTTTTTTAAATGTATAGAAAATATTTATGATAACAAGCTTGTTTATATACATTCAAATGAAGAAAATAAAGTCATGTTTCAGACCAGAGGTACGGTGGGGCAGATAAAGAAGATAGTATCAGAACAGTTAAAGTAGAGTTTATCTACTTCTGGCCGAGCATTTGAAGGGACAGTACTGTCAGCCATTGCCCAATTTACCTTTACTTTCCCTAACTAGAATAAAGTAAACATCAGAGCTGGATATCCATTGGACAATAACCCTTGTAATGAACTAAAGACTTTAAGGTTTGCATTCTACACCTCGGTGACGAAGAGGTCGGATGGTAGAGATCACCACTATTAATCCAAGCTTTGATATCAGTTCCTGAGCTAAAGTCAGTAGGATGTCCCTTAGTCCACCCAGCTTTGATGGAAAAGGCAGCTGGGCTTAGTGCTGACCACACTATCCCTCGTATACAGAGAGCATTGAAACAAATGAGCTCTACTTCATAAGGCCCTTGCGTCTTTAGTACAAACAGGAGAAGAGGATGATGATTGTGTACCCTTAACTATGCCCTTCCCACCTTTAAATAGAACCCAATTTACCTGACTTTCTTCCACTTGTGAACTTCAACCTCTCTAACCTAATAATGGCATATGGGTAAGCTCCAAGCTCCCTCTCCACGTCATACTGTGACAAATCAAGCATGTCATAGATGTAGCGTTCACCAGGAAACTCCAAGTCCATGACCAAGGTTCCGTAGTTGTCTTTGCTTTTTGCTGTGACCACAGAGAGACTGTGAGACAAACGAGACCGCAGCTTGACACTGCCAAAATACACTCCCACATTCAACTGGAAGTCTTCTGGTTTCATTTCAGACAGCCAGGAATCCTAAAAATAAATTGATCAGAAAATTTTGTAAAAAGTTTCTCACAATTGGGTTTAATGAAGACAACACTTTGTAAATAAATGTCATAAAAACAAATTTTTAGAAACTAAACAAAACAATTCTAATTTTACTTTTAGAATGGAGTTTGAAGGAACAGTTAGCCTTGTCCTCATGTTTTTGATACCACAAGGCTTAAGCAGGCCTAGATCTGGTGAATCCCTGTCTGACAAGGCAGCGCTCATGCCAGAACTATCAGACCTGCAGGAGTAAAATAAACATGACCTGTACTCATTTGGACAATTAGATATTTCAACACATACAATAAGCTAACTTGTAGTTTTAAAAAGTTAACAGCTGCAGTCTGCTCTTCCTTTCCCTTAAGTTTTAAGTTTGTTACCCTTGCTCAAGACCATTCCCCCCCCCCCCCCATCTAAACCAAATGGTAAAATACACAGGAAGAGTAAACCCCAATGGTCTAGTGTATGGCAATAGAGAAGGGCTCATTTCTTCATCCTGTTGAAATCTGCTTGTCTCAAGGACATAGCTTCAGCTGGTTATGTCCGTATAAGGAGAGACATATGTAGCTCATAAATTAACAAATAAACAGCTCGTAAATTAACAAAAAAACAGCTAATAAATTAACAAAAAAACATTCACTTCCATTTGTTGTCTATGATTGTCAATGTTTTTTTTTTTATGCATTGCCATTATCTAATGATTTATGGCATGATGTAACACTAAAATAAAAAAAGTTAAATAGCAATCAAGCAGATAATGTTAACCCCCTTACACAGGTCTCTGTCTGTTAAATCCATTTATCTCTAGCAAGTCTTTGCAGTTCTCCACATGTATCCAAGCCTGTTGGAAATCAACTGTGTACAGCTTGCATGGTTCCATTAGAAACACCTGTATAAATAATTAAGTTAGAATCAAAGTTTGACTCTCTCTCTCTCTCTCTCTCTCTCTCTCTCTCTCTCTCTCTCTCTCTCTCTCCACCCCATGCGAATGGCTATCTCTGTATCTGTCAATGATCGGATCACTGAGTAACTAATAGATATACGGGCACTTCCTGTGTGGATCGCCCGACTAATTCAATGATAATTTAATAAGCCTATATTTTCTTTGCTCCGACTCTATAAATAGAATCTATAAATAGAATGACAAAGCGAAGGAAACGAAATTTTAAACTGATTTCCGCCATTAAAAAATAACATGAAACCTACAGTTCACGACACATCGCATAGGAATTTAAAATAAATATTAGGCCTATAGGTTTAATACATACTGCATAGAATCTAGAAATTTAGATCTAGTGTTCTGGTTAGTTTAGAATATAGTCTAGAATCTAATCATACGGCTGCATAAAAAGAAAGTTTGAAGGAAATAGAATAGGAATCTGCAGAAGCGAAGGTAAGAAGGTTAGATTAGTAATTTACATGATTTTTATTGTAGTTTCACTGTTTGCTAGGCCCAATTATTAAATCTTTAGATCAGAGGTCAAGCTTGATCATGTGTGGTATCTATTGTGGTGCATTGGAATGAAAAGCCCACATACTTAAATATAGAATCGACTATGCCTATACTACAACTATACTGCCCTATACTTTAAATTTGTTACCACAAGAAAAAGGCCTATTTACTATTTACTATTATTAGTTAGAATTAAATTGAATTGAAATATTTGTTTATCTTTATAGTTTATAGTGAATGCATGCTAATGAGCATTATTCAAGCTGCTGTTATATTTAGGCTTAAAGGCCTATATATACTCTATAGTTTAGGCTATATACTATATAGGCCTAGGCCTACTATATATTATATACCAATATTGTGCATAAAACTTAAAGCATGTAAGCATACGCAATAATAATATTCATTAGACCCATAGTTACAGTAACTAAGACTCGTACTATTTAGTACTACTTTAATACTACCTTTAAACTATTAGGCATAATGAAATAATGATTAATGATTTCAGTGTTTTCCGCACTCAAGAGGAAAGAGGTTGTAGGGAACTTAGAGACTAAACCTTGCCAGCATACTGGATTTCTGGTGATGACAATAGCAGCAGATAGTATGCGGCTCAGTTAATACTAAAAACAATTGATTTTAGTAATTAGTGGTAAGCTCTTTTTAAAATAATATATTATAACATGGTATCGCAAAGATTCAGGTTGTCCGATAAATAGTAATTAGAGTCAAGGTTATTTAGGACTATAGTTTAGTGCTTGGTTAGTAATATGCATCAAGTTGGGAAAGACATAGAAATTGAAATACATAGAATTTAATGTGTTCATTCGCAAACGTTACTATTTAAAATTTTTTAGGCCTGCTTTTTATTGCTGAATAATGAAATCACTATACTTATCCTCTATATTATGTTTAAATAAAGTGAGTTTAGATCAGTCGAGTAAATAAAATTAATAACAACAAGACATAACTAAAATTTACAAATTTACACTGAATATATATATATATTTATATATATATATATATATATATATATATATATATATATATATATATATATATATATATATATATATATATATATATATATATATATGTGTGTAATTTGATTGCTATTTTATAAAAGTATGTAAATCACAGAACAAACATTACTTTGTATTTTGTCTACAGCTTAACAAAAATGCAACTACTTTAATGGATTGCACTAAATAGGGGTTAGCTTTAATTTAATAATTAGTGAGATATTCTTGCTAATCTATGTGTAAATTGCTTTTCAGGACTATGAGTGTGTGTTTGGCCATCCAGATTTCATAACTACAACTGATGTTCAATTACAATGGATATTAATCAGTCTCCGTGGACTATACACTGTGCCTAGTTTCATCCTCAGGTAACTGTACTATAGGCATAAACCATTTTTTAAAGTAATTATTATAGCAAGAGATAGCATTATATGTTATAATAAATATAATGGATTTTAATCCAAAATATTGTATTAATTATTGTCTTTTCTTAAATATATAAATTCTAATAAATCAGTGAGTTGTACAACATAGAGGGTATTATATTTGAATGATAATTGAAACACATATTGTTACAGAGCTCAAAACTATGTACTTATCTAATGTAATTAATATACTGAAACAGTTTTATTGAAGCATATTATTTCATATTTTACCACACAGAGACTGATGTGTAAGCTTAAAGTAAAGACATCAAATCAAAGTATCAGCCATCAAGAGGGTAAATATTGATAGTCTACTTCATTAATCTTCAATATGAATGAACACAATTTTAAATCTATAATCTTTTCTGATAATGATTGTTTCTTGTTATTCATCATGTTCAGTGCTTTACTTTTCAAAGTAATTAGTCATAGTAAAGAAATATTAGAGATAGTAATATAAATTTGTAATTTATTTCTCTTGCAAGTTCCACAAAAGAAAGTATCAAAATATTTTGCCTCTTTTTCATTTACAGAAAAACATTCAAAATCATATTGTGATACACAAGTCAAGCAAGTCTATGACCAGCATTTTGATACAGGCCAAAAAAAAGCTGGATACTTGATTGGAAGGGTGGCACAAAAAACATGGATTATCACTAGGGAAACAAGCTCGGAATACAGTTCACTTTTAGGACAGCAAGCCAAATACTTCTAAACTTATTTGAATCATTTTTGCTGTTTATTATAATTCATCCAATTGTCTTATTAAATATATAAATTTATATATATACACAATTCCTAATATAGAATTTCTAAAAATGTTTTATTATAATATTTAAAAATGAAACAAACATGTTCCCAGAACACAGCCACATAATGTCAACATGTTCCCAGAACACAGCCACATAATGTCAACATGTTCCCAGAACACACAAAATGGCAATATGTTCCCAGAACACACAAAATGGCAACATGTTCCCAGAACACAGCCAGATAATGTTAACATGTTCCCAGAACACACAAAATGGCAACCTGTTCCCAGAACACAGCCACATAATGTCAACATGTTCCCAGAACACACAAAATGGCAACATGTTCCCAGAACACAGCCAGATAATGTTAACATGTTCCCAGAACACACAAAATGTCAACATGTTCCCAGAACACACAAAATGGCAACATGTTCCCAGAGCTCACAAAATGGCATTATGTGCCCAGAACACACAAAATGTCATTATGTGCCCAGAACACACAAAATGGCAACATGTTCCCAGAACACACAAAATGGCAACATGTTCCCAGAACACACAAAATGACAACATGTGCCAAGAACAATGCCTCTTTGAAGTCTTTCAGATGACATGTTCCCAGAACACAGCCCGTAGTTGGCCTGCCATAAAAAGTTAACAATACTTCACTTTTTCCTTAACAATTTTACAAGCAGGTAAGAAAGCCATAAATCTTTACTGTGGTGGATATAGCCAATAAAAGTAGGGTAACCTTCACTATATGCAATTTGTAGTTTTCAATGCCTGTCCCATGCATATTATTTAGCCTAGTGTTTTGGGCCTTGCTTCATTTACTCAATAAATTATATAGGCATGAGAATTTTCATTTTAATCTGCAAAAGCTACATTCTGTAGATTATTATTTTCAAACTACATCATATATTTTTCTCTTCTCTGATAAAAAATATTCCTCATATTGTTTGTGTCAAGTATTTTATTTTTATCTATGCAATACTATAGGCCTATTCCTATTTTATAATAATTACTTAGATCTATATACAAATTCTTTTGAAAACTGATCTTTATTGATTTGTATCATTTTCTTTATTTCTGAAAAATAAAACTTTGTTTGGGAATCCTTTTTTTGTTTCTGTACAAATTAATAAACATAAATACCTACTAGGCTTAATATCCAGCAACATTAAACAATTAAGTAGGGCCTATTGTTAGTAATGGTAAATGTTATCCTGGCCACCTTGTTCTGAATACCTTCAACTGTGTCAATGTTGCTACCAACTCCAATAATTAAAACTGAAGCCATCTACTATAAAGTAAAACTTGGGTGTAATCCAAATCCACCCAGTTGCCGGGGGCAAGGTACCAAACATGATGTCCAGTAGAGGGTTAAGAAAGTGTATCACTATTAAATCACTATTAAACCCCTCCTCGCCTACGCCATTGATTGTATGCATATGGACGTTACCGGAATTTACTGTAATGCTTATAAGTCGAAAATGCGAAAAAGACACGTTTAATATTACTAGTTTGAAGAATAATATTAATGTTAGCCGAAACAGGTGTATTCTAAAGTTGTTTAAATTCATTTTATTGTTCATTACGATTATGTTGTCGTAAAATATAGGCCTATTTAAAAAAAAAGCATAACTAAAAAGTGTTTTAACGCGTTTTCTTCTTACAAAAGCCTCACATGCATGATATCATTAACATTACGGCAAATCAAACCCTTGAAGAAGCCCCATCAACCATTCAATTATTACGATGGGCAACAAATAAAACGCCCGCATCAAGGTACAGTCCTTATGCTATCGACATTAGCTCAACCCCGGCAACTAACGTGTCCCAAAACCAAGAATTGAAATCTTGACCCATTATTCTGATTAATTAGTGGTTAAACATCTTTAGGCATCTGAAAACGTTAGTTTTTAATCTAGTGTACTCAAAAAGGAACAACATAAAGCTTTATGCCGCCTTAAAAACCCAATCCCATGTTACGCAAGGCGTCGATAGAGAAAGAATAAGGCTTTGAGTCAGAACAGGCAAGGGCTTAGATAACTGCCAAAATACCTAATCTGTAGACCTCACAAGTCTAGACGATATATTTGTGCCTCTGTTTTTAGACTTTCAGAACAAATACATGTGATGTGGTCAGTAGGCACATAAAAGAGAAAAGTAGTTTTAATCTAGAGACTTCAAACATTTCTGAAGGACCAAATTTGAACTTGTAGGCCGTGGTGTCGATGCCAAAGTTTAGCGTCGTCCGCAAAGATAAGCTATCGTTATATCATCTCTATGCCCATATTGTGACAGATATTTACAAATGTGTCTAATATAGGACAGAATACATTGCTACTCAACAGAGATAAGCGCAATCACTTGTCCACCACTTAAGAAACCACTGTACTGCAAAACCCACCTAAATGGAAAATGTCTTAGATCTGTGTTTTAATACAAATGTGTACCTCGTCGCGAGTTAGGACCTGTAGGTAGTCTGTTACTACTCTATATCTAAAAACAATAAAAAGATAACGTGAATTTTACTTGTTCAATTTCTTGGTTAACCGTATTTGTTGCATCTTTTTCAATTTTGTTAATATTGATTAACCTAAAGGGTTCAAATGTAACAAAGAAAATTGTGACTAAGTTTCCGGGTGCGGGTATGCGGACACTAGTTAAAGTATATATCTATTTATATATATAGAAATGAAAGTATGTTTATCTGTTTGTCCTATATGAATTACTACATCTTTTTCATCGGATCGCCATAAAACTTTGTGAACAGTTTTTTCCAGGAATCTATTCGGGGGGGGGGGGGGGGGGAAGCAGAGCCCCCCCACCCCCCGAAGAAAGTCTATCGACCCCCCCCCCCCCACCCCCGAACGAAACGGAATTTATATAGAAAAAAATATATACTTTTAGCAGTGTCCGCACGCCCCCACCCCCCGGAAAGATTTCGCCAGGGCGGCGCCCTAGCAGGAAGCAGAGGCGTAGCAACCTATTCCGGCGCCCGGGGCGAACTATCAATGCTGTGCCAACCCTATTCAAACGCTGGCAAAAAGGCGCCCATCCCTACATACACTCCCCTATATAAAATAATTGAGGATATCAGTCATGTATAAATCTGTTTTCTTAAATTTTACTGAAGAATGATGATTTTTTAAAAATTGTCTACCCCTTTTGGCGCCCCATTCGATCTGGGGTCTCTGACAGGGAGCAATGCAATTTTTCTCCATAAAAATAAAAGCCAGATGCAATTTGACACTGTTCGTACGAGAGTCATACAATTTTGGCGAGTTGGTGAAAAGGGTTTCGAGAAAGAAAACAATTCTTAAGTGTTGCACCCTGGGAGGGTTCGATTTTTCTCATTATACGATTATGAGCCCAGAATCCAGAGGGGAATCCAGAGGGGCTATCTCATCAATTGCGGTCATAGGTAATACTAGATTCAGCATTGGCGTAGCGAGGGGGGCGGGGGTACATATGTCCCCGGGCGCCAACCCTAGGGGGCGCCAAAATGAGTGGGAAACATTTTAAAGCTCATTTTAGCTACAGTTTTGCATTATAAATATAAAAAAATACGGGGGGGGGGGGGCGACGCCAAATTGAAAGTTTGTCCCCGGCGGGAGGGGGGGGGTGCCAAATTGAAAATTTGTCCCCAGGCGCCAGGAATGGTGCTACGCCTCTGAGATTCAGTGATAAAACTACACCAGGTTCATCCGCCAGCTCCCCGGGGGTTGAATGGCCCAGAGCGGCCAAGACCCACCTCGGGCGACAACTACGGTTTAGATGGGTTACTATAAATGTTCACTAAGTAGAATAATGAGCGCCCGCCGGCGCCCTGGCAGTTGGCGACAGCGAGCGCCCCGGGCTCTATCGAGAGTGCCTCTTTAAAGAGCACCCTACAATAGGGACATGGTGGCACACGACATTTTATAATTAAACCGAATTAGGGGCGCCCCTGCGGAAGTATAACCAGTGGCTCACTGGAGCACCAAGGGACGCGTCTCTAACACATGGGCGGTCGCCAATGTGTGTTCTACCTCACTATTATAGAGGTTGATTAACGTACACTCAAGGCTTTCATACAGTGAGCCTTGGTGCGTCTAGGCGGCAGTGTGGACAAACCCGCGCCCCAAAAAACGAATATGTGGGTTTGTTTGTTTAAGCATTACCAAAGATTTCATTCGTTTGTCATTCAAATTTGAGAAGCTAATGCTAATACCCCTGTGGTGGTTTCTGCGAAAAAAAAATCGATTTGGTGGCGCCCCGGCAGGGTCCTATTTAGCTCCCCGGGTTTTCCCGTGAGTACTATGGTACCTTTGTTCGTTTTAATAATTGCGAAACGCTATGAATATGATGGGCTACTATAATCGCTCACTATGCCTTCCTACCTAGGCCCACCTACCTACATACCTAACTCACTGCCTACGTACCTACCTATCTACTAACCTGCCTGCGCTGCTGCCTGCCTACCTACTTTCCTACCTACCGATATTCCTGCCAAACTGCTTTCCCCGCCTGTCTACCCACCTCACATCCTTCTTACACCCACACATATCTTCGTATGTATATATGTATGTGTTAGTGTGCTCTAGGACTATGTATTTTTACATTTTTGTTGTTACGTAGAACCATTCAGTATAAAGGAGTTTCCTTTTTTTTTGACGTTGTAACTGCCGCTAAAATATTCTTTTTTTGTATGTGTGCATAAAATAGTGTAGGTTTATTAACAAAAGTAAATTTTAGTATGTATTTAAGTGTATATAATCATTTTCGTCAAGCCAATGTGTTCAGAATCTTAAATTTAAAAACGCTTGAAACTCGATAGCCAAAGATTTAGAATGTGAATAATTGCTATTCAACCAGAAACACCTATTCTAATTACTGTAATATTTTTTAAAATAAATATACACAGATATAGATTGTTTTCTTATATAATTAATTAAAAAAGTCAACTGTATTTCATAACGAAAATTAACACAAAATACATTCGAATAGAAACTGTCAAGGGAGACTACTCTAATATTTGTAGGAATAATAGTTTTTATTTAGAGTTTTTTTATTATTAGAAGAAAAGTTAATCATGTAGGTTCTATAAAAGATTACCTTACATTTAAAAAAAAGATAGGTTTAGAAAGAGAAATAGTCAAAATTATTTATTATATTCATTAGTTTTTTTTAATAATATAGTACAAAGACCTGTTTTAATTATTTTTAAATAATCTTATTTTAATTAATAAATTATAAATGAAGATCGAGGATCTATATTTTTAAAAAATAGTTTAACTGTCCCTAAACAATTGTATCATTCGCTTAGAAATTAAGAATTAATAATTACGTTTAACGCTTTATTAATTAAACGAGTTGAATTATTTCCGTTTTGATAAACTCTCTCTCTCTTTATAACTACTAACGCTTTATCATTGAGTTTCTCGAGAGAAAAATACAGGAGAGCGGTAGTTATCATTGACTCTGTCATTGATAATTTCATTGAGTCTTTCATAGAAAATAGTGTTTGATCGGCTGCTCTCTCTCTCTCTCTCTCTCTCTCTCTCTCTCTCTCTCTCTATATATATATATATATATATATATATATATATATATATATATATATATATATATATATATATATATATATATACACACACAATTATCTCAAATGCTGTTACAAATGTGTTTTTTTTCATAATACAAATAAAACATGAACAATTTTATTTTTCAAAATATTTATAAAATATTTTAACTAAAAAATAATTAAAATGAAAAAAAAAATAATAATAAAATCTATAATATAAGCGGGCTGAGCGTGTGTCAGTCATTCCGTCATCGTTATAGATTTTGAAACCATAAAAGTAAACATCGCACCATGCTGTGCTTTTCAGTGCACCGCAGTGTCTTATTATAAGTAATAGAGTAGGGTTTGTTTATATAACGACATAGAGCTATTTTATAATTGCCACTGTTTTTTCTTTTTTGCATAACGTAAAGAAAATATTAAATACACACACATTGCTAACACATATTAAAAAGATCAATGTCAAATATCATTTTCGTTTATATTCCCAGAAAAAGTGGATACATTTTAATAACATAATAACAGTACGGTAGAAAAATTCAAATTAATTTAACAATTTTTTTTCTAATTTTGACAAAGGAGGTAATTAAAAAAAAATTAAACTCACGCTAATAAAAAATGTGAATGCAAATATACGGTCCTCATAGAAGGAATTAGTATTGCAATAATATAATTAGCAAAATGTGAATGCAAATTATGCGGATGTGTAAGAGGAAATTATTGTTAGAAAATTATAATTAGCGTGGATTGATAAAAGGCAATCTTTTATTTATTTTATTCACTGAATGTACTGTTTATTACTTATAATTTTTAATCAACTATTCCGCACTATTATAGACGAGTCATCACGTTCATTAGGTGCGCAATGGATTTAGTTATGAAACTATTGTAAATTTTTAAAATTTAAAGTACTGGGAAAAAAATGTGTGAATTGATAAAGTGATATATGGTAGGTAAAACACTGATATTTTAAATACTGCCTATTATTTATACTGTTATACTGTTTACTAGTTATTATTCTATCTTTCGGTTTGCGGGGGCTTTTATAGGAGAGGCGTAGCGAGGGGGGACATATTCCCCGGGTGCCGACCTTAGGGGCGGCAAAGTGGGTTGGAAAAAATTTGCGGGGGAGGGGGGGGGGGAATCGAAAGTTTTAGGGTTAGGGCGGGGGGGTGGGGGGGGGGGGGGTGCAATTCGAAAGTTTGAGGGGGTGCAAATCAAAAGTTTGAGCAGGGAGAATTTCAAAATCAAAAGTAGTGCAAATTTAAAGTCTGAGGGAGGGTCAAATCGAAAGTTTGTCCCCGGGCGCCGGAAAGGGTCGCTACGCCTCTGTTTTGTAGTCATTCACTGTGTCAGACGCGTCCGCCGGCGCTCGGAAAGGGCGCGATTTGGAGCTACGGGTTAGACTGTGAGCAATATGCCTTTATGATTGCATTTAAATTGTGTTTATGTTATGAGTGTTGTTTTTGTTTTTTCGTTTGTGTGTTTTTTGCGTTCGTTTGTGTTGTGTGTAGTTTTGTTCTGTTCCCAAGTTGGTACATTTAAAAAAGATTTACCGGGGCGGAGCACGGGATGCAGCTAGTCAATTAATGTAACACTGCAGTGCTGACTAATAGTACTTTTACAAGATTTATATATCTAAATTTGAGAACAAGATCAACATTACTAACTTCTTTCATTGTAATGTAATCATAGGCTTCCATGAACCTATGCCTCAGCAGTTGCATCAAACTAAGGCAGACATTAATGATTGCTGTTTGCGTCCAGTTCTGCATAAACAGCTGATCCCAGATGTACATTACTCCTGGGGCATCCAACACACTCACAAAACCCTTCAATAGACGAGATTAAAAGTTAACGCTGTGATAAATTTCATATTAATCCAAGATATTTTTAAAAGAACTGTCTATATATAAGCAGAATGATGAACACAGATAAAGAAGTAATAAACCAAAAAGTGGGGATAAACAAGATGAAAAATTGGCTAGAAGAGACAAAACAGCCATTTATATTGCCAGTCAGGCTACGACTCCAAACAAAATAAATTGATAAGAGCAGAACAAAATATAAGCAAAAAAAAATTTAAAAAAAAAAACAAAAAGAAGGAGATGGAGGATGGGAGTAGGAAGCTAAGAAAAGTAGCTACAAAATCTTAATTCCCAAAATGAGGATGTGGTTTCAGCATCATACTTGACAACACGTGTAAGCTTGTCTCACTATGTAAAAAAAATCTAACCTCCCCAATCCACCTCCTCAAGAAGATGGTGGGATCTGCCAGAAACTGTGTGTCAGATGTCGGAGCTCTGGGGGTTGTTGATGAAGACTGCTGTAACAGTGCATCAGCTTTTTCCCTCTCTTGGTGCAGAAGCTGCACCAGAAACTCCTACCAGAGATTTAACCACCATTTTAAAATGTTATCCTGAATTAACCAGTTTGTTTAATGATATTTGTGTAAATAACATTTAATTAGCAAGTGAAATAAAGAAATTTATGGAAATGAATTAAAATACCTTTGGGTTTACTTGAGCATTTATAGGGGCAATCCGTCGCAGGTGATCATGCAAATGTGGGTCGTCCCGCTGTAGCCTCATCATGACTTGCTCCGCCATGGCAAAGACATGGGGCCAGGTTGGGAAACAGTTGGAGTTGAGCATGTCCAGGTACATCGCCAACTCTAACACATGTTCTCCTAAACATTTAAACATGGGAAACAGTTGACAGTATCCAGGTACATCGCCAACTCTAACACATGTTCTCCTAAACATTTAAACATGGGAAACAGTTGACAGTATCCAGGTACATCGCCAACTCTAACACATGTTCTCCTAAACATTTAAACATGGGAAACAGTTGACAGTATCCAGGTACATCGCCAACTCTAACACATGTTCTCCTAAACATTTAAACATGGGAAACAGTTGACAGTATCCAGGTACATCGCCAACTCTAACACATGTTCTTCTAAACATTTAAACATGGGAAACAGTTGACAGTATCCAGGTACATCGCCAACTCTAACACATGTTCTCCTAAACATTTAAACATGGGAAACAGGTATGTAACTCCAACACATATTCTACTGATTATTTCTCTGGTTTATAAAAGTATGTTAGTATAATAAATTCAACATTTATTAATCTATTATTAGCAAGGTAATATACAGTGCAATATATAATTATGTACACTTAAACTAATTAGAGGGGTAGAGGGAGCAAATGTGAGTGAAGTTTTTACAAAAATGAGTTGATTAGAAAATTACTTTTAATATTTTACACCATATAATAGAACACACACTGAATAATTTGCTTTAAACTAATTTTAGTCATCAGTTCTATTTATTTTTAATGTAACTTTTAAGGTGTGTCATAACAATTTTACAACCAAAAGAATAAAACCTAACTATGTTGCTTAATGCTTTGTGTCAGGTTAATAAAATGAAATTGAAAACACAGCTATATGATGAGATAAGCCCCATAACAGAATAAACATCTTGTATCACTAAACTCACAGACCGTATTAGTAAAATATGTGATGTACTATAGTATAAACCCATTCTCTCTTTTCCCAGGCAACTGGGTATATTTAACTAGTACCATTAAAAAACACTGCACCTTTATCATCAGACATGGCTTCCTTGTTCCTGAAGGCTAGCTGTATAGGAAACAGCCAGTGGACTAGATAGGGCTCATAGCTCCTGTCATAGACATACAACACATTCAGTGCTCTGATGGATTCCTTCATGTGCTCCATATGCTTGTATGAGATCATACTAGTAGTTTTGCCATACGTCTGGTAATGAAAAATGAAATAACATTGAAACCAAATATTCTTAAACTAAGTTAAAATTTATTTATGTTTGCTAATAGAAAGGAACAAGTCAATAAAAAATTGAAAAATTCACATAAACTTAATTATCCAAATATACTTTATTTTGAAAACAGTGATGATTTTTTAAAAACAATGCCACACAACTATAATGGGATGACATGGTCGCATAGTACAGCACACAAGTAATAATCCAAAGTGTATCGAATCCCAGGCTTAAGTATCTAGGACGTCATTGCATTCACCCGGCTCTGATAGGTACCTTTAGCCCTGACTTAACTATCCCTTCGTAAACCAAACTCACAGAAACGGTTAAATTTATTTTCCCTCTTCCCCATTGACAGCCTGGTCAAAAAGGGTAACTTTAAAAAAGTATAATTAAAGAAATCTTCTGAATTGTTTTTATCATACAAGTCTAAGTAGAATAAAAAATCAAAACACACAAGCAATATTTTTTTCCCTGTGTGATTTACAAAAAAAAAAAACAATAGCTTTAGTTACCTCAACAACAGCATTCTGTATCAACCCATTGATAGGAGACTGAGTAGGTTTTTTTATCCTCAAGTCTGTCAGTCCTCGAGTCACAGCTACAGCAAACCTTTCTCGTACCAGTTTCTCAATGTATCTGAAAAATTAGAAATTAAATAATTTCAACATACTGCAAACAAATGTTTTTTTTAAAAATTCAACCAGGATATCATCTATAAATAAAAGTTAATCATTAAAACCCAATTCCATATCAAATAAGTACCCACAAATAATGAAGACTTACACTTCTTTCATTTTTTTCCTCTCTGCTTTAAACAGAACATCAGCCCACATGTAAGACCTGAGGGTGCCAGGTAATTGCCGGCCATGCAAGCGGCCAGCAACAACCTCAAACTTGCGAGGATCTCGTTGCAGCAGGGAAACAATAGCGGTCCCTATTGTGTCACTTTGTGGGCCCCATAGGGGTGGTGGATCACCCTCCACAGTGTGAAGCATGGCTGCATGTTCAAATTAGAAAAAAACTGTTGTTATTTTGCAAGAAATATATTTTTTAATTTTAAAAAGCTGATTACTATGGAAAAACTAGATAAAAAATAAAACATAAAATTTATAATTGTTTTTAAACAAGTTTTTATGCAATTCCTATAAATACTGTATATAAAGTAATTTATTTTTGAACTGGATGTATTCAGCATCAGTCACAAACTAGCTAGTTTCCAGAAATTTAAAAAAATCCAAAATATTTTTCAAAAATTATTTACTTCCTGGATATCACCTGTACATGTCCAATATTATTACCTTTGATTTGTCCTGTGGAAGGTTTTGGTACAGATTTGGTCATCCCCAAATCTGCTGCACCAAACTGTTTCAGTCTACTTGGTGCTGGGATCTTGTAAATATCTGGCTTCTTCTCATTGGTCAGGATTTTCATCTCACTGGCCTTCACCTTCTGTTAAGGAAATACATCTTGTTTACACTGAATACATTGATCTTTAGTTTTAGGAAACTAAAAACTGTATTACGATATCTCTGTTACCAGTAATTTCTTTTCTTGTAGATACAGTTCCCTATCCAACCCAGTGGTGAAGATGGAAAAAGTGTCTTGCAAAAACTCTGCATAATGTCCAGTAGGAGGTGGTTCACTGTTGGAAGATTTAATACAAGAAGTTCAAGTTACATTACAAAAAAATAAATTTAAAAAAAAATAAAAATAAGTTAATGGTAAATGAAAAACAAAAGATTGAGTTGAGTTTAATAAAAATCTATATGAATCTCGTAAATAAAGAAAGGCCTGTTATTTATGTATATATAGAAAGAACAATATAATGATTAGCTGTCTTGAAATCATAATTGGGCACAGTTGTCACAGACTGTATTATTATGTATCTTTATTATATTGTGTTTTGCATGAATGAAGAGTACCTGGCTAGCGGAAGGACTGTCTGAGCGATCGTCATGTGTTTTTTCATGTTTTTGGGTGAGATCGCTCATGTACGTAAGGGGAGAGAATGGACCGTATAAAAGGGAGAGCAAAAGGTGAACGGGTGTTGTGTGCTAGGACTTGGGACTTGAACTGTGGCAGTGAATGTAAGATGTCTCCATGACTTGGAGTCGTGACTGTGACTGTACTTGTTGAGTATCTTCTAATATGGATTTACCATGAATAACTATGGATTTATCATTCTCACTGTATATAGTGTAAATAAAGTCATCATTTGAAGTTGCCACTATTGCTTGTATTCCTGTGTGAAAACTAACCCACAACAACAAAGAATTCATGTTGTTACAACAGTAATAAATAACATTAAAAAAAACTCATGGTACAGAGGATGATATGAATCATTGTTAAGAATGGGCAAATGATGACTATAACAACACGCAAGTGGAGATTATCAACAAGAATTTACTCAAAATCCACTGCTGAACAATGTAGACATTGCAACCAAATAAAAAAATATTGAGAAGATAAAATATAATTCACTTTGATATCTAAATTATTTGGATCTTGTTTTGCTGGTAAGGTTTTATTCTCTACAAATTTTGGTGTTAGGGTAATGATTACGCTATTATCAGGTCTAAGTAAGGATTAATACAAAAAATGAAACAAGTAAAAAAAAAAACAATAACATAACATAACATACCCTGGCTTGATCCCTGTCAGCAAGTAGCCGTGCCCTGTCTCTTTCACAGCTTTGTACATCTGGCTATTCAACCAGTTCTGAGCATCAATTCTCAAACGATTTTTCTCATCCGTTGGCAGGTGGTTTGGTTCCTGGTAAGATAATAATAAAATTGCTATACTAAATACTAACTAATTAACTAATTATTTATGAACTACTAAACGTAATCTAAAATACAGCAGTGATGATAGAAATATTAAATACTAACAAATTAAACTAATTAGCTAATTATTTACAAACTAAACGTTATCTATAATACAGCAGTGATGGTAAAAATAATAAATACAAAATAGTAAATAAAACTAATAAACAAATTATTTACAAACTACACATTGATAACAATATTAAATAATAACAAATTAGCAAAGTATTTATAAGCAACTTAATTGAATCTACAAAACAGTATAGTTGATAAAAATGAGCTGCTAATCACAGCCACCTACCAGTAATTCTGGATTACGCTGAACATGTGACAGATATTTTTCTGAAAAATGTTTTCCTAAGACTTCCATCAGCATTTCCTTCCTTTGAGGGTGGTTGAATTGTTTTTCTACTTTCTGTGCCAGGTTGTGGGAAATTTCTTCTTCCAGCTGACCAACGTTTAAAGGATCAACAGAATAAATGAGATTATTAGTGTCCAATACTATGCTAAAATTCTCTGAATAAAATTCTACTACTAAGAGCAGATGTAAAACTTAGTCATCTTAGGACAATTTAAGGTAAGCATATCACTTCTCAAAACTAGACTGTTCAAACTACAGTTATAAAAATGCTCACAACAAAGCTTTAAAGTTTTATTTTTGTAACAATTTTATAAAAAGCACTTAACAAAATGGAATTGTGTAAAAATGATGAAAGACATGGCCACAAATTTTGAATCATGATGCCTTTGTGGATTTAGCATTAAACGAAAAAATCTCAATAGAATAAAATATAATATAAATATAGAGTTAGATATAGAACAGTCTGGTTCTGGGGAAAAAAAATGTATATATAATAAGTAATAACAAAGAGTTGAAGGTAACAAAATTAAGTCTACAAACCTTGTGCCATGGGGCAAAAGGAAGGAGTGTTTGCTGGTAACATGAGTTAATCCACAACTGATTAAATATCTGGTTCTCTGCTGACTGCTTTAATGGCTTCTTTAAATCTTTATTTGATCTCTTCATTTTCAAAATTAAACTTTTGTGTGTGATTATCCTTTTGTGGTATATCCAATAGCACAAGCAAATAAAACAAGCAGATATATCCTTTAGAATTAAACCGCAAGCAATAACAACCAATTGAAGTAATGAATTATCTTGATGTAGAGAATTGTGGTATTACACAAGACTAACATAAAAATTAAAAATGTGTCATGTAAAGTTTAAGAAACAATAACTTCAAGATTTTACAACAGATAGTACAGCTACACTGATTAAACTTTGAATGTATATTTACATAAATGACACAATAATGAATATCACAGATATGCTTGTACAACTCATATAGTCTTTAGCTCAGCCCATTGAGAGCATTGGATAATGCCAAATAAGAATAATAAGTCCTTTTATGACCAGGCAGATACTAAATCTTCTTCAGTTGGTTAACTTCCTATCACTTGCAAGTCAGGAGGCCTGTCACCATAGCAGTATTTTACACTAGCATCTCTGTAAGAATTTTCATGCTGAACACTCTGAGGGGTACAGAAATTAAAAATGTTAAACTAACTAAATTACATGTCATTTTAAAACGATATGTATCATGAACTATACCATTAAAAAAAATTAATTTAAGATTAGGTCTATATGTATATATAATATGCTCATTTATTATTCAAAGGTAAAAAATTATTTAGTTAATATTTTGCTTTTAACTCAAATTAAATATAATATAGATCAATAAAAATTATTTATATAAAATATATTTAAAAACTTTGTATTACTGTATTCCTTTTAAATATTAGAAAGATGATCTTTATTTGTTAGCTGAAGTATAAGTATTTGTGAGACATACCTGTGAAGAAGTTCTGCACTTAGCTAAACACAAATCAAACACGTTTTCAACTTCACTAATAAAGAGGTTGTAAGGTGCTTCCAAATTTTCCTTCACTATCTTGCTCAACAAATGTTGCTGTAAGCATTAAAGATATTAAAAATAAGTCCTAAAGTAATTTGCAGAAGTAATGTAATCTGGCTATAAAAAGCATCTTATGAAATTTGGTAGGTTTAGAAAATATTACATTTTTTAAGATATGAATTTTATTTCTTCTAACCTTTGGACCATAGAAAACAAAAAAATTGAAAAAATTACAAGATCACTTACATTTTTCGGTTGTAAGCAACAAGAAACACAATGTTCATAAATACTACAGCAACCATTTGAAAGGCAGCTTTCACAAGAATGGTGTTTTGTCGAGGGGTGTTTTGTATTACAACATTTGTTGGTGCCTACGTGCTCATGCCTGCACACATACCCTAAAAAAAAGATATTTAACCTAAAAAACATAGGCCTAAAATTTTAAATGCACAATGAAAGGTTTCATTACAACAAAGCTAATAATAACATGTGTAACTTTAATGTGCTTGATAAAGGTGTAAAAGAATATACCTTTCTGATCAACAATTAGCACACGACCTTGCCTAGAATTTCGACACTTCACTATCTCTGTGTCATTGGACTCTTCTGTTGGCTGAAACTGGAAAGGCTGTCGCAGTGTCCGTTTTGATTGATATTCAGTGAGAATGTAATCTGAAGACTAAAATGAATAATGGTAAAATTTTATAGCTCATATGTGAAAATAAATATCTATGGTATTGGTTCGTAACCTTTTTTGGAGGTACCAAATCTCATCCATTTCATTTGGGTATTCTGTAAGTAAACCCTTTTTAATTAGTTCTAGATCTATAGTCTGCACTGACAAAATTTGAAAATACAGTTGTGAATCATTATTATGAGTCAGTGTCACTGTCAGTGTCTAGTGTAGACCTATGATGACCGCCTCAGACTGACTCCAAACTGAGTCCAAACCCAGTTTAAAACCCACGGATCTAGAGCTAAACTATATTTAGATACCTAGACTCTATATCTAGATCGAAATTCGAAACGCTCAGGTTTATTATTTTATCAGCTGTCATTCAGTAATTCACTATCAGCCTCCTCACCAGCTCTGCTTTGTGTTCAGTTCAGACTGTTCTCACTGTTCACTAGACTAGTGTTCACTTTTTGTTAGTTTGGTTAGTGTTACTGATAGCTTAAACGGGAAAACAGTTTTATAATTGAATATTCCTTAACGTACAGTACAGAAAAAAAGTTATACCTTTGATAGTGTTACTGAAAGAAAATACAAAAGGGAACAAATAAATATGACCGCGAGCACCCAACGTTTCCTCAATACGCGAGGGTACAACATTGGTATCCTATACCAGCTCCGCCATGTAAATAAACTTTAATAATATGGCCAGAATTTTGATTGTGAGAAAGTTAAATATTCGAAAGAAAACTAAAGGTATTAAGCCATGCAGTAAAATGTTCCTTTTGTAATATATGCATTTTAATTATCAAATAGTTAGATCTATGATTGAACATCTAGTAAATCTATTTAAAAGATAATAATAGAAATATATCAAACATATCTCTTACTATCTTAACTGGCAAATCACAGGAATAACCAGCTATATAAATGAATAGATCTAGATTTCTAGAACCTGGTCTTAGATAGGATTTAGCCTACCAAGAAGAATTTCGTGATTCTTAAAATTTCATTTATCCTACAAAATACATTTTTTAAAAACCACATCTCAATAGAAAAAGTGTGTAAAAATTAAAATATGTTAACGCTATATTTATCCTTGAGATTTGTTTTATAAATACAAAAATGACCATGTTCTTTGAAGTCTCTTTTGTCTGCTAGACTACTAGATCCAGTGGCGTAGCGAAGTCGGGTGTCACCCGATGCGGCACTTAATGGTGTCACCCCCTCAGAGGCGTAGCGACTCTTCCCGGGGACAAACTTTCAATTTTTGATTTGCACCCCCCCCCCCCCCTCAAACTTTCGATTTGCAACCCCCCCCCCCCCCCCAACTTTCAATTTGCACCCCCTCCCCTCAATTTTTTCTCTATATATTTTACTATTTTTTACCTTGGTGTCACCCACAAAATGGTCCGCACCCCCGCACCCCCCCCCTCGCTACGCCTCTGACTAGATCTACTAACTAGTCTAGCCTTTACTACTAGATCGAAATCTAGGTGGTCTGGACATTTATTCTAATTAGAATATAACATAAATGAATGTATGTGAAATGTCCGTATTCGTGTGACTTTTATGCATTACTACACCATTCGTCCGCTCGCCGAGAAAATTTTCGGAAGTTGTTTCTACCATATTTTTTTTTCCAAACTTCTTCTTCTTCTTCTTCGTTCTTAATTATTAGAGTTGAAGGGGATCGAGATTTATCTGCCAGTGGGTTTGAACTCGAGACTTTGTTCGAATTTATCAACCATGAACTTTTGCCGACTCGACCACGCCTCCAACACAATTAAGCGTTACGTGTCAACTGGTTATGCGCCATTGAGGCCATTGACTCCGATTTCAGCCTGCTTTTCTTTTTGGATTTGCTTCCATAGCCTTTGTCCAACCAAGAACAAACTACAAGGCAGCAGTTGTTTAATTTTGGAGTTGTCTCTCCTAGAAGAGTGGCTGTCCCCAGCTAACGAGCCTCATCTGCCCGAGGGTTCCAACTCGAGACTTTTCGGTTTAGCAACCATGAGCTTTACCGACTCGACCACGCCGACCCCGATCCAAATGATTTCTATCTCCCCCCCCCCCCGTGTTTCTTTCAGACTTTTCTTTCCTCTTTCCTTTTTTTCTCCGGGGGTGGGTACGGGTAAAAGTATATAATTTCTATATAAATTTCATTTCATTCTGTGCCCCCCCCCGAATAGATGCCCGAAAGAAACACTGCACACACAGCCTTCCGGGACCTGAAAATAATAAAGTGAAGTAAAATGAAGGGATATAGTAAAGCAAACACATACATGGAGTTATTTCCCTGTCTAATCTGCATTCCTACACTTATATTATGCTGCTGGCGTCAAACTTTCTGAAATCCTCCCTCTCCCTCGTCACACATCGTTACTAAATTACACCCTCCTTCAAGGAGTGTGACGTCATTTATGGACTACCCTGAAAGTAACTATAATCGCAATGCGGTTCTATAGTTGGCGACTTGATGGAAGCTCTTTAAGTAATTCGACTTTTTTAGACCTATAATTGTTATAATCAGCTATGTTATATATTTTAAGAGCTTGTTGCTTACAACCAGAATTTCATCCAGGCATCTCTTCGGGGGAAGCAGCTTCCCCCGAAGAGAGTCTACCACCCCCTCCCCAAACGAAATGTGGGGAAATTGCGAGACGCGAAAAGCGAAATGGCGAGGCGGGAAAAGGCGCGAAAACGGTTGGTCACGTGACTTTTTTGTCTCGCATTTTACCACAACCCGATACTTACGCTGGGTGGTGTTGAAATGCGAAGATTTCTGCGAAAAATTTACCGCACCCGATTTTCAGTGGTATTTGGTCCAGACTTCAAACACGTTTTCTTTACATTGTTAAAACTTTCGATTTTTCCGTCGCTAGACATACTGATGATTTGTGAACTCCCCCCCCCCCCCCCGCCCCATCTTTTGTGTCGACTTAGAATACGACCTTGTTCGAAACCGACGGAAATACCGCCGACGATAGATCAACTTCTTTCTTTTGTGTGGAACGCCGAGGCCGCCTGATTTACCGTCTTTGAAGATCGCCGTGCCGCCGCAAACATATTTTGTATTGATGCATAGAAATGTGTGACGTCACACTATAAAAAATTAATGTTAGAAAAAGAATTTTAGACGTTTTTCGCGTTTTAGAAAACTGTTTTAATAAATTGTAATAGGAATTGATTAAAATACTCTATTTTGACAGAAATTAGACAATATTTTGGGAAAATATCGATGTTTAAAAAAAATTCAACTGCAATTTTTAGGGGGGTTGTAGGCTGAGGTGTGACGCCATTTTAGTGGGGGGGGGGGGGGGGGTCTGGATTTTTGTGAAAATGTGTGACGGAGGGGAGTAAAAATCGTCATTTACGGATGACCCCTTTTAGCTATTAAATGGTAGTTTTGTCGATAGCGGACTATATTCAGATTATCTACAGACGCACATTTTTTTTTTCATTCTGTTCATATTCGTGTTCTGTGTTAGCACAGTATAAATGGGAGTCTAATGAACTGGGTTGGATGTACTATGTGTGAAAGATGGTGTGACGAGGTGTGTTTAATTAATGCTAGGACTGTTTCAGAAGATTTTGTTTGTAATTAAAATTACTTAATAAAAAATAAATTACACTTTTTAGAATTGTTTATACTTATACACTTTTTGCAAGTACAACAATCCATGAATACATGTTGCAGAATATCTCTCCTGCTGACAAAATTATACCAATTCACAATGACACAGCTCACGTTTGTATAAACATGAGCGGGCTAGATTTTTAAAATTAATGCCGACTGAGACGGGATCAGTGTTTCTTCCAGACATTTTTCTCTGGGGGGGGGGGGGCACTTGAAATCTCCGGGGGGGGGGGGGGGGCGGTAAACTTTCTTCGGGGGGGGGCGGACACTGTTAAAAGTATATATTTTCTATATAAATTATATAAATTTCATTTCGTTCGGTGGGGGGCGGTAAAAATTTTTCGGGGGGGGCTTCGCCCCCCCCCCCCCCCCGAAGAGATGCCTGGAAGAAACTCTGGACGGGATTTTCCTCTCGCTAACGAGAGCGGGCGATGACAGTAGCACAGCAACGATGTTAGGATTTTTTAATAGATAGATCTAGATATCTTCTTAGTATCTATCTATCTATATAATAAAATCTAGATAAAAAATAACAACATTCAACACTCGTGTTAAAGGGTATGGCTACATGCTAGTTTATTTTAAAACAAAAAAAAAAATAATTTTAAATAAATAAAGATGAAAAAAGCATGAAAAAAAAATTCTTTTTTTTTCGCAAAAAGTGTCTCGCTATTTACCCTTGATTCCGCAGGTATGTCTCGCATTATCTTATCGCATTTTCCCGCCTCGCCATTTCGCTTTTCGCGTCTCGCAATTTCCCCACACCCTGAAAATATATGCTTTTATCAATGTTCGCCCCCCCCCCCCCCCCCTCGAAAAATTTAGTCTGCCCAAGTGCCCCCCTCCCCCCTCCGAGTGGAAACACTGCTTACAACATAGATAGCCTATAGGACGCAAACATGTGTTTCAATTCCGTTTCGTTGTCATTGTGGTATTTATTAATGTGCTGTAAGTTTGAAAATAAACACACACAGTTAACAAAGAGCAAATAATTTTAATAGTAATTAATGTCTTCAGGAATTTTTTAACATACTAAAATTACGAATGACTATTTCAAACGAATTCCATCGTAATTATGAATATGTTTAAAACCAGGTAAAATGATATCCTATTCATAAAAAAATATTTGGGCGTTATACATAATCGGAAAATGCAAGTGAAATGAATGTGTAATCAATATTAGTTCATATTTCTGAAGAAAAGACTTTTATGTGGCAACGAAAAGGGAAAGGAGAATTGCAATGCTATTTAACTAATTGCTCTCCTTTCATACTTTAATTAATTATTTAAAACCCAAATCATTGTGTGTTCTCTTTAAAAAAAACAAAACATACCCGATAATTTTTGTTTTGCTTCCGTGTTCTGTCTTTGGATGACGTGGCCTAGATGTAGAGCGCTAGACTGCTATCCCGAAAGTCACGAGTCGTTCCTAAGTCCACCCAGCTCTGATAGGTACTTAACTCATGACAGGGTAAGTAAAGGCGGCTGGGCATAGTGCTGACAACACTATCTCTTTATATACGGAGGTCACATAAACAGGTGAACTCTACTTCAGTTGTCCCATTGACTGTCAGGTTTGAAAAGGGAACTTTACTTTTTACATTCAGTGTGTCTATAAGGTTCAATTTTAATTCATAACTAATTTGGAAGACCCACTTAAAACAACTTTATTACCTGACCTTTCATTTTTAATTATACAATTTTGAAATATCAACCATTCACTTATAAATATGCTACACGTGGTGTTTTCGGGCGGCACATTAAGCCGAAGGTGGCCTTAATCTATTGTTATTATTATTATTCGTGAACAGTCTTAAAACACACCGATATCTAGGGAAATAATATATACAGGTCGTGGCTCCTACCTTGTCGCCCCTTCTCTAATCAACCACTGTGCACGTGGCTTTTAAATTTCATTTTTATAAGTAGATCCAGAGTTTCTTCCAGGCATCTAATTCAGAAAGTCTACCGCCCCCCCCCCGAACGAAATGAAATTTATATAGAAAATATATACTTTTAACAGTGTCCGCCCCCCCCCCCCGAAAAAAGTCTACCCCCCCCTCCGGAGAAAAAAGTCTGGAAGATACACTGAGCAGATCTATGCGCGGGTTTACGATTTTAGTTTTGTGTGTTCACATTTAAACTTAACAATCAATTAGGAGAGGGTTGAGAAATTGTTAGCTGTAATATTTTGCTCTTTTGATGATGGTAGGAGGGGGGGGGGGGCTATGACAAAGCGCCCTACTACATTTGTAAACAGTAATTGGCCAACATAGAAAGTGACCTTTGTGTAGAGGTAGGCTACATGTTTGCCAAAATTATGATGTCATTTACGGACGACCCTTTACTATGGTCATAAAAACGTTACTTTCTCTTAATGGGGTGGGGTTTAATACCTGGTTCACTCCATGGCCATGTCTCTACGCCTAATCTGTATTGGCGTCTAATAATCATACTTTAAATCTAAGCTGACTTCAGTTTTTTAATTATATGGATTATCTGGATTAAACCTATAGGCCTACCTTTAAAAAACAATAGTCGTTATATTTAAAATTATCCCTACGGATTAAAAAACAATCAAATAATGGACAACCAAGATATAGATTTCAAGATATTATAATAGTTCGGTACCTCATTTGGCTCATAATATAACAACGTGATCTGGCACAAATAGACTTAGAACCAGAATCTATGTGTAGGAAACATCGATTGTCCTAACTTGCGGACGTGCTTTACAGCACTCGACACCCATAGTTTTGTGAGTAAAGTGAATTGGCATTATTCTTTACACCTACATCTAGATCTATTTCTGATTAAGTAATGTAATTTTTTATTCTATTACTCCCATATAAAGTCTATTTAGGAAGTATCTAACGTAGTGAACCATTATTTTTGGGAGGAGAAAGTAGCAACTGAGAACTGAGGCTGACATGTCACTGTACTGTCAGACTGTCAGTCAAAGTTAAAATTATAAATAAGTATCATATTATAAATGTGCCTTTAGAATATGTATAGGAGTATAGGATAGATACAGTTTAATTATTTTAATTTAGCAAATTTATCTAGCTTTGATAACTTAAAAATCTAATTCTAGGACATGACTTTTTTCCCTCTGTAAATCTACATTACACAAAAAAGGTCATGTGCCCTAGATTTTTAAATTATGTAATACAAGAAATAGTATAGATCTAGATCTATTATAGATGGGCCTGGCCTAATATTAATACTACTAATACTATACAACTTTAAAGATAGGTGTAGGCCTATGCCCTGCCCTATATTCTAATAATTGTATATATATATATATATTAGGGCCTATAGGCCTAATAGATTAGAAGGCGTATACTATATGTCACAATGAAGTGGTACAGACCTGAGGCTGTTTGTGTTTAGCTATGGAACAATATTCTGACAAGTTTTGTCTATAGTCTTATAGAGACTCTATAGGGTTCTACTATATTATCGATACTCTATAGGTACTGTTAATAGTTAAAAATAAAGGAACAGTCTGGTTGGATGGTAGAGCGTACAACTTCTAGCATGATACTACCTGAAAGTCTCAAGTTCGGATCTCATGCTTGAGTTTGTAAGACATCCTTCTGTCCATCCAGAGCTGATGAGTACTAGACTCATTTTAAATTTTAAGGAAAGTAAATGCTACTAGATCTAGGCATAGTGCTAATTATTCTCCAATCACATACACAGGGATTAGGTCACATAAACAGATGAACTCTTATTTCGTCGCCATAGTGGACTACCAGGGTTTAAATTAAATTTTTTATTCTTTATTAATATAGTTTATATAGGCCTACTCTTTTAAATATAATTTTGTACTTATCAAAATAAAAAACATTGTGTTCTTTTTATTTACTTTTTAAATATACATAGGGCCTATTTGTTACATTCTTAAGTCAGTTTGGGCCTATCCTAAATTTTGGTATTTTGTTAACTTGAAATGGGTATGCCTTGCATTGGAATGGGTTAACTTGAGAAATAATTTCATTTAAATTTAATAAGACATAGGCTCATCACAAAGCCATGGTTGGATTGGTGGTGTTGCTATAAATTTGATTTGTGATGTAAGTTTAATTAAGTGTGTACTGCGGAATGCAGTTTGCTGCCCTCACCCATGATCTAAATTAATTTTACAAATACAACAAAATATAAACAAAATTTAATAAAATTTCTTGAGTCAAACTCTCATTTCTTATGTAACACATGTAATGAATAAAAAACAGGCATATAGTTATGGAGCCTAATTATTAGAATACATTTAAGGCTAAATGTAGGTCAAGTACTCTCACAATACCAATGATCTCACAAAAACACTACCACACAGCCTTCAACCTGATAGGTAGGAGCTCGTATCTAGAAATAGATTATCTAGATCTGATTTTCTGGCCAATGTCACAAAATATAAGAATAGTTTGTATTTTTTAAATGTTACAAAAATATTTTTGTACCCACTTATAAAGTCAAACTTTTAGTCAAGGCATATTTTTAAAGTTGATCTAGGATCTGCACTAAAGCCATTTATAGATTGCTTATATCTTACTTTATATGGGCCTATCCTAATTTCCAAATATATTTTTTAAAAAGAAAAATAAATTTCCAAAGTTTTTTGTTATGTAATGTGTAATGGCACTCAATGTTTGATGTTGGCTTCCCTTAAGGCCAACATGTTTTAGCTAATTTTTAAGGGTCACTAAAACCAAACAAAATAATTTAAAACATTAGCATACCTTCATTTGTGGTATTATGCTAAAATACTAACTCTTTAATAGCAAGTCTTTGAAATTGTAAATTTGTTTCTTTTATAAAAGCTTTATATCAAACAGTAATAATATTTTACTAATTACTGACGGTCATTTGTCAATACTAAAACCTTATATACACTAGATGCTTATTGTTTATGCCATTTATTTCTGTTACTTATAAAAATAACAGTTAGTTTTTGAGGGCATCTTATGGTTTCTTTGCTAATCATTTAAATTTCAATAGGCCTTCTACTTATAGTTTAGACTAATTGTTATTTATTTATGTAAAAAATAAAGGAAAAACTGGTTAGTCTCTGTCTTTTTAACTTTCCAAATTTTGAATATTCATACCATTTATACATAGCTGAACTCTGACATACAAGTCCCTCAGACAATTGCAGCACAGGGATCAAATTATCATGCACCAGCTGTTAGCTAAGATCACAGTACAGCAGTGCATTGATGCTAAATTTTGATACTCTCTTTCATTGTTGTGTTTTTAGATATTTCAACTCTGGTTACAATATACTCTCATTATAAATATTATTGTGTGTTTTGTAGGATTACATATTATTAATGAGATTGGTTTTATGGAATATAATATTCTTTAGGTTGATGGGAGGTTAGGCTTCATTAATTGGACATGTGAAATTGTTGGAATATCATAAATCTAATTAAATAGTGATGGGAGGTTAGGCTTCATTAATTGGACATGTGAAATTGTTGGAATGTCATAAATCTAATTAAATAGTTTGGTACCGGTATTTAATTTAAGATGATTTTGATTATTATGAGATTGATTTTCATGGAGAATGATGTTGTGAAGGAAAAGGGAGGTTTCGCCTCATTATTAATCTGTCTTACTGAATACTAATCTTCTAAATTTCAGAGCCTAATTCCCCCCCCCTCTTAATGAAAGTAAAACAAATCAATCTAAAGCTGGGCATTTACCACTGGTTTGTTAATTTTAAGTCCTGTGGAAGCTGTTTTTAATATATGGGTCAACCTTGAGTATCAGTCACTTGCATACAATTTTTTAGGCTGTACCACCACTTGATAGTATCTAGATGAACACCATTTAAAAAAAATTATAGCATATAATATTACAAACTCTGCTTGAATTATTCTAACTGTAATTGATACATATAATGGTATGGTATTGATTTGTATACACAGCTCATAGTTGAATGTCAACATTACTTACGTGTTATTTTCATGGCAAATATCACCTGATAATTTAAACAGGTTATTTGGGTAATTTTTTCAAATTAGTGCTTTTTGAGGGTCAATAAAAATTGTTAATTTTTTTATGTGGGGGATGGCATGGTACATGTATAAAACTCTGGCTTCCTAGACATGTGACCCTAGGTCATCCCCTGACTGAACAACCCACACTCAAGGCAGGTGGGGCAGTACACTGGGATGGGGGGGGGGGGGAGACTAAACAAATTGATCTAGTATCTGGAAGTATAGACCCAAAAATGCTCAAGCTGTTTATGGCCATGTAAGAGATAATAACTAATTCAGTTGATGTCTAGATTACTCTATTTTAGTAAGGTAATTTGCAAATGTTAACAGTGAGCACAGTAATTAAATGACTAGTGCTCAAAAGTTTGCAGTCCCAGTTACATTTCCATCATTCACATATGCTATGTTCCAGATGTTTTCTAGAGGTGGTTGTAGTTTTATTTTAACAAGCCACAATGAACTAATATCTTTAGTGCTCCAAAACCCCATATAGAGCTCAGGGGAATCCTATTCACAGGGTGAACAGCTGATGTTAAACATCAGCTGTTATTTATGTCTAATGATGTCCCCTGGGTACCAACAGACTTCCTGTCTTCTTTACACCCCATGCTGTGTGATGTTTTACTGGCAGCTGAGCCTGTTTCTACTACTTGTTTACTCTTAACTTTTAAATAACTAACTATATAATTTTTATTTTGAATAAAATTGGATCTGTTGTTTATTTTTCTGTATTAAACATTTCATTCACTTATAGACCTACATGGTTATTAATAATAGTTTTTTATATATTTAAAAAATTAATTTACTTATATAAAGTGTTTCAAATTGTTTTGGAAAGAGCTTCCAATCCAATATTTTCAATAAGTCATGTAATACTTGAAAAGTCCCATCAATAAATCTGGACCAGTTTGATGCACTTGTCAGAATGCATTTTGAGATAAGTCAAGCTATGAAGTCCTACTGTAAAGATCACCTTGATTGTTTGTTATCAGTAAAAATGTAACAACTAGATTAGCCAATGGGAGAGACTGTTATCTGTAGAACAAATTTGTAATCAGTGTTTCACCATATTACATCGTATGCACTGGATACTATATTTTCTTAAAGGAAGTTTAGGATTTAAACTGGTAAAATATTATAAATATACTAAAAGTGTATTGGCACTTAAAATCTACTTGTATGTTTTATTTATAGCGAGCCGACCCGCTGCGTATCATACGCCGCTATTTAGTTGTTTTTTTTTCTACTTTTCAGTAATTCATAATTTGTGAATTCGACAGTACCAATCCTGCCACTGAAAATATTTGCTTAAAAACACTACCCCCCCCCCCCCCCACGTGAAAGCAGCCTCCTCTTAGTTACCTCCTCTAAGTTTAAAATCGTTTCAAACTAAATTATCTGCCCCTAATAGCCGTCACCAAACCCGTCTCTATGATTGTAAAATGTAAACAGCGTGACCACAGCTCACCAGACAATGTGGGGGTGGGGTGGGGGTGGTAGTGATAGTGATAGAGAGAAAGAAAGGGTACTGCAAGGAGGCGCTTGCAGCTTGTTTTCTTACGGCTCCCAGAAGAGAATTATATATATAGATGTTTTTTTTTAAAATATAAAATTTTGACCTTATTGGTAAACCATTGGTAACATTAGTTCCAATAGTGTAAGTAGTTGTATATACTTAAAAAAGTAATCAGCAACGCTACATGTTTTTAAAGTTGATAAATGTTTGCTAATTTAATCATGCAAGTCATTGCAAGGATATTTCAGCATATTCCAGTCTATTCCCATGTTTGAGTTACAGTGCAATCAGTTCAGCTCTTATGAATAGGACAAAGTGGTCCAAAGAATTGTGTCATGGTGACAATAAATTCCCTTGTACATGTAGTCAAGTGTTACAGTTAGTAAAAGATCAGGTTTACTGCAGTATTTATACCAACATCAGCTGCTTTTGGTAAAACCTCATTTTGACTTATTTAGTACAAGCAGTTATCACACTGCTTTTGTTTATAAAAGATGAAATGTTTTGAGAATTAAACATTACAATTATGCTAAAGACCAACATAGAAACATTTTTACTACATTTATTTAGTCATTATTTAAAAAAAATGTTTTAAATGTGTTTTGATTTAGATAGGTGGTACATGTTAATAGTACAGAGCAGCATATTTTTATTTAGTTGTTTCTGTTGTCACCTATAAATAACATCTTTGATTTCTGTTTCATTACAGGGTGTGAATTTTAAACGAACAAAACATGAGCACAACTGAACAAGTTGAAATGGCAGTTTCTGAATCATTAATCTCAATGACAGATTTGTTCATCCTCTCATTAGCTGGGGGGTTTGCTTTCTACTGGTTCTTTGTGAGAAATAAAAAACAAGAAGCACCAAATTTTAAGAAACTATCTATAGCGTAAGTTCAAAACCTTGGTATTTTAAAAACAATTTTTCCTATTTGTTCTGACTAATGTAACATTATATTCTTATAAATAGAAATAGTTACAATGTAAAGATAGTCCTGACAAATGTAACATTATATTCTAGTGAATAGAAAGTAACAAAGTTAACTTAATTTTTTAGTACCCAAAAGCAAAAATGAGCAACAATACGCCGCTAGTTTTTTAACATCCAGATTTTTTTTTCTTTCACAGGCCAGTTTTAGAGAGATCAGAGTCAAGCGATGCATCTTTTATAACTAAAATGAAAAACACAGTAAGTGCAGAGTTATTCTCCTGTCATTTGCTCATAAGAATTGCATTACAAGGATAATGTTGGCTGTTAATTTGCTCTAAGCCTTGTGTTTAATAATAATTTAAACTATTTTAAAAGTAAAATATTGATCTAGAGTAATCTTAAACAATGCATATTTTGTTATTTTTTAACATAATACTTCAGCCATCTTGTGTCATACATCTTTCATCTTAATCTGTATAAGCTTTAGCATTGTATTGTAAGATAACAGAAGTGTCTTTGGCTATGTTATTTCTCTGATGTAAGGCTCCCAAAATAGAAATCCTGATTTGTTAAACTTGTATACATTCTGATATCCTGCTGTATACAAATGGAAACAAAATGCTTATATTTGCATTTAATTTAGAATGGTTTTAAAAAAACAAGCTTAAATTTATGCTTGAGCATATTCATATAAATGAAGCATATTACTTTTCCAAAGACTGCTATGGTATTTTACTGAAATACATGTTTTAATCAATTAGTCATGAAAAAAAAAGTTCATTTTACATGTTTGAGACTCCAAAACTCAGCAGTGCACAGGGTAGGGGAAGGGGCAGATATTGCTCTGACTAGATATACACACTGTGTAGTCATACACACTTCTGGTATAAAGGCATGTTCATTTTCTAAACAGGTGGAGCTAGTTTGCTTGCCTGTTGTTTTTTTTTTTTTTAATACACATTATATATTCACTTTGTTTAATGAGGTGAGAGACAGGAATGTCTGTTAACTGCCTTTCATTAATTTAAAGGTAATGAAAAAACTTGGCCAGAGAGTAAGGTAGTGTGTAAAATTGTTAACTAGCCAAGTTGAATGTGTTCACTCACAACCACACCATTCAACACCAGCTCATGCTTTCCTCTGCAAAGTTCAAGAACTGTCACATTCACCGTCCAACTTACTAAACTTGAAAGTGGGTCACTCAGGCCATAGCTCAAAAAGTAGACCAAAGTACAGACATATATATTGTGAAAGGGGGGTGATGGGGTTGGGGAAAGAATATTATATCTGGAACTTGGAGCCAGACAAAATTTGGTCAGAGAAACCAGATTCCTGCTGTTGAATACCAACTCTGTACACCTGTTGACTTGCCTTGGTGTTAAATAATGGAACACGTTAGTTTATGGCTCTGTAGGCATGGCAAACATGATGGCTAGATGAACATAACTTATGAGCTGAGAGACAATGCATGATTTTGATCAGCCAGAGCGGTTGGATGATAAACTGTCACTAATTGAGGGTTGGAAAAAGTGCTAAAGGTTGTAAAATGTCACCTGAAAAAAAAATAACATGTTATTTCGTTGGACTTTGTGGCCTAGCGGTAGAGTGCTAGACTGCTAACCCAAAAGTCTCAAGTTTGAATCCAGGTTCAAGTCAGTAGAACGTCTCTGAGTCCACCCAGCTCTGATGGGTACCTAACTCATAATAGGCAAAGTAATGGCAGCTGGACATAGCGCTGACCACACTATCCCTTCATAGAAACAGGTGAACTCTACTTTACTTGTCCCATGGACTATTAGGTTAAAAATGGAATTCTACTATTTTTTTTGTTTTTACATATTACTTCAGTGGTGTAGATAACAGAGGTTAGGTGATGACCGGTTCATTAAGGGGTTAATGGATTGGTCAAGGTGGGAGAACATGGTCAAGGTTTAATGGATGAAACAAAAACAACACTGGCTTTAAAAGTACACTAGGAGGTGATGTAAAATGTGGAAGGGTTTAAGATGCCAAGAAGGCTAGAACTGAGATTTTTTTTTTTTACTACCTTGGCATGACACAGAAAAAAAAAAAGCAAAAAAAAATTTGCATAGCATTGCCAGAAAAAGTTACAGTGGAAAAAAAAGTATACCATCATTAATGTGTGGATATATACAAGGTAGTAATGTAAGAATTGTTTAAGAGAATACTTCCTGAGTGTGAACAGAAGTGTAAAGGCAATGCTCATATTTTAGTGATGAAGCAGATAATTTCCCCTACACTAGAGTGTTAATTTTAGCTGTAGAAATGAAATTCCTGTGTTTCCATGGTAGCAGTTTTGATCTCTGCTACACTTGCACAACACATGCACAGTGAGGGTGTGTTCTACAACAAATGTCTACCAATGCTGCGATAGAGGACAGTATATCATTTCTGTGCAGAGAATAACTTCAGGCAACAGCTTCCGCTAATAAGATTATTTCAGCACATAAAATACACAAGCACTGCTCCCTGCAGCTGCAACAACTCTCTTCCCTGCCAACATCTATGTTTCTCTCTTGCTTCCTACATCATCCTGCTTTCAACCATGTTATTCTCACATTACACCTGACTCTTAACTTACACTCTATGTCTTAAAATATTCTTTGTTCATCATTATTTGTCCCCTGTCTCATTACTGTAAGTTGGTTGATGCGTGTTGACTTAACCATGTCTAAACATTTAGACTTACACCATGACATACAGAGCTTTCAGTGATTGTGTCCAATATATCTAGGTGTATACACAAACTAATAGTTATTTTTTTATTACTTTAAACTCATCTTGTAACTTTCTCTACCTCTAGTGCAGAAATTTTACCGTAAACACTATAACACCCCCATTTTATGCATAAATGTTGCACCATGCTCCTGAACATATTGTGTTGCAAATTTACCAGCATAATTGTTTTGTTTCAGAATAGAAATGTGGTTGTATTTTATGGCTCACAAACTGGAACAGCTGAAGAGTTTGCCACTCGTTTAGCTAAAGATGCCTCAAGATATGGGATGAAAGGGATGGTGGCAGATCCTGAAGAATGTGAAATGGTAACATCTATACACAATTTTTTTAATGCAGTTTAAAATATTTGGTTGTATATTTATAAAATATATATTTAATAATGCATATTTTCTAAAATAATCATACACAAATCTTTTTTCCTATTATTAATTAGACCTAATTTATTTAATTGTGGTAAAACATTCATGTTTTTAGGAGGACCTTTCAAAACTAGCCGAGATAGAAAACAGTTTGGCCATTTTTTGTATGGCAACATATGGTGAGGGAGATCCAACAGATAATGCACAGGAATTTCATGAATATCTGGCCAATGGTGGAGAAAGCCTGGCTGGTATAAGATTTGCTGTAAGTAAACAACAGTGATAGCAATTTTTGTAAAATTGATCCTTTCACAGTTTTTGCTGTTAATATACTGGTATTATTTATTATCAATACTCACACCGAAGTCTTATAATTATAGTTTTTTTGAGTGTCATGTATCTGTTTAATCAGTTACAGGTTCTCAAATCTGTAAAAAATTTATTAGGTAAAGTTTTTGTTTTGGTTGACAATTTTGGAAGACAATTAAACTTATATGTTGATAATAATTTATGGGCAAAATTATTATTCCTTTAGGGGATAGCTAATGTAACCTGTGCATTTGTAATTCATTTTGAATATTTCTTATCCCGGTGTTTAGTTTATGCAATAAAATCTAAATGTTTATATCAATTATATGTCTCTGTAATGTAGCCTGTTTATTTACAATTAAATTATGAGTCAACATTTTTGTACACAGGTGTTTTGTTTATTCAATAAAACCAGTATGTTTATATCAATTATAATTTAGCCTAGGTAATGTACCTGTTTATTTACATTTAAATTATGAGTCAACATTTTTGTACCCAGGTGTTTGGTCTAGGCAATAAAACCTATGAGCACTACAACTCAATGGGTAAATTTGTGGACAAACGTCTGGAAGAGCTTGGAGCAGAAAGAGTTTTTGAGTTGGGCCTGGGGGATGATGATGCCAAGTTAGTACTATAAATACTTTTTTTTTTGGTGTGCACTTAGGTAAAAAGTCTTTTTGCATTTTAGCTTGGATAGAAAATATCAGTTTAAAAACAAATACGGAATGATTTTGCAAGACGTTTACACACAATGTAATTAAATTGTTTCATTTCTCTCACTCTATTGAAGCAGACTTTTAAAATAATCTTTTCCATCACTTTCTCTTAGTAGTAATAACCTCAAACTATATAAAATTTTTCTCTCTCCCTCTTGTTAGTATTGAAGAAGACTTTGTTACCTGGAAGGAAAAGTTCTGGCCAGCTGTGTGCTCTTACTTTGGTGTGGAGGCAACAGGTGAAAATGTAAAGTAAGTCAAACTGTGCAACAAAAGCTCTAGTTAAATTAAAGTTCATGTGCATCTTATTTAATAGGTATACACATTTTAATTGTTTTATTTTTAATTTTTAAAGTGTTGTTTCAATCACATTGTGATTTTTTCTTGCTATATTTGATAATTGTTTTAATTGCATTATTGTCTATTTTAAAATTCTTCTACATAAGATTTACAGCAATATTAAATCAATTTTCATATTTTTTGTTATTACATTTCTATTCTTACCTTTTGTTTTAGAAAGGTTGTTATGATTTTTTTACTTCCATGTTCAATTAATTTTTCATATTTTGTGATGTTTTTTTATCTTTTTTTAAAGAAAGGTTTCAATTTATATTTCAGTACAAGGCAATATGCTCTAACTCCTGTCCCAGAAGATCTCCCCAAAGAAAAAATATTTACCGGAGAGCCAGCTAGAGTTGGCTCATTCACTAATCAGAAGCCGTAAGTTGTTTTCATTATAAAGGTTAGCTCAACAGCTTAGCTTCTCTTTTGATGCAATGTTTAAACTGAGTTCTTAACTGGTCAGGTGACTTTTTTTTTCTTGTCACTTTTTGGTAAACATTTTAAAAAAAATGAATGCAGCAAGACCTAAAAAAAAAGTGATTCTCACACAAAAAATATTTTTTCAGTTTTTATTGTAAAAGTATTGTTATAATTTTGTGAATGAAATTTTAACTTGTTGCTATAAACATGTTTCATTTGTACCAGTTTATTTTAAAATCTATATTAATATTTGTTTTATTAATTAAAAAAAATGATCTAATCACGTGACTTGTTATTTTACAGTCCCTACGATGTGAAAAACCCTTACCTTGCTCCTATCACAGTTAACAGACAGCTTCATAAAGGGGGTGATAGGTCTTGTATGCATATTGAACTTGATATTTCTGAGTCTAAAATAAGGTAATTTATAAAAACATACTATATTGCACAATTCTGTATACAATTAATTGAAACATTAGATAAATGTCTTGACAAAACTTAATGAGTCACTCAAATTTCCACAGATATGAAACTGGTGATCATGTGGCAATCTATCCAGTGAATGACTCCGAACTTGTGGAGAAACTTGGCAAGCGATTGGGTGTGGACTTGGATACTGTTTTCTCCCTTACAAATATTGATGGTAAGATTCTCGTCCGTTAAAAAATTTCTGATCTCTAAAGTTCTCTGAATATTACTTGAGCAATGTTATAGATACTTAAACACAGGCTATAAACAGTACACACTTGGTGTAAATGTAACGCTACCCTTTTGGACCTAGTGGTCAATGGAGCAGATGAAGTACAGTTCAACTGTTTCTTTGACCATCGCAAATGAATAGGTAGTGTGGTCAGCACTATGCCCAGCAGTCTTTACGTTCCCTAATGTGAGTCAGGTGTTGAGCAGAGCTGGGTGGACTCTGGGACGTCATATTAACTTGAGCCAGAGAACAGACATTCAGGTTAGCTGTGGTGCGCTCTACCATCTCATACAGTTATGATTCCACCACACTGAAAGTTATGCTGGGTTAAGTACTAGACATGATATACATTTACTTGGGTATAATCTAAAGAAGAAAATTCTGATAATTAAAATGGATTTATAACTTGTAACTAATATACAGGATATAAATTAACTTGGAGTATAACCTAATGAAGACAATTCTGGTAATTAAAATGGTTTTCTAATTTGTAACAAATTATTCTTTTAACCATAATATGGACTAAGTGGCATGAGAAACTTAGCCTGTTTACACTGTTGCTCCCATTGTCAGTATCTAGAGGTGGCAGCACTGTGTACTGGGGTGGGTTTTTTTTTGTTTTTGCCAACACTTCAGGAATGTGCCAACTAAAGTGGTATCTCAGCTCTGGTAAAAGTCGTATAAAAAAATCAGATCTGGCTGGTCCATAGAGCAAAGCTTGTGTGCTTCTTAGACCTTTAACAGTTAGAGGATTGTGTGGTCAGGAATATGCCCAGCAGCCTTTGCTTACTTGACTCCACACTTCAGAACTTGGTGGACTCTTGGATGTACAATAGGCTTGAGTCAGGGATCTGAACTTCCATATTAGTAGTCTTGTTCTACAACGCAGTTCTTACTTCTAGTTAGTATGCGTCAACTACAAAAAACTGCACTCTCATAACGAAACAACTTTTAATAATTGATAACTGATTATTTGTAATCAAGCACAGAATGGAATTTTATATTTCTATTCAGAATCTAATATTGAAACTGCAAGATATTTTCTAATTGAAATGTTTTTTGAAATATTCCTCCAAATTTTACCATTTGCTTTGGTAGTTATTAATCCTAAACTTTTTGTTACACTAATTAAATATTAAACATTGTAGAAACTAATATCTCTATTTTTGTTTATTTCAGAGGATGCCAGTAAAAAACATCCATTCCCTTGCCCATGCTCATACAGAACTGCACTGATGCACTACATAGACATCACAAACCCTCCACGTACTCATGTTTTGGGAGAACTTGCTGAGTACACGGATGACCAAAAAGATAAAGAATTTTTACAGAAGATGACACATGCCACTGAAGAGGGAAAAGTAAGTAACTTGTACAGAATGTAACGGACACCTATCTACCAGCCAGATAGATGGTGAACGCCCCCGGATTCTTTTTTGGGGTTATATGCAAATGACCTAAAGCCTAAATGAATGAACACTAACTCAACAACACACTAGGGCTCGATTTCGATGTCTAGGGAAAACTAGTGAAACTATTGAAGTTAACAACTCATTCAATCTGCATACAACCTTTAATAAGCGAACACAGTTGTGGCAGAACACTAGGTTAAACGAGATAAAATATTTAATTTAGAAAATGACAAAACCCAACTTACAAAGCGTAAGAAAAAATACTATCACAGATTCTAACACTGTATAAAAATAGCCACAGGTCACATAACACTGCTATAGCATCTAGAATCACTTGGCGACAAGTAATATAATACTAGAATACTAAAACAACTTAAGAATGCATAGCACACTCAGGACTTAAGTTCTCTCACGTTCAAATGGTCAGAATGAATTGCCGGACAAAATGGACGGCCGGGTCAAGATGGACTGCTTGATCAAGGTGGACTGCCTCGTGTCGCCTGTGGGCGATCTAGTTAAAGACTTAGGCGACAGGGGAGATTAGCCTCAACTCATGTGGCCATTGGTTGGGGTGGTCATCTGATCTGAATCAATCAATCAGATCTTGATGGAAAATTTCTACGTCTTAGACACTCTTAGTAAGACAGTGGAAAAAACCCGGTTGTTACACCATCAATCCATATATGGTATTAACACAATGTCAAACTAAAAATAAAACATGATTAGACCTAAGTAGGTCACAAGAAGATGGCAGTTCATGCTGATTTCATCAATCACCCAGTGTTAACATTTTGTCTGTTGTTTTGTCCAGAAACTGTACCAAATATAATCACCCTGCGTTAATGATTTTAATGTGTACCAAAACTGTATCAAATACAATCAACCTGTGCTAATGGTTTTATTGTGTACAGAAACTGTATCAAATACTATCACCATGTGTTAATGATTTTATTGTGTACAGAAACTGTATCAAATACTATCACCCTGCGTTAATGATTTTATTGTGTACAGAAACTACCAGATACAGTCACCCAGGCGTTAATGATTTTATTGTGTACAGAGACTGTACAAATAACAATCACCCTGCATTAGTGATTTGTTTATTATCGTGTACTGAAACTATCAAATACAATCACCCTGTGCTAATGATTTTTTATCGTGTACAGAAACTGTACCAGGACTGGATACATAATGACCATCGCAATATCCTGGCTGTGCTGGAAGACATCCCCTCCCTTAGACCACCTATTGACCACATATGTGAGTTGTTGCCTAGGCTACAGCCCAGGTTCTACTCCATCTCTTCTTCACCTAAGGTAAGAAGAAACTTAACATTATCACTACTTTTTTTTTTAAGAAAATTATTTTCCTATCCCCTAGGTTAAGCATTTGAACTGTAGACTATTAAACTTTTTCTTGTCGATAAATTTAACTTTAAAAGCAAGTTGGCATTAAGTAAACTTTGATAGATGTATTATAGGAATTTACAAATTTTTTATATTTTTCTTGCCAGTGAGATGGTTTAATATTAAAATTTAAACAAATTTTAAATAACAACAATGTTATGTAGGTTGTTGTTTCTGACATTAAAACTAATTTTCTTTACTCAATTTAATTCAACAAAATTCTGATCTGCTTTGCTTACAACAGGTTCACCCTAAGAGCATACACATCACAGCTGTCCTTATAGAGTACACCACACCAACATCCCGCGTTTCCAAGGGAGTGTGTACGTCCTGGCTGGCCTCTAAGAAACCCTCTGGTGATGCTGTACTCAGGGTACCAATTTATGTGCGCAAGTCTCAGTTCCGCTTGCCATTCAAACCTGCTACACCAGTGGTCATGATTGGGCCTGGAACTGGACTGGCACCTTTCAGAGGTTTCATCCAGGAAAGAGACTACTTCCACGAAGAAGGTAGAGTTGATGTTCTTAAAAAGTTGCATTGTTGACTTGGCACTAATTAGATGCGATCTAAGCATTGGCCCTGGAAAAACCCACCACATAATATTATGGGGGGGGGGGGGTGTTAAATGAATTTGTGACCACTGTACAGTTTAACAGTTCTGTGGATGTGTTCAGTCCCCCAATATTCCATTGAATATGACGAAGGTTAATTATATCATGGCAAAGTATATAGCTATAGAGTTAAAGCTACACCTGCCATACAGAAGAAAACAAAATCTTCTAAGAACTAACCAAAAGTTCTTTTTAGAAAGATACCTATCTTTAAAATTTATCTCCATTGAAGCGTAGATTTATGCTTTACTGCATCCGATTCCTAATACATACTCATTAATTATAAATAAAGCCCCCATTTTTTACCATAGGGAAACCAGTTGGAGATACCATTCTCTACTTTGGATGCCGCAACAAGGCAACAGACTTCATCTACGAAGAGGAGCTGATGAAATATGTTGATAAAAAAGTGCTGAAACTGCACACTGCCTTTTCCCGTGATCAGCCACAGAAAATTTATGTTCAACATTTAATTGATCAAAACCATGATGAAATTTGGAATGTGCTCAATAACAATGGACACATCTATATTTGTGGGTAAGTAGCTTGTTCACACTATTTGCGGCTTCAAGTTAAAAATCAAGCATTTCCTAAACACAAATAACTAAAATTGCTTGTGGTTTTTATTCTTCGGGCTGGATTTCCTCTAACATAATCAAGTATTATGTCTCAACCTGTTATGCGGCAAATAGGCAGTTGACTCTGCTTTTCTTTTGGGATTTGCTTCTATAGCCTTTATCTATCCAAGAACAAATATACAAGGCAGCAGTTGTTTGATTTTGGAGTTAACTCTCCAAGATGGCATGCTGTCCTCAGCTATTGAGCTTCATCTCCTCGGGGTTTGAACTCTGGACTTTACTGACCATGAGCTTTACCGCACGCTGACCCCTTGATTTTTATTTATACACTGGTGTTACTTTAAGCCTAGCACCTTGGATAATAATAAAATGCTAGTTGCCTTTTATTATAGTAAAAATTTTGTTTTACAATAATGCTCTTTTTAATATTGACGCTTGTAGTTTTTTTTCTAGGAAAATTGCATGTACTCATGTTAATTTTATACCATTTGTTTTTCATAGGGATGCAAAAAATATGGCAAGAGATGTTCATGCTATGCTTGTGAAAATTTTAACTACAAAAGGTGATATGAGTACCGCAGATGCAGAAGATTATATTAAAAAGCTACAATCTAAGGGACGCTACTCAGCTGATGTATGGAGTTAAGGATTATCCAGTTTTAAAATGAAGCCTGAAATGAAATATGTGAATAGTTACTTTAACCTATTTAATTTTAAAAATCATTCTGTTGTCTGTAATGCATTTTTTTTAAATTGTGGAATTTTTAACTTGTATTGTTTTTATTACTATTAGAAGGAATTTCAAATTAATGTATATTTTTCTATATAAACCAAGAAAGTCATAATATTAGGAATTTTATGAGGAAGAGCCTCAATCAATCTTTGGGCATTTTTAAGGACAGTTGTGTAAATGAGAGTATTGTATTTAAATGCTGCTTGAAGTCAACTTTATTTTAACACATTCTATAAGTTATAAGTGTGATGTTTTTTTTAGTACATTACCACTCTTAAAATCTTATTACAATGACATTAATTTTCATCCAGTAGCCTTGAAGGTGTTGTTGCCTATGGCATCAAATTATGAAATCAAAACTGTCATTTACAAAGTTGGGACAAATGTTATTAAAGACTGCAATGAATATGTGATTACTGATTTAGCCTTAGAATTACTTTCAATATTTTAATATTCTTATTATGATAATATAAATACTTTGATTAATTTATTTAAAGCTGAAAAGCATTGAATTTTTTTGAGATCAGCATCTGAAAGAAGAAATTTCTGGAAACTATCTTTTTATGACCAGATGCTTAGAGATTCAAAAGGTAATATTAATCTGAAGTACTCAGATCACTAATTAGACCATTTCCTTTGTGGCCTTAAATTCCTATCCTGTTCATTTATTATTAAGATAACACAAACCACTTCAGTTCAACTGTAGCCTTTGTAATTTCTTCACATGACTCTACATTGTATGTCGATACAAAATAAAAGCTCATTCTCATATATATATACAGTTAATTTTAGTTATACTATGTTGTATTAGTTTCTATTTCAACCTGTATTTGCCTCGCCACATCTTCATTTGTTTTTGGTCAATACCTACATATATTTTTATTTACATATGATTAAACTGTAATAAGACATCGGCTATGATAGGTCTTTTATGTTGAAAAGTGTCATAGCTAATAGAATCGATGTAAAATATTATAGTTTAAAATTATTTTACATTACTAATGGACCCAGAAATATTATCTGCAGACTGTTTTTAAAGAAATAAAATGTGTAGTATAAACATGGTTATTGTTTATTTCAATTCACCACATTGATAACTATTGATTTTATTCTGTCAGCTTAAAATTTTTTTTTTGTGTCAAACATTCTAAAAGAAATACATCTCAATTTAAAATAAACTAGTACCTGTCTTAACTCATAGCTATAATCACAGCATAATATTAGATATTAAAAAACAGAAGAATGGGTCTGAGGTACAGCTCATTTATTTGTAAATGTCTTTTTTTGTGTGTTTGTTTACAATTCAATCAAATAAATATCTAAGTTGCAATTCTATCAATACTCAAAAGAAAAGTCCAAATAATTTGAATCAAAATAGTGTACTCGAACATAACCATCTTCACCTCCACTACTGTAGCTGTAAGAGAAACAAAACAGGTTGGGACTATACAGCTTAATAACAGACAATGCTATAAATTCAATAATCATAAAATAAACCATTTTACAGTTAAGGCGGTAATGTTAACATAAACCTATATGTAAGCAATGGCAAATAAAACCCAATTTACCAAGCAAATCTATAATCAACGCAAGGTTTTACCTTTTGCCATCTGGATGAAATGCAACACTGTTGATGGGCCCAAAGTGACCCTTGACCCTACCAAACTCTTCCTCAAACACAAGATGGAAGAAACGAGCATCAAACTTGCCAACCCTAGTGCTTGTGGTAGTGACCTGCATGGCCTCTTGACCACCACCCACCACAACCTGCGGCATATGAGAGAAATTTTATAAAACACAAAGATCAACGTAAAAATATTCAGAATAAATCAGACTAAAAGCCAATGATCAACAATTTAGAAGCAACTAGTATTATTTTGTAAATAGTTAAAAATGTATTTTAAAAAAACTGACCACAGAAAACCTTTTAGTATTTAAGGACTTACATGATCATGGAGTGGGGAGATAGCAGCAGAATTGACAGGTCTCTCTGTTTTGTAGATTTTCTTTGGCTCAAGAGTGTCCATATCAAACAGCTGTTGAAAATTTTTTTTTTCAGAAGATTTAAAAGTTTAAAAAAAAAAACCCAAAAAAAACAAACAACCTGTTAAGTGACATTAATAAACATGATGGCTTTTAAAAGTGCAGCTATTTCAGTTTTATATACATTTGTATTTGTTCAGTTTTGAAATAAATTTATGGAATGGAATGTTGTGGCCATGACTCAAATTACTCAGGGAAAATATAGGCAGCTGGACATAGCACTGACAACACTATCCTTTTAGATTCAATGGTCACAGAAACAGATGAACTTAACACTTCATCTTCCCTATAGAACATTATGTCTAAATCAAATTTTCATCTCTTCATATACTAAAATTGGAAGATGAAGCCAAAAGTGTTGTGTACATTCTGTAGCTTAAACGTGACGTCATTGCTTTTAGCGGTTCTTGTCACAATAAACACTTTTCCAGTTGCATAATTAAAATTGTGTTTCTACAATCGAATATGCCTTTATTATTATTTTCCTTCTTTAAATACATAGTTTATATATTTTATAATTTAAAACATCAAACATATTTTCAACAAATGTTCGTATCTTTAAGTTCTCCGTATAAAGCTGAACATACTGATCACATGGCCTCAAAAATGTCAGCGTCTGAAATCATTATTTGCCATTGTGCAATAGAGTAAAACACTAATCTGTCAGGGTTATAATCTTCCCACCCATAAGGACTTGGACACTATACACGAACATTGAAATTTTTAATTAAATTTAATATATTTTAAAAATATATTCAATTACATTCAAAGCAAATGACACAACACCTGTGCTAGTCCAAACAAGAATAAAAAAAAAAAAACTAACCCTGGCTGTATTATCTTTAGAGGCGGTAATAAACATACTGTAGTCTTTGTATGGCTGTATATCATTAATTTGCTTTGTGTGGTCCAAGCAGCCTTTCAATTTATGTCCAGTCTGTAGACAAATATAAAAGTATTTGACACTTCATTAACAAGAGTGTTTTAAAGAGCATACAGGGAAATAATTAGGTAGCATTCAATTCTTCACTATTTATTAAACTTGAGCCAAGAAAACACAGCGAGAGGACAATACCTTAAAATCATACTGATTGATCTCTCCGTTCTCATGTCCAGTTAGTATAAAATCCTCATAAGGTCCCCAGATAGCGGAAGTAATTTTTTTGGTATTCCCTTCTATAGGGATTGTCTTTAAAGGGGTGCCACTTTCTATAAAAAGAAACAAATTATTGTTTCAAACACATTTAAGAAAGAAACAAAAGATTTACTGAACATGTATGCTAAGTAATAAACCACAATTTAGCAAAACTTAAACAAAATGCATCCAAAAATTTTGTTAGGGTATTAATCTGTTTCCTTAGCTATGTCTGTATACTGTAGACATATCATTGCAAGGTAAATAATTAGGTCTTAAGCTCCACAGTTGATTAACCAAATCATGTGTATTATTAATTACTAAAACCCATGAAATTATTATTTACAGATCTGCTTTCAGAGCCTTGAAAAACAGTTTAAACTCCAACTACAAAATATATCCACATCTAATCATCTCTATTGACCTACCCATTTGAGATCCATCTCTCAAATCATAAATGTGTATCTCACAAGGACAGCCCATAGTCTTGTCTGTAGTAAACATGATCAGGTTCCCACTGTAAGAAAATCCATTTGTTCTGACTGCTGTTCTTGTTTCCAGGGAGTTCAACTGTGTGCCTGTTACAATATGGCAAGTTTAGTGCAGAAACTCAAAAATGATGATTTTTTTTGTTTAAAAAATGATACGTAAATAAACAGTTCCCCAAAAAAAAATGTGCAATCAGAAAACTGTGCAACTACAAACTAAGGCATTTGAATCTTTTACTTATAATATTAATTTTTTAATCTGTTTAAGATGACCTTTCACACCTAGCTTATTTCTAAACAGCAAGATTAGTAAATCAAATGGTTAAAGCAATTGAAAAGTAAATGAGCAAATTTAAACTCACTAGTTACTGGTAACATTACATACATTGCTGATGAAAGCTATATTTAACTATTAACATCAAACAAAACCTACCAGTTTGACAGTCCCAGATTTTACAAGTGTTGTCTGCAGCACCTGTCAGTACTTTACATGAATCCCCTGTTTATTAGTTAAGGTAAATACAACAAAATGAGAATTCAAACACCTTCGCCCCTGTTCTAGCTTTTGTAGTCATATTGTAAAAAAAAACAACACACCAAGTGATTGAAAGATGAATGAATAAAATTATAAAATTGAGGTATTCCTCTGAGAAGCAGAGAGTTACTCCAGTCATCTGATTAAGACAACACTAACCATAAACTACAATATTACTCAAATACTAGCCTAAACTACCTTCAACTTATTGAATATTGCGTAACAAAAAAAAAACAACTAAAAATGAATACATGCTAAAACTCATTTAGATATACTTAGAAAAACACAAGACCTGGTGTATTAGCTTAAGAGGCATGATTAGCATGAAATAAAACAAGTCATAAAAGGAAATACACTAAAAATAAAATGAAACTGCAAAGAGGAAGGATACAGCTACAATCAATGCACCAAACAGCACCATTATGGCCCACAAATGTGCCTAATCTTTCTCCATTGAGAGAGTACCATACATTAGGTTGGGGATCTTTTGCACTGGAAAAAATGAGATCTCCTTCTCTGTTGTACTTGATCTGTGTAATGGACCTTTCATGGCCATGGAGCATAATAGGTTTCTAAACAAAGAAAAAGTAGATCATTAAAGAATTGACATCATACATCTGATATTCATGGCAGCAAAAACAATATATTTGAAATAAGAAACTAATTTAAATTTAATGTAGACTTAATACTCTACATCTTTATGTTAGATAGTCTTGGATTAAACTACAACTAAAGTAAAGTGTTGTATTCCTTTAATACCCAGCTTTTAATTTTAGTCTCAAGCTAATTCTTCCGTAAATCCTTAATATTATAGCCACAGCTCTGGTGCTTAGATGCCACCTTCCTACCCCCATATCACAGTGAACAGCTGATGACGTCTATTTTTTCTATCCATATATTAATGCTTTACTCCCCCCTCCCATTTAATTCTGGAATGAAAAAAAAACACACAAAGATCTAGGGCTGATTCTTTTGCCAGCTAAACTACTTTCAACACTTAGCTACACAAAAGTGGTTATTTTTTAATTGCAAAACAATGTAAAATATATTACATGTTTGTAGTGTAACACTACCTCAGTGGGGATAGCATGTGCTGATCAGCCACTGAAGTTTAGCGGTTTAAGGGACTGACCCTGAAAGACAACACACACATGTTGCAGGACAAACAAGCTTGCAGAAATTAGAAGCATGTGAATTTTTTTTATGGACAAAGGAGGAATTTAGCATTATGTGAACATCACCATGTTTAATTTAACAACAATATAAGTTATCCAAATAAATGTATTTAGGCTAATTTTATTTGAGACACAAGACATCTCAATACAGCAGTACTTGTGTCAATTCCGAAACTCCCAATTCAATACCAGTAGACGCTTAAACATAAAATTATCATTAAAATTAAAAAAAAAAAAAACCCCCACGTTTTCTGTTGAACTAAAAAGTAGAAAATAAATGCTATACATCACAATAATGCAAGCGATCACTCTACTATAAGCGATTGCAAACTGCATGCGCATTATGACAAAAAATGAAAAACGTGGGGCGCCGAAGTAAAAGTTTTTATATCGGTCATTGTTAATATAAGATGTAAAAGTTATACTACTATTGATTAGATAATACTATTGAGTTTTATTAGGGAGCTTGTAGAGAGTCAACAGTATTAGAAACTGTTAGAAAATCACGACGCCCCATGTGTTTCATTCAGTCTGTTTAATTGAACACCAACATAAGTAATCAAATTAAACGCTGCATAAGTGTCAAAACTGCAGTGCTTGTTTTTTCTTCTTTTCTATAAAATTAGCCAAACAGTTGGCGGTACCGTTACATGACGTCACGCGCGAGCGTTAACTCAGTGCTAAGTGGAGGAATGAAAAGGTGGGGTTCAAGAAATGCGACTCAGCATGCTTTTTTACATTTCTTGACCCTTCTAAATAATTCGTCCCCACTGAGTAAATGGATCACCAATGAATTATGCGTCATACTTCTACAGCTGGTCTTTCTCCCACAACCATCCCGTTTTCAAGAAAAAAACCCCTGACCCGTCTCAAAATCACATCGCTGAGTTATACTCAACCTCTCCCCACCACAAATCACAATTTCTATCTGAAACAATATGCTCATATGTTTGTTCTGTAATAATGTATGCTGTCATTACTATCTTCAGAGCGACGTCATTTATGGGCGATCTAGATCTAATATTGATTTGATTACTGCAAAAAAAAAAGTGTTCAAAAGTTCGATCTCCCAACAATTATTGTGGTCTTGGATGCACACTATTAAATCTGAAAAGGTCTATTAGTCATTCATGTCAACTAGATTCTATATTGAAAAAAAAAAAAGAAAAATTACTAGGGTAAAGGAGGGCGTTAAGAGCCGTGTGGTATTAAGCCCCAATCAACACCCCACCCCCACAAAACCCCCAATAACACTGCTAATCTACTTCTGAGGTAACAACCACTGCTGTTCTTTGATAACAGAGAAGCAGAGGATTCATTTTATGTAATTTATAACCCACTTGGTCCAATAGGGAGAGAATGAGACAGGATTTAATCCCACTGCTCTTTCCCTAAAATTTCTCATCTCCATAAAACCATTTTGTGAACTTTTTTTCCAAATAGACATAACTTGGGAAACTTGACTTTGTAATAAACCAAATGAGTTTTTCAAGCCCATTCTTTGTTCCTGTATTAGAGCATTGGTTGTTGTACATTTTAACACTATTTTTATAGCTATGGCTAGAATAGTTTTATTTTGGTGAATTTATTTTGCACAGTGATTATTGGAGCCAAAACAAAATGGCCGACATTTGTCCCATTTTATCATGCTATAAAGTTTTTATCACTATCAGAGTAAAACTTGACTGATCATTACCATAATGGTTTTATTTGTTAGATAATAACTAAATCTACATGAATACATTAATTTTTTTCACTAGCTTGCATGTTTAGAAAAGTTATAACAGATACTGTTAAGTGGCTCTTGAAACCCTATGTGCAAGTTTCTCATTTCTTAGACCACTGAATATGACACTGGTATAGGACTTGTTAACACAAAATGTATTAATTGTTAAACAGACTTGTGTCTAAATGATAGAACTACAATTCTAACCTGCTAAAAAGTAAAAATTCAGCCATTTGATGTTAGCAAGGTAATTTTTAAAATGGTACTTGTACTTATTACCCCTAAGGGGCAATACAGCCGACTCAGTCCCCACCTGTTTCTAACCAACCATAAAACTTCTCATCTCTTTGTAGGTAACAGGAATAAATGTTCTTAGGTCTCAGCCAATCTGGGGTGGTATGTTATGTAATTTATGACCCTCATGGTCCAGCAGGGAAGTAAGCAGACACATTAATACCGCTGCTCCCCCCCCCCCCCCCCTTACAATTTCTTACCCCCATGATACCCAGCCCCCACCAGTTTCTGGCCCACCATAAAACTTCATCTCTTTGTAGGTAACATGGATTACAGTTACAGATCTCAGACAATCTGGGGTGGCATGTTATGTAATATATGACCTTCATGGTCTAGCAGGGTGGAGACCAAAGAGGAATGAGTACCACTGCTCTCCCCTCACAATTTCTCACCTCCATGATAGCCAGACCCCACCTGTATCAAACCCACCATAAAACTTCATCTCTTTGTAGGTAACATGGATTACAGTTACAGATCTCAGACAATCTGGGGTGGCATGTTATGTAATATATGACCTTCATGGTCTAGCAGGGTGGAGACCAAAGAGGAATGAGTACCACTGCTCTCCCCTCACAATTTCTCACCTCCATGATAGCCAGACCCCACCTGTATCAAACCCACCATAAAACTTCATCTCTTTGTAGGTAACATGGACTAAGTTCTTAGATCTCAGCCAACCAGAGATAGCATATCCTTACGTAATGTATGGCCCTCAGGGTCCAGCAAGGAGAAAAAAGGGGAAACCAGTACCACTGCTCTCCCCTCACAATTTCTCACCCCCATGATACCCAGCCCCCACCTGTATCTAACCCACCATAAAACTTATCTCTTTGTAGGTAGCATGGACTTAGTTCTTAGATCTCAGCCAACCAGAGATAGCATCTCCTTATGTAATTTATGGCCCTCAGGGTCCAGCAAGGAGAACAAAGGGGAAACCAGTACCACTGCTCTCCCCTCAACATTTCTCACCTCCATGTCATGTTATGTAATGTATAGCACACATGGCTTATCAGGGGAAAGCATTAAGGCAGATTAGTTAGTACCACCCCTTTTTACATACAAGAATGTTAACTCTGGACAGCTACACACTAGTATACTAGCTACACACTAGGCATACTAATGTGCCTACTGTAAACTACTAGACTTTAGGCCCTATGTACACCTGCAATTGTATCAATTGTAGACTGGGCCCATTGGGGCCTAGTGATAGCTAGTATCAGTTAAAGTGTGTGTACACAGCATTAACTATTTTGGGGTTAAAAATTAATTATTTTTATTGCGGAGTTAGTCTAAACTAGGAGATAATACTTATTGCCCCACTGCCCGGCTCCTTTCACCCCAAATGCTGATTTTGGGGGTATGACAATAAATGTTCAATTAAACCCATTTAAAGTATATTTAATAGACTTTGTTATTATTTTTATATTGTGTAAGATATGTTAGAATAATTTTGCCATATTTTCAATACTAAAAAATTCTTAGATTAGTAGAAATCTTTAAAAATGTACAGGTGCTAAAAAGTGTGGCTCTTAACGCCCTCCTTTACCCTATACAGGCATATATTAAAACAATACAAAACAACCATATTAAACCACAAAATCAACACAACAGACATGCGAATAGACAATTTTTCAAGGGAAACTACTCTATTGTTGTTTTTGAAACATGGCAGCTGCTTTTATTTACTCATTGTTGTCTCGAACGGGGTAGTTTAAAGTTTATTCCAGGATATTTTGACTGGTTTAGTCATGGATTGTGATTTGTTATTCAATTATCTGTTATATTATGTAAAATATGTCATAAATATGGCCAAATGAAAGAAATATTCATTAGTTAATTTAATAGTTACCTCCATCGCACATTACAAGCTACGTTGGAATTTATGATGCTAAACTAAGGTTTTACCCCATGTGAAAACCAAATTGCTTTTTAAAAAAATTGTGGACGATATTTAGAGTTGCCCTTAGAATCTCGGTTAGAACCTCTCTCCCTCCCCCCCCCCCCCCCAGCCTAAACCAAACACAGAACTGAGAACTGTCAGGATTTTTTAAGCACAGGGTCTCTAGAATCTAATTTTAATTACACCGTAAATGATGTTTAAAGTATATAATTAGTCTCTCAATACCCTTGAGACTATTCTCGCTTGGTGACATAGATTCTTCTTGGTCTAGATCTAATCTAGACTAGACTAGATCTAGATCTAATTCTAAAATTTCGAATCTACGATTTGAGTTTGAGTCTCATTTTAAAGATTTTGGCTAGGACTAGACTAGAGAGATCGAATAAGTAAAAATATTTTATAACTAGTCTAGACCTTTAGATTCTCTAGATCTAGATGAGTAACAACATTTAAAAATATACAATTACCATGGTTGTATATTAGATAATCCAATATGTGAATGTAAAACAACAACTGCCGTATGGATGTTATTTCTAGTGGCAAGCGTGTTGCACACAAATCTATCAACCATTAACCGGAAGCACTTATTCAAGGGAAGTGACTGAATTTTAAAGTAAACAATGTAACAAAAAAGGGAAATAATAAAATATTTAATCTTAGGGCCTACAAGGAAATTATCGTTGTGAATGACATGTCGTGAGAATGAAGAAAATATCAGTGAATGATGATTTGTACCATTTTCCCATAGTTACACATAGGCCTAGTCGCAAAGAGTCACATTAACCCCTTCAATAATTTTGCGTTTAGCTCAGACGCGTAGCGGAAGGGGGGGGGGGGGGGGTTGGGGGGGGGGTGCGGACCGCACCGGGCGACACCATTTAGGGGGGTGACACTAAGGCAAAAAATAGCAAAATATATAGAGAAAAATTATAATTCCACTTAATTAAGTGATTAATTCGAGTGTTAAATAGTCTTTTAAGAGGTGCAAATCGAAAGTTTGAGGGGGAGGGGGGGGGGGGCAGGGGCGCAAATCGAAAGTTAGAGGGGGGTGCAAATTGAAAATTCAAAGTTTGTCCCCGGGAAGGGTCGCTACGGCCTCTGGGGGGTGACACCATTAAGTGCCGCACCGGGTGACACCGGACTTCGCTACGCCACTGGTTTAGCTTACCCTTCCTTCACATAAGGTGTAACTTTTTTCTTTGTTGAAAGAAACAGCCTACTTAAAATACGAAATGAGTTCATCGCGTTAGGCAGTCTGCTGTAAGCATAATAATGATTGTTAAATTGATACATTTTTATCTAAATTTAGAAGTAAAAACTATATACCTGATAAAATGCAAGACTTACTCAACTCCCCATCAGAGTTTCTTCCAGGCATCTCTTGGGAGGGGGGGGGGGCGCCCCCCGAACGAAATGAAATGTATATAATTTATATAGAAAATAAATACTTTTAACAGTGTCCGCCCACCCCCCCCCCCCCAAAAATTTGAAGTGCTCCCCCCCCCCCCCGGAGAAAAATGTCTGGAAGAAACACTGTTCCCCCTTTACCTCTTTACGTCAGTTATGAAAGTTTATAAACATATAACTATTATAACAAAAATAAATACACGAAATATTAAATTGGCGTTTGGTTTTGTTGCTTTAAAAAATTGTATACAGTTACCTAAATGTAATGAAATAATATCCATTAGTTTTGCTGAGGTCTTCTAACGCGCGTAGGCCTGTTTCTTCACGAGGAAAAGACAACTGATACAACAGAGGAAGAAAACAGAACAGCGAGAATGACAAATTTAGGCCTAGTATATTAAGTATATATATATATATATATATATATATATATATATATATATATATATATATATATATATATATATATATATATATATATATATATATATATATATATACATCACTGCCCTCTAGTATAACAAAACCATATCAACGACATTGGTCAAATTGACCTATAACACATGCATGGCCAGAAAATACAGGTGGGCCACCGGGAAAAAATACAGATGGGCTGACAAAGAAAAAATACAGGTGGGCCACCAGAAAAAAATACAGGTGGGCAACCTGGAAAAATACAGGTGGGCCACCAGAAAAAAATACAGGTGGGCAACCTGAAAAAATACAGGTGGCCAACCAGGACAAATGCAGGTGGGTCACCAGGGAAAAAATACAGGTGGGCCAGGAGGGAAAAAATACAGGTGTGCTGACAAAGGAAAAATACAGGTGGGCCACCAGGAAAAAATACAGGTGGGTTGACAAGAACAAATACAGGTGGGCCGACAAAGGAAAAATACAGGTGGGTTGACAAGAACAAAATACAGGTGGGTTGACAAGAACAAATACAGGTGGGCCACCAGGAAAAAATACAGGTGGGCCGACAAAGGAAAAATACAGGTGGGCCGACAAAGGAAAAATACAGGTGGGCCGACAAAGGAAAAATACAGGTGGGCCGACAAAGGAAAAATACAGGTGGGCCGACAAAGGAAAAAATACAGATGGGCCGTCAGGAAAAAATACAGGTGGGCCGTCAGGAAAAAATACAGGTGGGCCACCAGGAAAAAATACAGGTGGGCTGACAAGGAAAAAATACAGGTGGGCCACCGGGAAAAAATACAGGTGGGCCAGGAGGGAAAAATCCAGTGTCCGCTAGGATCAGGTCTGGGCTGTAATGGGCCTATACATGTTTTGATTTTTTAAACTGTTTCTTTAATAAACCCCACCGATCTGTTGTTTTTGTTATCAGTGTTTCTTCCAGACCTTTTTCTCCAGGGGGCACTTGAAATTTTCGGGGGAGGGGGGGGGGGCGGTAGACTTCTTCGGGGGGGGGGGCGGACACTGTTAAAAGTATATATTTTCTATGTAAATTATATACATTTCATTTCGTTCGGGGGGGGGGGGGGGGGCGGTAAAAATTTTTCGGGGGGGGGGGGGGGGGGGGGGCTTAGCCCCCCGAAGAGATGCCTGGAAGAAACTCTGTTATTACTATAATCTGCTTGTATATTGCAATTGCGACGTAGGTTACCGTTGCGCGGCCGCGCAGTAGTTTCGAACTTGCCGCGCAGTCACTTTGTAAAATACAAATATCCTTGTATAACACTGCACACACAATACGCGTTACATACTAGCTTTCCCCCTGAGACGTAAAGTTGCTTGTGACACTTGAATTTGTAAGTAATGTTTCTCAGACGCTGGAGGAAAATAAAATGCGCGGTGAAAATTAAGGCCGTGATTGTGTTTGTATGTGTGTGTGTGAATGGGGGGGGGGGGGGGGGGTTGCATTTCTTTATCTCCCCGACCGGTTGGACGCAACACCCTGCGAACACCCAAACCCCTAACGCAAAATATAACTGTTTTAGTTTGCCGAGTTTTTACTGTAAAATTCGAAAGAACCGACAACAAAATCAACATTGAGGACCAGTTTTCGATGCCCGGAAAAAAAAAATATTTTCATCAGATCCCTAGGCACAAATTAAACGACCTGGAAAAACAATGCGCGATGAAAATTGAAGTCGAGTGTGTGTGTGGGGGGGGGGGGAATCGCATTTCTTTAGTTCCCCGACCGGTTGGACACACACAGTCCACCCTGCGATCACCCAAACCCCTAACGCAAAATACAACTGTTTTTAAACGACCTGTTTGATACTGCCCTGAGACGACTTTATTCAAAGACATGCACATGATCCAGGTCCGATAACTCCTCACGTCGTCTGGTTGACGGAAGGTAAAAAAAAATTTCATTGTCCCAGGTTGGTGTCCCTTTGTTGTTCCAGGTTTGAAAAAAAATAAAAAACACTTTCACAGGACAAACACATAAAACTTAATGTCTGCCAGTTTGGAAGGGAAAAAAAAAACAACAACACATACACATTTACCAAGACAAGCCCGAAATTGTGAATCACTTCGATACCTGCCCGTAGTTAATCCAAATTGAGCTCTGATCAACATCCGTGGTTGAGGTCTAATCTCCAACACCAGATGAGATTTCTTCGCCGAGTAGGTTTTGTATTCGAAACCATTTGGTAAGTTTATTGATTTTTTTTTAAAAACAATAATTTTAAAATACACGAAAGTATTAATATATAAATTATTAAAACTTTTTCCACAGTTAAAAATAACATTTTAATACATTATGTATGAATGAGTATTGAAGTGTGATTTCAATTTGCGAGAGATTCGCGAGAGAACCATTTTAACTTACTGGATTCTATTTCAAAACCAAATGATAACTTGTATATCCCACCTGCCGTTTAAATTTTTTTTAGTTTAACCCACAAGCAATTGTAGTAATGTTTTACTTTCATGTTTTTCTTACCCCCCCCCCCCTCCTCCTGTTTCCAGTTCTTCACCACACCGTAATTTACCACCCTACTACATACACCCTACAACATACACCCTACTACATACACCTGGCATTCATTGCAGCCCTCTTGGGGCGCACCTAAAAACAGCCGTATATGACATCCTCAAGGGCCGCATGTATTAGCCGCATCTAATCTTCACATGGGCCGCTATAAGCGTCCTCATGGACCACTATATGTGTCGCATCTAGCGTCCTCATAGGCCGCGTTCAAGGACCTCATGTGCCGCATCTATTGGTCGCATCTAATGTCTACATGTGCCGCATCTAATGTCTACATGTGCCGCATCTAATGTCTACAAATGCCGCATCTAATGTCTACATTTGCCGCATCTAATGTCTACATGTGCCGCATCTAATGTCTACATTTGCCGCATCTAATGTCTACATGTGCCGCATCTAATGTCTACATGTGCCGCATCTAATGTCTACATTTGCCGCATCTAATGTCTACATAGCCCGCATCTAATGTCTACATGTGCCGCATCTAATGTCTACATGTGCCGCATCTAATGTCTACATGTGCCGCATCTATTGGTCGCATCTAATGTCTACATGGGCCGCATCTATTGGTCGCATCTAATGTCTACATGTGCCGCATCTAATGTCTACATGTGCCGCATCTATTGGTCGCATCTAATGTCTACATGGGCCGCATCTAATGTCTACATGGGCCGCATCTAATGTCTACATGTGCCGCATCTAATGTCTACATGTGCCGCATCTAATGTCTACATGGGCCGCATCTAATGTCTACATGTGCCGCATCTAATGTCTACATGGGCCGCATCTAATGTCTACATTTGCCGCATCTAATGTCTACATAGCCCGCATCTAATGTCTACATGTGCCGCATCTAATGTCTACATGTGCCGCATCTAATGTCTACATACCCCGCATCTATTGGCCGCATCTAATGTCTACATGTGCCGCATCTATTGGCCGCATCTAATGTCTACATGTGCCGCATCTATTGGTCGCATCTAATGTCTACATGGGCCGCATCTATTGGCCGCATCTAATGTCTACATAGGCCGCATCTAATGTCTACATGGGCCGCATCTAATGTCTACATAGGCCGCATCTAATGTCTACATGGGCCGCATCTAATGTCTACATGTGCCGCATCTAATGTCTACATGTGCCGCATGTATTGGCCGCATCTAATGTCTACATGTGCCGCATCTATTGGCCGCATCTAATGTCTACATTGGCCTCATCTAATGT